CTTATGGCAATTGGGCAATTCTCAATAACGTACAATTGCCAAGAAAGTTTAAGGGTTCGCTGCAACGATACAGAGTATTCAATTTTTAAATAGTTTACAACATTTAATCGTCATCGTCTTTTTTAAAAATCCACTTTTTGAACACTTCTGTTCTATATTTTTAAATTCTGATTTAATAATTACTTTTATCATAACATATTTTAATATAATGCAAAGTATGAAAGTGAGATATGTAAAATTGACAGAGTTTAGTTTTTTAACCATTTTTTCGATTTTTTTTTATTTTCAAAAACGATTTTTGAAAAATGATTTTAAGCGACCAAAATTCTAAAATATACGTAAACAAAATATTGACAATTGTTATGGATGACATTAGAAAGGAAAATATTGGGTTTGACTTCAAAATAATTAATAATCGTCGAAAGGTTGATTTATTATAAAATAAGATTGTCATTAATTAATAAATCTTTTTTCATTTATATGTTTTCAGAAACTCATATTTTGAATATATAAGTTGATTATTTCAATAAAACATTCATGAAGTCTATGATGAAATGTTTTGTTCTAAGGTTATATCTTAATATTATGGCTTTGGCAAGCTGCTTGAACCATATTATCAGCTAATAAGAAGGAATTTCATATTGTAATTTGGAAGATAAGCATTTGGGAAACAATTTCGGCTCTCCGAAATAATTTCAAAGGTATAGAGAAATAAATAGTTATAATTCAAATAAACAAATAAAAAAAAGTTAATAATCTTATTTTGATATACAATGATCCTGTTATTATATATATTTTTTCTTACGAGATCTCATAGGGGTTGCAGCTGAATTAAAATTGGTTTTCATAAAAAACTTTTCAAATTGATAAAAATTATCTTTAATAAACAACATTGTATGGATTGCAAGGGAATTATTATATTTCGGTTGATTATATATCTTATACAACACATAAATTAATATAGTTTCTGTTTAAAAAGTCAAGATATAACTTACATTTCTCAAATAGTGTTTAGATTCAGTGCATTTTGCATCACCATCATATTTGTCTACATTAATAAAGCCATTTAAACACAAGTTAAATTTTACCAATTTTTTATAGATAACTCAGTACCAAAATAGGCTCCGAATGAAAAAAAAACAAAAAAGTGACACCATGTAAACCTATCGTTGCAGCGAACCCTTAAGGTTTGGCAATTCACTCAAATCACTGCGAAAAAAAAATAACGTACAATTGCCAAAACCAAAATTGCCTTGGCAATTGTACGTTATTTTAAAAAGAGTTTACATTGAGTATCTCTAGTTTCGCTATAACCTAATACACAACATCACAAAAAACATAAATCCTTGGGCAAAAATATCAAATGATTCAATTTCAAATATCAAATTTCTAAAAATCATCAATAATGCCACCATTTTATTTCATAAATATATAGAAATTATAGGGCTGTACAAAATCGAGAAAAACATTGCCGTGCGGTAATATAGGGTCAAAAAAATCGCGCCTCGGCGGCTCCGCCGCCTCGGCACTATTAACTGCGCATTATATTTAATATGTCATTCTTTTTTTTCTTTTTTCTTCTTCTTTTCCTTTCCTTCTTCCTCTCCTTCCTCTTCTTTCCTTCTCCTTCTCTTTTTACAACAACGTCGAAGATCTTCGAATTTGATTGTTGGAAAAGCATCTATTTCAGTTAAAGGATGCCTTTCTCACAGTCAACATACGAGGGTCCTGGCTGAAACGTTCTCAAAAAGCCTGAGATGGTAATTCTCTGATCACTCATAGCTGGGCAGGTAGTCATTGCTGACAATACCTGTCTTTATGCATGCACGCTTTCATGTATATGGGTTTACATTATCAATTCGCAAAGTTGTTCCGAATTCTTCCAAAATGGAAGGACCCGAAACAACTTTGCTTGTTAACGATACAGACGCATTACTTTGCATTGATACTGTGCTGAGTTGTGTAGAAAGTTTGATTAGAGTTGTTTTGTTCTGGTATCTCTCATCTTCTGATGAGAGAAATCAAAGCAAAACAACTCTAATGAATTTGTTTTCACTCATTTGTATGTAGGTTTTTAGTTCGATTGGAGCTGCTTCATAATGAGATCTCTCATCAATTGATGAGGGAGATCATAACAAAGCAGCTCTAATGTATATGCTCGTATTAACCGGGTTGTAATGCGTTGTAACGTCAGCTTGTAGTTCGTTTGGGGCCACTTCACATTGAGATGAGAAGAAATGATTAAAGGACTCTGAAAGGCTTTGACCGTTGATGTTGTAATCGCATTACTTGGAACTAGCTGGATGCTAAGCTGTGTAGAATGTTCGATTAGAGCTGTTTTGATATGATTTTTCTCATCATAAGATTGGAGGAATCATAGCAAAACAACTCTAATGGGTTTACCATCATCTACTTGTATGTAGATGTTTGGGAAATTGTCTTGTTAATCGATTTTCGAGATGACTTTCAAATGCTATCATCAAATGACAAACAAGTCTAAGATTTCTCGACAATACATCAAATCATGATGTTTGTAAGTGCGATGAAATTAGAGTTTTTGAAGGAATGACAAGAGAAGTAGGGAAGCTCGGCATTCGCCGAGCAAATTAAAAATTAACGTATGAATTAAATTTTAAGAGGAATTCAATTTTAATTACGGGTTGTTCAAATATTGATTAATATAAATTTATTAATAAGAATAAACAATTTTTGTTTTTGAATTTATTCAATTTATAGCTTTACATATAGTTTCAAAATTGTACAACTATGATTATTTCAACAAAAAATATCTTACTTTTTCACTTCACTTTCACACCCACTTTTTCCGTAATTCAAATTTCAACATTATGTATTTTAATTCCTTATAGTATTTTTAACATAATTAATCAAATAATAATTGGAAGTTCTGAACTCACTTTTTCCGTAATTCAAAATCAAAAATATGAATAATATATCTATTTATTATATACTAATGCTATTTTCAACTAGAAGTGAGGTACGGTAATCTTACGGATTCCCGTAACTCAATTTTACGGAAAAAGTGCAGTAAACTACTCAATTTACGGAAAAAGTGTCGTAAACTATTGATGTGGCGGTAAAATCACGGTAATTCACAGAAAGCTATATGCGAAAATTTGAAATTATACAAAATCGAGCGAAACACTTTTAAATAAGTTGTTCTCGTATTTAAAATACTATTCCCAGATTTATTGTCGTCAGAATATAGGGTGTCCAAAGGTGTGTTTAGCACAAACCTGAATACTGCGAATAGAAATAAACAAGTTACATATATATAAAGTTTATTTAAATATAATCACCATTGGATTCAATCACGCGTTCGCAGCGATCGATCCAGGCTTGAAAGACACGCTTTAAATCATCATGAGAAAATTGCTCAAATTGCTCTCTTACAAAATTTTCAAGATCATCTGGACTCGCGAATTCGCGTCCTTCAGCTCTCTTTTTTAGCGTGCCGAATAAATAAAAGTCAGAGGGTGCAATATCAGGTGAATAAATTGAGTTTGGAACAACTTTGACATTGTTTTCCACCAAGTAATTCATTACCTTATGACTTTTGTGAACTCTTGAATTATCAAAATGAATTGCAAACTTTTGTTTTTGTTGTTTGGATTTCTCAAACTCATCAGAATTGATAATTTGAGTAAGAACATTGTCAATTAGATACTGAGCATTCATCGTATTAGGTTTTTGAAGAATATCAATTGCGATGATGCCATTCACGCCCCAAAAAACCGACAACATCATCATTGGTGTGTCAATTTTTTTCTTCGGGAATGTTTGCGGATTTTCATCCTTCGGGATCCACATGATTTTGGCTTCTGTTGCATATTGAAACCAAGACTCGTCCCCTGTTACTAAAAAGCGAAATTTCTTGGATTGATACGCACCCAATATAGAGAGGAGCTCTTTCGAAGATTGGACTCTAGATTTTTTTTGAACTGAATTAAGGTTGTGCGGAACCCAACGTGTATACGCTAGTTTGTAGTTCAAATAATTGTGCAGATAATAACTGACTGTTGTACGTGGTATCTTTGTCATCTCCTCTATCCTTCTGAGTGATGCTCTTTGGTCTTCATCTAGCGCTTGAAGAATTGCTTTGATTTTTCTTTGATCCGGCGATTTTTTGTCAATTTTTATGATGGGCGCCTTTTTGTTCATGAAGTGATACATCCTAACATGATACGTTACAGTGGAATAGCTAGGAGCATCCATACCGAAGCATTTTACCAATGTCTCGTAGATTTTTTTACAGTCTTTGCATTTTTTTGCAAGAGCGAGGATGTTTTCTTTATGATTCATTAAAAAAATGAAAAAAATCCCGCCAAAATTTTCCGCGAAACCGCCTCTTGTCTCAAAATTCATTTTATATCCCGGCATGGCGCCAAAATACAACATACTCATCATATACATATATTCATATTTTTTATTATATATTTATAATCAGCATATATCTCCTTTAATAGTCTCATATAGAGCGCTGTGCTAAACGCACCTTTCGACACCCTATATTTCCAAATTTTTGCCGATTTACAAAAAATGATTTACAAAGCATATTTTTTAATCTAAAAATTCCTAAAAAAAGGAACCGGTGTGCGGAAACCTCGGTAAATTACCGCGGTTCCCGTTGGGACTGCCATAAGAAACTAAAATATAGCATTCTCTTGCTTCTTTCAGACTTAAATAATGCAAAATTTACTATTTTTTTTCAAAACTTCGCTCATCCAAGAATTGCCAAGCTTGGCAATTCGTGATGAACAAAATTTGCGCTTTTGGCAGTTCCGACATCCTTACTCAACATATTATAAAATCATTAATGACATAGAAAATAATTGAGTTTCAATCGATATACTGGTAAATCTCAAAAAACATTAATTGACATACATTTGTAAGTAAATTTGTAACACCATTACAATAGGTTCATTTTGTCACACTTATTATCATTAAAAATCAAAAAATTCAGACATGTGATATAAAATCGAATGGATAGCGACTGTGATGATAATTTAGACCACCAAAAGTTATCTGATAACGAAGAACCGGAAATTGATATATCATCAGAACTCAAATCTCATGTAACAATGATCTTTGAAGCAAACTCAGATACAATTTATAATGCACTCGAATCTTTCACAGAATACATAGCTCTTAACAATGATACATCATTTATCTATCTCAAAGGCGATTTTTACTCTTTTTTACACAATATTTTAAGAAATTCACAAGATAATATCAGATTACAGCAAATAATAGTTGATCTTATATATTTGCTCGCAAAATCCAGCAAGATTGTTGCAGTGAACTTTATTGAGTATGATTTTCATATTCTTCTTCAACAATTATTCGACAATCATGAAATTAGAGAAGATTTAACTCTTAAAACATTATACAAACTAATGGAAAATTCAAAAATAGTATCTGATTGGTACAATCATTCATATTTAGAAGATGCACTAAATTTTGTCGAAAATCTTGATATTTCATTGCAAGAAAACTTTGCAGAACCATTTTACATTTATATAAATTCCAAATACTTCGAGAAATTACCAATTTACCTTGCAAAAAAATTGCAAGAAATTTGTACAAAGATTTCAAACGTTTCTAAGAGCACATTAGTTTTCAATTATATCCTACAAATCTTTTCTAACTTGATTAACAAAGATCCAGAGTCAGTTCGTGATTCTCCACTTACTATATTGAATTTTTACAATTTGTTCGGGTCAAATCGATATTTGAATGATTCTATACTATCTATATTTATTTCAGCATCAGAAGTTTGCAATGATTTCAATATTTATTATATTAACAATGAAATTTCATTATTAAGGGACATACAGACTGTTACAAGTGAAAATGAGCAAACATTGTTTTTAATCTTTACTTTGTACTATAATATATTGAATTGGGAAAGATCTAGAAAAGGAAATAGAGTATTTGCAAAATTTTTACTTGCAAATGAAACAAGAGATGGAAATATCTCAATAGATGCAAGTAAGAATGTATTTATACATAAAATTAATACATTTTACCAAAAAGGATATCAATTACTCAAAATATCAATATTTGATTTGATTTCTCAAATGATTGTAATCTTGGATCCAATTAGTGCATTGGATTTTGCAGATTCAACAGAATTTCGTAATAAATTTTCTGAATTTATTAGATCTGGAATTAGAGATTCTTGTTATCGTGCATTATACGCATTGATTAAGTTATTGTCATATGCTGATCAAGAAAATTCTCCTTACAAAGAAATTCTTGAGAATTTTCTCGCAATGAATGATATTCCAAACTTTTGCCATGAAATACTCTCTGAAAATGAGGAAGGACCACACGTAGAACTTGCTAAATGTATTTTATATAGAGATGAATTATAATAAAATAGAGATTTTTATAATTTTTTTTTAATCGGGATCAAAAAGTCCTTTTTTTCAATGGGACAAATATGATTTTATTAAGTGTAAATCTACCAACTATATTTCTCAATTCATAAAGGTACATACAGCCCTAGGAAATATCCTCTTAAGCTTATTAGATGACAAGATATACTCACTCAAACAAGCCCGTAAATTGAGATCAATTAAAATTTACAAATAAAACTTGAATAACGAATTTAAATCTGTAAAACAGTAATTTGATTGTTATCAGTTATGCTGTTATAACACATTCTTTGGCTAGATATCCTTCGTAATTCCATAGATGTTAATTTATTGCAATAAAAACTTTGAAAAGTGAAAACTATAAGTAAAGTGAGTAAAATTCTAGTTTATCAGAAAATTACATATTACTCCTTTATGGGCTAAATGATGATTAATGTGTCGACCATTTTTGTTTGAAATTTTGAAAATGATTTCAAAAAATTACAGTGATAAAACTATCTATTAGAGAATATTGATATATTGTTTATTGTAATTCTAATCACATAAATTTTGCTATTTAAAATTACAGGTAAATTGTAAAACAACTTTTTGAATGATTTTTGTTGGTCGGTCCTTTTTTATGGTCACCCACCATATATGGAAATCATTTATTCTAGATTAAACTATCAATATTCACACAATTTATGTGAATGACCACAAATATATTCATTTTAATTTGATATGCAACATTTTCTTCATATTTTGTATTGGTACATGTATCTCCTTCTTCCTCCAAAATAATGTTCATTCAATAATGTAAAATTTTAGGTTAAAACCTCTACTTCAAAACATTGATAAATACAATCAGATACATGCATTATTCTGCTTTTAAGTACAATTCTTTGAATATAAAAATTTTGTGAATTGTTTGAAATACATTCAATCTATATTTTTTTTCTCCATATAATAGAATTTATATTTTCGAAGTAAATTTAAATCATTTTTCTGTTCACCCATTAATTTTTCAATCCTTTCAAATTTTCAAACAATTTTTGTTTACAACTCAAAACTCCTCTGATTTAAATTATGTAGTATATCATATTTCCTTTCTTTGATCACTTCTGAAAATTTTTCTCAATTAAGTTTTGTGGTACATTCAAAATTTTCAATCTACTAAAAAACTTCGGTATTGACAAAGTTTAGTTTATCTAGCATTTATGAGATAACACCTCATATATTTAAAAACAAAATCGGAATAATCTTTGATTTTTGAATCATTCTCAAAAGTTAATAGAAAATTGATTTTCAATTCAAAACTATCATAATCTTGAAAGAGAATGAACAACATGGCTCAAGCCACTCCAATAATACATGTCCCAAAGACAATAGGCAAGTATTCAGTGCTTACACTCATTGGCCAAGGCGGCTTCTCTAAAGTTGTTTTAGGAATAGATCCTAAAACAAAACAAAAGGTAGCAATCAAGATATATAGTAGACAATTTATGACTGAAAATAACATGATTTATTTCTTAGAAAATGAAATTAGACTTCATTCAAGATTTAATCATCCAAATATTGTTAAAATCCACGAAATTATATATGAAGAAGAATACATCATGATTGTTATGGACTATTATCGTAATGGTGATCTTTTTACTGCAGTTTCCAATAGATGCAATTTTTCTCTTCCAGAACAAATATCCACAATTTATCAGATTGTTGATGCAGTTAACTATTTACATCAAAGAGGTATTTGTATTAGAGATATCAAGCCAGAAAATATCTTATTTGATGACTTTTACAGACCAATTTTAATAGATTTTGGATTGGCAAAAGAGAATGGTTGCCTATCAAGAACAATTTGTGGAACAACATCATATCTTGCACCAGAGGTAATTTCTTCCAATGATTATAATCCCATCAAAGCACATATCTGGAGTTTAGGCGTTACAATACATATATTTTGCACAAAAATGTTTCCATGGAACCATTATAGTGAAACAATGACAATAAAACAAATGGCCAGCAAAAATCTTGAAATTGACATCAAAGCAACAGGCTTTATTAAGAAAATATTAGAAAAATGCTTAGTACTAGATCCAGAGCAGCGAATATCAGCGCAAAACATTATATCTCTTTTTGATTGTTATCAACATCAGCCTCTTCCGCAACCTATTTATTATGAAACATCAGCCAAAATCAATGCTCAAACACTTCCCAAGATTCAAATAAGAAAGAATTGCTTTATCAAGGAAATTTCTCATTCAAATTTTGCAAGATTCGGCGAAAGAAAAAGGCGGATCCTATCAAAGCGGTAAATATATTCTTATAATTGTAAGTAAACTAATTCTACATGTTTTGTAATTTTTTTTTAAAGTCTTCACAAGAATGTTTTCTGTCAGCAAATAACGATTATTCTCAATCAAAAAGTGAAATAAACTGGGTGAGTTGGTGGTAAGCTCCCTTTTTTAGTTTTGCTTTTTAACATTCATCTAAAATAGGCTAATCCAACTTGCAGGCGAGATTGGAAATGAGTGTTGCATTAGGATACTCACAGTCTATCCTTACTTGTATCAACCAATTCTTATTCAAATTATAAATTAATAAAAAATACAAATTATTAATGAACAAAACGTTTATTTTATCTAATTTTCAAACATATTTTCTAAGCTAAATAACAAGGCAAAAAATCAAATTTAGTTTTTTGCTCAATGATAGATTTGAACCAATCAGAGAGGTCAAGTGTGTTCACTTGCTTGAATACATTCTTTTGAACTCTCGGCTCCGGTGCGGAATATTGATGAATCAAATTAATAAAACAAGGATAACCGTTATGATAAACAAAATAACATAAAGGATCCAAATGAGATCCTCTTTGATAAAATACTATAACAAGTCTAGAATTACCTTTTTTTGTATAAATTACTCTAGTCTCTGAACCCTTTAGCTTTGTCAAAAAGACAAATGGTTCGAAAAGATCAGAAATGATTTCATCGTTATGAATCTCAAAGAGAGCAGCACATTCATCAATCATTTCCTTTACATCCATATCAGGATTAGCTGATTTCCTTTTAGCTGTCTTCATATTTGCTAAAATTTCTCCATATACATTACTATGAACATTTAAAGATAATGAGAGCAAGTCCTTGTTCCTTTGGATATCCCGACTCATATGATCTATGAATCCGAAAGCTTGGGAAGCAATTGAGAGTGCCTTGACAAGAACACGGCATGTTACATCTTTTATCAGTGGTTCAAATGCTACACTTAGTGAACTTTTTTCGATATCAACATCCTTTTTTATTGCTTCTTCAATTAATCTGTTGTACGTAGAAATGTAACTAACTTTATCACCTCTTGAACTTATTTTCTCAGCATTATTCCTGATCTTCCTGAGTAGGGCTGTCATATTTTATAATGATTTTTAGAAATTTTTACCAAAGATTTACAAATTCTCAATAAAATTTCAGATCCCTCTCAATTTAGGTAAAAATTTTTAGGTAATTATATATACTTTAACAAGATTGAACTATATTGTGAATACTGAAATTTTTGTGAGCAATTTACAACATTTTTTGATTTTCATTTATCTCATACAATTATAATTAAATGATATGGGAAAAAAGCCGTTTTATTTTTTGACAATAAAATTTCCAGGATTTTTCAAAAGTCGAAAATGTGGTAACTCCATTAAAGTCAGTATTGATGTCAAAGTTACACAATTTTTATGAAAAATTTTATGGTAACTTTGACCTCAAAATTGAAAAGGTTTGAAATCTTATAAAAAGTCTGCCAATAAAGACACAATGATGGCTTTTTTATTATCATGAAAAATTTCTATTATCAAGATCGATACGTATACTATTTCAATCATTGTTAAACGTTTATCAATGAAAGATTGATTTTCGATCAAAATTTACAGAAATGTTTGAAATCCTCACTAATTTATTGATAATAAACAATCCGAATAAACTTTGATATACATAACTCAGAGATTTTCCATTCCAGCTGCAGCTCTAATATTTTTTTTGACCAAGCAAGAATGAAAAATGTAAAGTATTCAAATTCGATAAAAATGACGTTTATAAATTTTATTGTGCTTTTTTTCTTTTTATAAATGTCCCAATATTCACCTCCACGGCAACAAAATTCACCTCAATCGGCTAGAAGCAAACCAAGACAGCCGAGAATTTTTGATAAAATGCAAGATGATTACAAATCTGTTACATCTGAGCGTGGATGGATAGCTAGATGCAATAACCTTGTTCAAACTCGCAAAGATATTATGAAACAGCTCTCCACAAATTTCGAACGTACTGCAGATTTATTTAATAAAGACGAACACGATAGATTATTGAACTGTTTTAAATTATTTAAAGAACCAGATGAAAATTTCTATCAGCAGTACAACCAATTAAACATGGCAATCATAAATCTTAAACCACATGAAAGAACTTTCAAGAATAAATTAGAAAGAATCGAAAAAGAAATTACACAAACTAGAGTGCAAAGTGCAGCACTACTTGAAAAAATCAATGGCAATATTAAGAGTATTTTTGAAGATATTGATGCAAGGAATAAGAGAACAACTGAAATTCAAACGCCAGCAATTAGACCGAAATTAACAGCTGAACAGTTCGATTCTCCAATAAATGAATTTTATAATTTTGTAAATAGGTTTGGACATTCAGGTGGTTGGGATTCACGTTCACATACAGAATTTCTCCTTCAGCTCCAAATACACGGTCCAGATAATCTTGCTGACTTTCTTCCCAATGTTGATAAAGAAGCTGTAAAAGCTCATATAGAATGGAATAACGAATACCAAAAGCTTAAAGTTAAAATGAAACAGGCCTTGAATGAGATAAGACAGAATAAAATGAAGAATGACATAGTTGAACGCTCATCTCCAAAAGTTGATCCAGAAATTGTTAAACAAAGGCTAGCTGAGCGTGAAGAACAGAAGAGGAAACAAGCCGAATTAGAAGCACAAAGAGAAGATGAAATTAGAAGACAAAGAGAGCGGGAAAGACGCCAGAAATTTGAAGAACTTCAACAAAAAGTTAAAGCAAGGAAACCAAAACCGATTGTTGAAGCTCCAATTGAAGAAGTAGATCTCAGACCAAAACAAAGATTCTCAACTAGTGATTGGGAAAGAATTAGAAGAAGAAATGATGAAATTGAAGAAAAGAAGAAAGAAATTAAATTACAACAAGAGCTAGAAGCCGAAGCTAGAGCAGAAAAAGAAAGAAAACTAGCAGAAAAGAATGCTAAGAAATATTCACATGTTAAAAGAGATCCAGAAAGGTTAATGAAACCAACTTCTGCTATGGGGGCCAAAGAGAAAAAGCCAGATGATGAAAAGAACGGACCTGTTAACTCAGTCTTTGATATTCCTCACAGAGCTGTTCCAATGTGGCTTCAATAATTTTGTTTTTATAATAAAAATCTGTAATTTGTTTGTGAACAATCAATATGAAAATAGATGGATTATGTGCATATTAATATCCTTCTATTTAGCTTTATAGAAGAATTTGAATCCTTCCAAGATAATATTTTATACGCATCACTATTCATGGCTGAACACACATTTAAATTATGTTTTACAGTGAATTGATCCGATATGCTTCAAGATTAATACAATTCGTTTCGATATTATTTTCCAATCTGATTTTAAATGAATGCTCTATCGTTAGAGAAAGGCTATTTACGTAGATTAAACACCTTTCTTCCGAAATCTTAAGATTTCTCCAATTGTTTTTTATATTTTTGAAGTGACAGAAACAATATTTTTTTAGACAATGAAGTCCTTTAGCTTTAATCAGCTTCTTTCTTTATTTCAAGAAGAGCAACCACCGGACTTCATTGTTTGGAAATATAGAAGAGAGCGATTTTGTTCTGTTTTGGGTTCTAGCCTCATCGGATATAACGAATCTGATCTGAATATCATTTTCTCGAACTGGGAAAACTCTATACAATCATGCATAAACTCAAATTCGATATCAAAACAACTTACATCACTTATTGCGATTTCAGTATTAACTTATTTCAAGCGAAAATATGATACTTTTGCAAAATACTTTTCTTCAATGCAACAACTAGCAGCATCACATGAACGGTGTGTTTGCCAAGCTGCCATTCAAATTGTTTGTTATGCAGCGGAAGAAAATAGCGAAAATCGAAGTTTTTTACGTCAAATGGTTGACTCTGCAAAAAACTGGCTTGAATCACCAAACAAAGAAAAGCTGATATTTAACTCTCTTTACATTCTTCAAGAAGTAGGAAAATCTCTTCCGAAAGACGTTTTTAGCGTAACAACTAAGTTTTTTTTCCCAGAGATATGGGATGCAGTATGCTCAACAGATTGTGAACTGAGATATTCCGCGATTGCCGTTGCGGAAATACACTTACAGAACATGCCACATCATTCATCAGATCCATTTGCAGAATTTCATTTCAAAAACTGCTGCAATTACTTACAAAAGCGTACAGGACCTCTTATTGGTCCGGTTCTCAGCTGTAGAACCCTTCTACATGTATCTCCAGGAGTTGTAAATATTCCGACAATGATAGAATACTTACATTTAATCATTCCGACAGCAGATCTTGAATTAGCTAAGGAATGCTTTGATTTCTTGATCGAAATTGCAAGCGAACCAACAAATTTCTCAATACAATTAACAAAGAAGACAATTATGCTTCTGAGGATGGCAATAAATCGGTTTCCCGAAGAATCGCTTTTCCTTAAGGATATTTCTGAGTTTATTATGAGATTAAACATGGATCAAAGTTTAATTTCATCAGTCGTTGATTCTATTACATTAATTGTACAAGATCAGAATCTCTTGTCACTACATGAACCTGCTTTCGACGTTCTTTGCTCTTTACTTAAGAAATATCCAACATATCTCGTTTCGGTTTCATTATTCCAGAATGCACAGATATGCCATGGATATATTGCATGCCTTGCACTACAAAGAGCTCATCTCCCAGCGATAAAAGACACTTTGACCGAACAATTTGCGGTTTTATTGACAACTAAGACTGCAAACGATTCCTTGATCTGCATTGAGATGATTTCGCAATTTGGAAGTCAGTTGTTCGATGAATTGGACGTTGTTTATGAAATGACAAGTCATTTCGCTTATTCTGAAGATCAAACTGTCAGAATTGCAATGGCGAAGACACTACCGATCTTTAAATTGCATGAAGCGAATGAGCTGCTCCATCATCTTGCAATTTACGATAAATCCAAAGAAGTTCGTTTGGCAGCTCTAAATCAGCTGTCAAAATCGGACAATTTCCCACAAATTACGCAACTCCTGTCTGATCCATCATACAAGGTACGCGCTGCTGCTGTAGAAAGAGTCGCAGCAATGGTGGAAACGATGCCTTTCATGATTATTCCACAAATTGTTGATTTTCTGAACAATTTCATCATATCAAATATCTGCTACCTCAAAAATACAAAACGCAGTGCAAAAGCGAGCTCTTTACTCCCTGCATTAGCCAAATACTTTACTCCTTACAATTTACCATCGATTCCATTAATCGGATGGGTTTGTGTACACTTCCTACTTAATGGGCATGAGTTTCCTGATACGATTCCTACTTACATTAGGTCTAGAAAACAATCAAATGTTATGGCCCAAATAAAAGCAAGTAACGCTAAGGTCATGGACATCAGAGAAGTCATGCATAAAGATTTCGTTAACTTTTCCGATGCAAATGAAACAGAAAACCGTACAATTATTTATTATATCGAAAATGAACGCTGGATTGAATCGAGAGCAGCCTATTTGTTCGAGACATTAGGGGTATTAAGTGAACAGCTCCAACCTTACATTTTCCAGATTATTCCAGTTTTCGAGATCTGTTTCAAAGAAAGACATACAGACAACGTTTACATAACTGCCCTGAAATCCTTGGAAAAGTATGTTCTTACATTTAACCAGAAACTGAAATTCCTTACTTTATTCCCAGATTTGGTCACTTCACTTTTACTTCTATTATCAAATGGTGATTGTTCCAAGAATGTTTGTGTCCTCATACTGAAGACCGTTTCTTTAATTGGCGTCGTTACAAGTCTCAAGCACCAAATGACTAATGAAAACGCCGTTGACCACTTAACATCATTCCGACAGCCATCATTCTTCACTCAGTATGTCATGGATGCATTAGTTCCATTCCTTAAGTCACCAACTCCACAATTATTTGAAGCGGTTACAACAATCTTAGCTAGAGAGACAAGATTTGCCATCAAATACGTTCCTGTTGTCATTGAATCCTTTATTAGAGCCATTTCCACAGATCACGACCATCAATTAAACTTATTATTTGGTCAAATCGAAGTTATTACTATGAACTGCAGTTCAGTCATGTCCAAATCTCTTGACAAACTACTTCCTGTTCTTAAATCCCACATTTCGCATATCAGTTGTTTGAGATGTTGTGTTACATTAAGTTATGAGATGAAAAGTGAATTTACAAATGCTAGCCAAGTCTTGTATCCATTGGCATTGCATTTAATGTCAAGTGATGATAAAGATTTCATCAAGATTGTTCTTAAATTCATCATTTTCACTATAATTTACCAACACACATCTGTTGACTTGTTTTTAGACAAATCACAGTCTATTATCAACCTTACTCCTAAGAGCAAGCGCACAGAAATCATTCTCAACAACATTTCCATGCTTGTCCAACAGAAAAATATCGAAGCATACACATCAAGAATTGCACAGATCTGTTTATCTCTTTATTCCGTTGATTTTTCGAAAAGTTTGCAAGAACTTTTACATAACCTTATTTTATTTGGTAATCTTAGTTATTCAGTTGTTGAGCAGAGTGTTGCTTTCAGCTGCTTAACACTTCCACATCTTAAAGACACTATTGAAGTTCTCCACGACGGAAAGATCAATTTCCAAACGATTGATTGGATCAAAAATCGAAAACCTGTTTTATCTATCGATCATTTGACAAAGATCATGTGCAGTGCAAAAGTCAGCAACCACGATGTTTTCAAGACATATCCAAGTCCATTCTTCAACAACACAAAGAAGTGGATGGAAGACTTGTGCAGCCATTTAGTTACACATTCACCATCTGTTTCTATCCAATGTTGTTCGAACATCATCAATCAAAGCGAAAGTTTACGTCGAGAGATCTTCCCAATTGCGTTCTTAAGTTGCTGGAAGAATGCGACTATTCCAGATCGTAATGCGTTTTCCAGTGTTGTCCAATCAATCATACAAAGCTATGATCAAGTCGAACCATTGATTTTCGATTTGATTGAGATATTGGACAAATGCGGATTTTCATTCCACATTGATGACAACGTCATCAGCCGTGTCTCCAAATCATCTGCTCTTTCATTGTATTTCCTTCAACGATATGTCCGTAACCACCCAGAAGACAAAGAATCCGTTGAAGATCTTCTTAAACTGTCCAGTCGTATGGGCTTTCGAGATTCAGCACGTGGTATTTTGACAGTTAAGAGCGATGTTATTGGAAGTGAAGCAGGTAAATGGAATGAAGAGTTAGGCGAATGGGAGAAAGCATTGGAGATATACGAGAAAGGTGGAACAGAGATCGATCAACTTCGTTGTCACGCTCATTTAGAACAATGGAATTATATCAGAGAACGTGAATATTTATTCCAAGAAATGACCGAGGAACAGAAAAACGAAAACGCTATTTGGTTTGCATGGGCATTTTATCATTCTGATAACTTTGAAAAAGTTGCCCAATATGTTAAATATTTCAACAATTTCAATCACAATCATTTGTTATTCCAAGCCATTTATTTAGTTGCATCAACACAATACGACTCAGCTATTAAACACATTTCCAAATGCTTCGAACTATTGACCGAAAACAGAGAAATCTATTCAGGAGCAGACTCAAACCAAGCATCAAAAAATCTTGTTTTTGCACAGCATTTGACAGAATTGAGTGAAGTCATTGAAGTCAAGAAGAGCGGTGTCCAATGTGTTCCTAGTATTTGGCAGCAGCGATTGCACTCATTCTCTAATGATTCCGACAGCTGGACTAAGCTTATTGAAGTTCGAGGTTTGTTGATTACTCCTCAAGAACACATGGACGCTTGTCTTAAACTTATTTCAGTGTTGCGTAAAGAACGAAAGTGGCGTTTAATCGATGCCTATTTCGGACGTTTGTTCCCTAACATTTTCCACCAGAACATTGCTATTGCATACTTGAAAATCATGTGGACGCGTGGTGAGAAGACACAAGCTATCTCACTTATCAAATCACTTAATGACATCATCCAAGGAAATTCTAGTATTGAAGTTCCTCAACGCCTCCAAACTGTGAAAGACGAGATCCTTAAATCAGGTGTTTCAACAGCATTTCGAGCTCGTGCATTACGTCTTCAAGCGACATGGGAATACCAAGTCTACAAAGCACAGACTGCATCTAGTGATTCATTGACAGATATCATCAAAACCTTCAAATCCTCACTTAGTCTTTTCTCAGGCGATTACCGTGCATGGAGTGGCTGGGCATATGCATCATCACGTGCATTATCACATAAACCAGATGAGCGTCAGTTGTATGCAACCGATGCTATCACAGCATTTCTTAAAGCTACTCAACTTCGCCCATCTGAATCATTGGAGTTTTTGTGCCAATTGTTCTCTATTTTAGTTCGATATGGGGAAGACATTGTTCTTCCCGATGACGTTAAGAAAGAGTTAGTTTCATTACCCGCTGCCACTGTCCATTTAATTGTTCCTCAAATTGTTGTCCACATTGCTCACAAAGACGAGAAAGTCCGTTGCCTTGTTCAAGAGATCATTTGCAATTTTGCTGATGATCACTTCGAACCAGTTGTTTATCCACTTAGTGTTTTGAGTTTGCTGGATGACCAGTCTAAATCCCCAACCGCACGATCTCTTTTGGATAAACTTGGCACGAAGAACCAAGTCTTATACAAAGATTTATCCGTTTTCATCAAAGGCATGCAACGCTGTGCCATTTCAGCTGTTGAACACTGGCTCACCGCATTAGATTGTGCTATCAAGTACCACAAGTCAGGAGACACAGAAAACGTCGTTAAACTTATCGAGCGTGAGTACGAGAACCTTTCTAAACCACAGTGCGAACAAGACAAAATAGTTGCACGCGCATTCACTGTTCAATTGCAACGTGTCCGAGGCGCATTCGACCGATACAAAGCAGGCGACATTACCGTTAGCAAAGCAATGTGGGATGGTTACCGATCTATTTTCACCAAGCTGGACGAGCAGATGAAACATACAGAAGCTATCCAACTTTCTAAGAATTCACCTGAGTTGGCGAACCGTCATGGGTATTCAATGTCAGTTCCAGGCACATATTCCGTTGATAAAACTGCTCCTAAGCTTTATTCCGTTGGTGAAACATTGACCGTATTTGCAACTCAACAACACCCTCGCACCGTTGAGATGACTGACGAAACAGGGAAGACATGGAAGTTCTTGTTGAAAGGGAACGAAGACTTGCGATTGGATCAGCGTATTATGCAATTTTTCAACCTGATCAATTCTCTTTTGAAATCTAACCGTGTTACGTCTAAACAAGGGATGTCCATTGCTATGTACGCCGTTGTTCCATTTGCACCTAACGCAGGCTTGATTTCATGGGTTACCGGTGCAGACACAATGCAACAGCTTATTTCCGATTACCGTAATATGCGAGACATTCCATGTGGATTGGAGAACGACATTGTCAACAGCATTTCTACTAATTTCAACCAACTTAACGCACTCCAGAAAGTTGAAGTTTACCAGGCAGTTTGCAAAGGTTCATCAGATGGCGAGTTACGTGAAACTCTTTGGCTCAAATCTCCAACACCATCAGCATGGGTTGAACGTAGTTATCAATTCACAGTTTCTACAGCATTGATGTCCATGGCAGGTTATGTTATTGGATTAGGTGACCGTCATCCATCCAACATCATGATCCAGCGTCATACAGGTCGCGTCATTCATATTGACTTCGGAGACTCATTCGAAGTTACACGCCAACGTCCCTTGTTCCCCGAATTAGTTCCATTCCGACTTACACGAATGATTATTTCTGCATTAGATGGGGGTTCTGTTGAAGGTCTCTTCAAGCGATCTTGCGAGGACATCTTGTATGTCATGCGAGAACAGCAAAGTCCTCTTATTTCGCAATTGGAAATCTTCGTCCACGAACCAATATTTGCAGGCAATTCCGGCCGAGCACAACACAACACACTTTCACGTGTTGCAACTAAACTGAGCGGCACAGATTTCATTGATGCGGACGAAGTTGGAGTTTTCATGCATACAAATGAACAAGTTTCTATGCTTATTAAAGCCGCAAGTGATTCTACGCGATACATTAGACATTTCATTGGCTGGTGTCCATTTTGGTAATTATTATTTTATATTGTTTACATTTTATATTTTATATTTTTATTTATTTTTTGTTATTTTTAAAGATGAAATATTTTATGCAAATTAAAACTTTTATTCATAATTCTTTCCATGAAACATGACTTTGATATTTCATAAAATTGTATTATTAAGTAATCTCAAGCACTGAAGTTTGCAACATGAAACTCACAACGATTTTAGATAGCTTTTTACTTTGTATTTTGCAACATCCATTGCTGTTTTTCCTTCATTATTCTTTGCATCTTTATTAGCTCCAATAGAAATAAGATATTTAAAAACTCCAAGCTGACCATGAGCTGATGCCCAAATGAGTGGAGTAGATCCATCATTATTCTTTGTTTCTTTATCAGCTCCAATAGTGATAAGATATTTAACAACTTCAAGATGACCTCCTTTTGATGCATGAATGAGTGGAGTATCTCCATCATTATTCTTTGTTTCTTTATCAGCTCCAATAGTGATAAGATATTTAACAACTTCAAGATGACCATTTAATGATGCTTTCATGAGTGGAGTATCTCCCCATTTATTCTTTGTTTCTTTATCAGCTCCAACAGAGATAAGATATTTAACAACTTCAAGATGACCATTTAATGATGCTCCAATGAGTGGAGTATTACCAAAATTGTTCTTTGCTTCTTTATTTGCTCCAACAGAGATAAGATATTTAACAACTTCAAGATGACCATAATATGATGCAGCATTGAGTGGAGTATCTCCATGTTCATTCTTTGCTTCTTTATTTGCTCCAACAGAAATAAGATATTTAACAACTTCTAGATGACCATTTCTTGATGCAACAATGAGTGGAGTATCTTCATATTTATTCTTTGTTTCTTTATCAGATCCATTAGAGGTAAGATATTTAGCAACTTCAAGATGACCATTTTCTGAAGCTAAAATGAGTGGAGTATATTTATTCCTCATACCATTTGTATCTTTATCACAGCCAGCTACAATGAGAGATTTAACAAGTCTGAGATTTCCTTTCTCACATGATACATGAAGGACATTCTTTTCATCATCCCATAAATTTTTTAGGAGCTATCTTTTTCCAAAGTTTTTCTTCGCATGCTTTTGACATCATTTTTTGATTTCCTTGAGATGAAAGATCATCAAGGAAGTTGTAGACACTCTCAAAATCATTACAATTCTTAAGTTCTGAAATTTTCATTAGAATTTCTGTATCTTTATTGTTTTCTTTAGTTATTTGATTGAATTTTGTTTCTATGTCTTGATGTTCTCTCTTTAATCAAGTATTATCTTCTTTAATTTGATTAAGTTGAGTTTTAAGGGATTCGAGTTCTTTGTCACTTTTTTGCTTTTGATTTTGAATTGTAGTTAATTCTGTTTGAAGCTGTTGTATTTCCGCTGCTGAATCAGAGTTTTCCTTTTGCGTTTGTATTAAAAAATCAACAACACCATCAAGAATTCTAAGTTTCATGTATTTCTTGATGGATTTCAAAACAGAAACGACTTCTTCATAATTATGTATAGAAACATTTGCATTACGAGCACAGATATATAATTTGTTTGCTTTGATTGTATGTTGTGATTGCGTCATAAGTGAAATGCAGTCATTTGTTGTAAGAGTTGCATTTTTCATGATTTCTTTGAGATCATCTACTTCGAATGTAGAAAATAACTTGTTTTCTTCAATATATTCTTTAATGTGCTCGGCAATGTATTTAAAATTATGAATAAGCCCTTGACTCATTAATTTGAATAAGTCGTAACTTTACAAATGTAAAATGATTTTTGAAATTGTTTAAAAATGATATAATTCGACTTCTATCTTTCATTGTTTTTAAAACAAAATATCAAATACTCTAATCAAAAATTGATTTTTATAAATTTTAAATTTAAGCAAAGAGACCTTAGATTACTGAAAGGTCATTTGATAAGGAATGTTAATGTAAACTACGATCCAAAATAAGAATCTGTAATTATGACTCGATTTCCAAAATGTGAAATTCAGGTCACATAAGATGATACTTTGCTCGAAATACAGCCATACAACATGAGGTTTTACTAGTTTCGAATAATTATTATTTTCCGCAATAAAATTAGGAAATAATCAAAAATTATATACAAAGATCGATATTTTAATATACAATTAATACAAAAAAGGAATATTATAGCTCATTCACCAACTAAAACTTCCATTAATTTGGAAAAGTTCGGACTTGAAGAAAACTTAGAAACACATGAAGGATCTTGAAGAATTGATTCTACAATCATCTGAATATCATGATTATTCATTAAATCGGCATATTCTGGAGTATCTTTCTTCTTATAGATTAATTCTGCAATGTTTGGTAATACACTTGGATCCGATGGACCAATAAAGTTGAGAGCCTGCCGAAGTGATTGATTTTCTGGTGAAATATCGAGCCCTTGTTGATAAGCGCGCTTCGCATCAGAAATTTTGTTTAAATTCCATAAGCAAAACCCAAGAAACAAGTAAATATGTGAGTTTTTTGGATTTATTTCTAAGCATTTCTGACAATATTCAAGTGCAACATCGTAATTGGACTCTTTGATTTCTAAATTGACTAGATTTTGATATATTTCATCTGTTTCCTTTATTTTTAATGCTTCTAAAAAGTGATCACGCGCTGTATCATATTGGCCGTATCCAAATTCTTTTCTACCACGAATTATTAGGTCTTTGCATATAGAATCATCTGTTACATCATCAGGTATTAGATCGAGTAGATTTCCTTGCATCCAAACTGGTTTATCTTCAATTGATAAACTCCAAACTTTCGTGAGATAACTTAATACTTCATCAACAGTTTCATTATCTTCTTTTATATCATTTCTTGATTGATCAATAAACGAAATTATCAAAGATCGAAGAAAAGCTTCTCTTTCCATGAAAATTTTATCAAAATTTCTGCCAAACAATGATGATAAAAGTTTAATAATAGACATTTCTTGTCAAAACATTCTAAATGGGAATCTCATTAATAAAAAAATTCATACAATTTGCAGCAATTTCAACTCAAGGCGAGTAAATGCATCAAGAAAAGTTTCCTGAATGCAGAATCTAAAAGTCCATTAGCGTTTTACTTATTTCATTGAATTTTAATATATCATTTTTATGATTTGATTCAAATTATATTTGATATCAATATAATTCAATAATTAACTAGAACTGTTTTTTAATATTGAAGATATATTCAAACTCATATTTGACAGATCATTTGAGCATGTTTTTAATCAAAATTAATTGAAATTATGTGTAAAACAGAACGTTTTTTTGCTCTTTCATTATCATATTTTAACCAAACATGAAATCGAATAAAAAATCAAATGATTTTTTTTTCTAAACGAGCACTCTTTGTTTTTACAAAAAAATGAGTGTTCTAGATTTTAGAGTGTCCTCACAAAATAAAGAGCTCCAAATGAAGCGTATTTACCATGTCGAAACTACAAGGTTTCCTGTTGGGAAATATCCAAAGGCAGATGCTCAACTAAACGCAAAAAATGGAAAATTATTTGTTGCAGTTGGATCAAGCACAGAATTACATACAGCAACATTTCATCTAATAGGAAAGAAAGCTATTGACATTAAAAGATACCATTATAACGATTCAATTATTGACGTTTCAGTTTGTAGTTCGAAAGATTACTTTTATTTTATAGTTTCTCTCTCTAACTCTACTTGTTTTATCATGCAGCCAGACGGAAGAATCAATTTGATAAAGCAAAAGGGGCTCACAAAGGCATTAATTTACAAAAATTCTACAAAGAACAACCAAATGTACGTGGCTCTCGGAACATCATCAGGAGGTGTTATTCTCATCTATCCAATACTAGGAGAAGAACCATACGCTACAATTTCTAAAAAAGCACCTGTAACTTCGTTACGTAGCTCCAACGATGGCTCCAAGATCATTGCAGGCTTTTCAAATGGAAATGTATCCGTTTTGGACGGAGATTCTTTAGAAGAATTATGGAGTCGAACTTTTCCTTTCGGATCAATAATCGATGCAGTTACATGTCCAATTGATAACTACATAACATTTTCCGCTCAAGACGATAACGTTTACATTTATTCTACTAAAGATGATCAAAAATTAAAAATAGAAGGCCATACTTCGTTTGTTATCTCTATTGATCCAGAAAAGAAGTCAAAAAATAACGAATTCATGCTTTCAAGTTCGGGTCTTGATGGAAGATTCGGACTTTGGAGAGCAAAAATCAGCGATCAGAATATTTCTCAAGAAAAACTGCATCTTTCCAATATAATTTCAACTCCTATAAGGTTTGAGCGCTTTTATCATAACATTCTGTTAACAATCAATGATAAAGGCTCAATATCTGTTTATATTGCTCATTAATTTTCATGTTTATCATATCTTATTTTGTTTGTTTGTTAAATTATACATGTACTATCTAATGTTTATACTTTTATTAACATTATTATTTTTTAAAAGCGATTAGGCAAAATAATTCTTAGAAAAGAATGAATTCTTATGTTTGTTTAATATACCTTTTTTGTTGATACACAAAAGTCAGTTAAAATATACTATACTTCGATTTATAATTGAATATCTAAACATTTTTTCCTTCGTAAAGTCTAAATTGAGGGAAGGAATACGGTAAGGAGGCTTTACATTGATGAATAATAGAAAGCCGATAAAATTTGATAAAGAATTTCACATTAATTAAATTAGTCCGACTTACAAAAAAAAATATAAAATATTTATTTTATAAAGAATCATAAGTTTTGCACATATCAGTAAATGCGTTCGATGCTAGAGTGTATTTGTTATGAACAGAATTCCATTTATTGAATGCAGCATTGTATGATTCATCAAAATCTTTGGATTTCTTCTTTTCTTCACTTAACTTTTGTTCAGTTGTAGTCTTTTCTTTTGTTGCATTCTCCTTCTTCTTTTCATATTTCTTTACAACTTTAGACTTTTCTTCATTTGTCTTGCACTTTCCGATTTCACTTTCGAAACTCTTTTTGAGTTCATTGTAATTTTCAATTGCTTTCTGGGAATCATTTTCAAGACTTTTGATTTTGTCAAGATGATCATTTCTTGTTCTTTCAGCAATCTTCTTTTCATTTTCTGCAGAATCATTATTGTTCTTCATCACTTCCAAATCTTTGTATGTCTTTTGTTTGTATTGTTCGAAAATAGGATCAATACCTCCAACAGATTTGAGGAAATGTGCAAGTCTTCTGTCCTTCTGCATATACCAATTGGTTAATGTTAGAGGAGTTGAATTATCTTTATCAACCGCATTTATGTTGGCTCCTTTTTGAACTAGTTTCTGGGCAAGAGAAAGAATTTCGTTGAGAGAAGAATAAATTGCACATTTATGCAATGCAGTTTGCTTATTCTTGTTGGCTGCTGTGACTTCATATCCATCATCAATCAACATGTTTACACAATTTAATGCCTTCATATCAATAGAAAATGTTAAGAGATTTTCTCCTTCTCCAAATTCCATATTACTTGTTATCAATTTCTTCTCTAAAAGATATTTCAAGCAAGAACAGTTATCACCCATAATAATATAGTCGAAACATGTCTTACCATTGATATCTTTATGATTAACATCAAGGCCATCAGCAATAAGAATATCAGCCATTTCAAATGAATTACTAAAAATTGCATTAAACAATAAATTCCTTCCATCTTTGTTTAATACTTTGTTGTTGGCTCCATGACTAACTAGTGTTCTATAATTCTCAATGTTATTGCTGTTTACTGCAAAGAATAAAGGAGTTTCGTTGTTGTAGTTCTTTATATCAACTTCCACATTTAATTCGATCAATTTTTTCAAGTAATAATCATTTTTAGCTGTTGCAGCAATATGAATTGGATAATTTCCATTTTTGTGATCATGAAGAAAGATTTTGGCTCCTTTTGTCAATAACATTTCAAAGGCATCTTTCTGGTCCATTCTTATTGAGTAAATTAGTGGCGTATTATCATCACTTTGAACATTAATCAAAGCACCTTTGTTGATTATTTTTTCAACTACTTTTGCATCTCCTGTTTCAACTGACATTTCTAATGTAGTTAACTTATCATTTCTATAAGTTAATATATCAACAGGCAATGTCATTAAGTACTCATAGATTTGCTTCAGTTTTAATGTCAATGATAAATGCAATGGTGTTAATCCATTAACCATTTTTTCATTGCAGTCGAAACCTAAAGAAATCAAAACTTTTAGACTTTCTATGTCATTGTTTTTAATAGTTCTGAACATGAGAGATTCGTATTGAGTACTTTCAATCTCAGCGTTTGCTTCTTTGAGGTATTTAACAATATGGAAATTCTTTGCCAATCCTGCAGCAATAATTGGCGTTTCACCATTGAAAACCGAATTAATACTGTTTTTATGGTTCAATATAATTCTGACCATTCTAAGATTTCCTTCTTTGCAGCTTCTGTTTAAGAGATAATTAATATAAGCATCAAAAGTTGCTGGATAATCTTTAATATCCAAAATATATTGTGCAACTTTGGTTCCTGTTCTCAAAGCTGTTTCTAATGGAAAGTGTCCATTTGGTCCTTCACAAGTATAAGGATCTTTAGAATTTTTGATGGAACTTGTGTGCAGTAATTCGAAACATTCAAGATTGTTTTTGCTTGCAGCGTAATGGAAAGATGAAATTTTTGTTTGAGTTAAATCAAATGGACTTAAACCTTTCTTGTAAAGATACTTAACAATTTCTGTGTTACCATAAATACAAGCTAAATGCAAGTAGTTAACACCGTTATCGAAAGTTTCATCAAGTTTTGTTTTCCAATGAACTAAATGAGAGAACAAATTTTTGTTGCCTCCAATAGCTGCATAATAAAGTGCATTACAGTTGTTATTATCTCTTTCTTCTTCCTTTGCACCTTTCTTTTCTAAAAACTTAACAATTTTTTCATGTCCAAATTTGCAGGCAACTAAATAAGGAGTCATTCCAGCACTATTCTTTCCATTTACATCAAAACCATTATTAGAAAGTTCAGTAACTAACTCTAAATCACCGCTTTCAATTGCATAGAACAAAGCATTTGTATTGTACTCCGTAACAAATTTAGGATTTGCGCCTTTGGATAAGAGATAATTCATTGCTTCTTTGTTTGATTTTTTGACCGCGCACAAATAAGGTGTAATTGCTTCATCTGAATTTGTCTGATCTACTTCAATGCCATTGGCCAAACAGAATTCACATGTTTCAACATCATTAGCCATTGCGGCATAATGTAACAAAGTATTTCCTTTGGAATCTGTCATTTTGATTGCAGAAATTGTCGACAAATATTTAAAAACTTCTTTTTGTTTGTGAAGAACTGATAAAGATATTATTGGTATCTTGTCTTTGTTCATTGTATCAGGAGATAATTTAATCTCTTCTATCAGATACTTAACAATATCTAAATGTCCAGAAATAACTGCTGCAGCTAAAGGAATTTCACTTTCTTTTGAAACTTCATTTGGTTTTATTTCTTTTGAAATCAAATATTTCAAAACATCCAAAGAACCACTTTCGCATGCAATTGTTATTGGATCTGATGATTCTAGTCTTGGCATCTTTAAATCAACTCCTTTTTCAGCAAGTAATTTGACAAATTCAGTACGATTATTTTGAATACAAATTACTAAACAATCTTTTCCATCATCTTTTTGATATTCCTTGTTAATACCAATATTCAACAAGAATTCAAATACCTCTTTTGCATTATATAATGCTGCATGCATTAATAAACTATTGTTTTCTTTGCTCTTGATATCAATATTAACTTTCTTATAAAGATAAAATTTGACGGCATTTAAATCATTTCTTTGGATCGCGTCGAAAATGTCTTTTCCTTTCTTCATTTTATCTTTATCATTGTATCCTAAAATGACTTTCAATATATTGCTGTTCAAACTTGCATTCATTGTAATGTTTTCTTTGGAAATTCGTTCTTTTACAAATGGTAAAATTAACGATGCACTTTTTTCATCGTTTTTTTCTGCTGCATATTTGAAAACTTTCCAAACGAATTCACGTCCTAAATCATCATGTACTGATTTGAGCAATATCTCGAGAATATTGTATTTCTTGAGATTTATTGATAAAGTGAATGATGAATCACCTTCGAAATTCGTATAGAAAACTCTTGCTCCTTTTTCTAAAAGAAAATTAACTAATTCAATATTTCCACTTCTTATTGCACTCAATAACAAAGTATCACCATTATTAGGGTTAATAGTATCTACATCATTATTTCCTTTTTGTAATAATGTTTCAACACCTTTGATACTTCCATTTTCTGCAACAATAAAAATAGGAGTTGTTTCAACATTGTTTTCTGAACATAAAACACTTAATGTTTCAATGGAATTGTATTTTGCAGCATATTCCGATGGCAATGATTTGTTATCTTTGCCTCCACGATGTTTGTTTAGATCTGGTTTCGCTTTCAACATCATTTTGACACATTCTGATTTGTTCTTTCTGATTGCTCGGAAAATGGCAGTTTCCTCCTTCCTAAGAATGGAAATATCGGAAACACCCATGAGGAATTCAACAATTTCTGGATGATCGAACTTAACCGCAATCATAAGAGCGGTTTTTTCTGAATTTAATTCGTTGATGTTAAAAACTTTGCTCCAGTACTTAACAATATTAAGATGATTGTTCTTTATAGCATAATATAGGCCATTGAAGCCTTTTTTGTCTCTGTATTGCCAATCAACACCTAATTTCTTTAATGTTGAAACCATTAGGAGGTTTCCACTCATGCATGCGTAATGAAATGCTGATATACCTGATATTAGTTCGTGTTTGTTAATATCTTTGCCATCAGTCAACCAAAATAAGAAGTTTTCATTTTCATTATTTTGTATACTTTTCATGAAGTCGTTTTGCGGTTTAATAGATTTGTCATATCCAACTAATGCTTGTCTTGAAGCAGAGTTTCCGAAATCTATGGCTTTTTCACTTTTCGGATTTACATATGAAGGATCTGCTCCATGGTTGAGTAATTCTTGAATAATGCTTTGATTCTTTGTTTTCATAGCCAACATTATCATTGTATATCTGTCTTCAACTATGGTATTTGGATTTGCACCTTTTTCAAGAAGGGCCTTTACACTGTCAAGTACCTTTGAAGTAATAGCTATCTCAAGACATGTCTGTCCCTTGAATTTCGAGTTTGGATCAAATTTTGCTGAAATAATTTTTTCGTAATTTCCTTGTTTTCTAATTAAATTATAAACATCTTTTGTTGTTTCAGGGAAGTCAGACACTCCTTTTGGAATTATAGTCGGTATTGCATTATCAATGATAGAAGATTCATTGATTTCCATGGGTGAAAAGATGAAACGACTTTTAAATTTTCAATTTCAAATTTTTGAGACTATTTTAATCGGAAATGTATCAAAAATCTGGTGGTAGGAAGGGGGATTGAATGAAGTTTCTCCGACTTTGTACAGACAAAGCAACAATTGATACATGCAACCTTCTCATAAAGGGACTTAATAGAAAAGAATATTATTCAAACTGAAAACTAAACATTTATTTCAAAGCAACATTTAGAAATCATGTAAACTAGAGAATCCAGAATGTAAGCTGCATTCAACAACATCCATTGTTTTCAAAATTAGAAGGAAATTGAAAAATCATATCATATGCCTATTGAAATCATAAATCTTCACTAAAATTAACCAATACCTCGATTATTATATAGTATTACTTAAGAAAAATTTATCACATATTACATATCAAGAATTTCAATGGAAGATGTCATAGCTAACCAATTTAATGAATTATATTGATTAATTATAGTATCAAAAACAGGAGCTTAGTATCATTACATACATCTGCTGAATCATAAATCTTTGAAAATGGGATGAGAGCAATGATTTAAATAAAGCAATTGCTACACTGTTCATACGAATTCAGTGATAGCAGTTGATAGTATTTTTATATTGATATTCATGAATATTTTCCTTCACTCTATCCACAACTGCATCCTTCCTCATAAATCACTTATCATGAATAATTGGTTACCAAATGCATCGAAATATATATCAATGAAAGCCTATGCAAAGCTATTTCTTTCCCAGAAAACAATTTAGGAGATTTTAAACGTATACATCACCAATGAAATCAAAATTGAATCAATCCAAATTTAATTTGGTCTATTGAATTAAACTCCAAAGGAACACATAAACCAGGATATTGACCAAATTTTATAGTAGGTCATTGATTGGACTGCCACTTTTCATAGATTTTACTAAGATTTTGTGAATGAGCACACAGAATTTCATCCTTGTCATGTCTGGCAAAGGAGGAGTTGGAAAATCCACAACCGCAGCGAATATAGCACGCGCTTATGCAGCTAAATATGGAAAAGTTGGTCTCTTAGACTTAGATTTGACTGGACCATCGATTCCTACTTTGTTTGGTATACAAGATAAGGAAATCAAGAGCAGAAATGGAAAGATGGTACCACAAGTTGTTGATGGCGTTCAAATTATCAGCCTTGGACTGATGCTTTCCGATCCACACGATGCAGTTATTTGGAGAGGACCAAAGAAATCTGCAATGATTAACCAATTCTTCCAATTAATCGAATGGGATTGCAATACTGTTATTGTAGATCTTCCACCAGGTACAAGTGACGAGCATTTATCAACATTTGATGTTTTGAATAGAAATAACTTTTCATACTCAGTTATAATAGTTACCACACCAAACGTTCTCGCAGTTGCCGATGTGAGGAAAGGTATAAACCTTTGTCTGAAAGTTAATGCTAAGATTATTGGTATAATAGAGAACTTTTGCGGTGTTGTATGTCCATGTTGCAACAAAGTATCACCATTACTAGGTGACAAAGCAGCAGAAATCATGAGTGAAGAACTTCAGTTAGATATTTTAGCCAAAATACCGTTCTTACCACAAGCTGCTTCTGCTGCTGATAAAGGTGAGAAAAGCGATGTCATTCTTTCATTCTTCAATGAAGTAATTGATAAAATTTTTCCACAACAAAAAGCAGCTCAATAAAATATAGAAAATATAGTATGGTTTGTTAAAGAAATGAAACAAATTTTAATATAATATAAATAAAGGAATAAACTCTAATATAATTAACAGTTTCCTCATTCATTTGCATTCAATGCAAATTTAATATGGAAAATAAGACTTATTTTGCAGAATTTGCACTGCCATCTGTATATTGCCATTTGATTCTCCTAAAGCTTGGAGAATAAATTGTTCATCAACAAAACCCATTTGTTTCAATATTGCAACCTGCTGGGCATACTTCTGCCTGATCAAATTGCGATTGTACAACTTGCTGTTATCATAGTCTTCATCATAATTTTCAGGAATCTGCGAAATGGTCGAAGTATTATCTATCAGTCTATCGTTGTAGAGCGATGGAAGTGGCTCTTCACTAGGTGCCTCAGTTGGATCAGGAATGATTGTAATTTCAAAAGGTATATATTCTTCATGATTTTCCATATCGTACATACCATCGTTATATATAGCCTGGAGGGTCCTCAACCCATCAGAAGTTGATTCTATCTGAGTTATTGTTGAATCTGCTGTTTGAGCTAAATATTGTGAAGACTCATCATTGACCACTCGTTCTATTTTCTCTATCTCTGATTGGGCATCCTCGATTGCCTCAAAAGCTTCGGAAGATATCGAAGCGAAGGAAAGTAATAATGAATTTGAAATCAACTCTTTTAATTGTCTAAGAATGCGTCTGAGAGTCGAAGGATGAGCTACTTGACTCTCCTTTATGAGAGCGCGAAGCTCAATTATCATTTGCTTGGGATTTTGCCGTGTTTTCATTGCATTTCTATCTGGAACAAGGTATAATTTTGACCCATCGACAATTTCATAGAATTGAAGTGTAATTTCATCGCTTAAAACTTTGCCTGCGAAGACAAGTCTCATTTGATTTGGTTGTAATGAAGTTTTTTCTACCAATAGCTCCTTGACAGTATTAACTGTATCAGATGACCATGCATTCACTGTGTATGTATCTGATTTCCCAAGGCGCACTGTTAGAGTCAGAGTGCCCTCCATTTGTTATCAGTTTTGAATACACTCTCAAAAGAACATACTTAAAATCGCGTAGAGTTTATGAATGATATATGTTACACAGCATAAATATTATTTTATATAAGCGAATGAAAAATTTCAGGGAAAATTTATGAAAATATACTATTTAATGTAGTTAATTTTATATTAAATTTTTCGAACTTTTTTTCACTGTGCTTAATTTAATAGAGTTATTTCAATTTTTGTGAAGAATATAGAACAAAAAAATTCATTTATTCAGTATATCATATACTGTACTAATTTTTCATAATTTTATCAAAACAATGTGCTCTTTCAAATTTTTATCAAAGGTTACAAAATTTTCAAACAAACTCGGTTATTTTATATAGAAATATTACTTACCAACAATTAACTCGTGTTACTATGTAAAAATCAAATTTTATGGGAAACGATTTGTAAACGCTTATTTGTAAATTTTTACAAGTTCATTTTATGAACGAAATTAGAACTATTAGATAGCAAATTTGAATATCTCCAGGAATTGACATCCTCTGTACAATCGAGAAATGTGCAATTTTATCTTTCCAAGGTTTTATCAATTAAAAAAATCGCACAAATTGATATAAAAGAAGGCTACTACAACGCTAAAATATCTGATTAAGTTGAATAGGCAAATCATTAGCACAGAAAAAAGACTTTAAATTTAGAATTTTTGTTTTTTCTCTCAATTTCTACTTGTGTTATTCCTAATTAAGGGAGTACATATTTAAGCTTATAATAAAACATTACCGCATTGTTTAAAAGATGAGAAATAGTAATTTGGTATCCAGGTATCAAATTATTTGCTCTGCACATTTTAATTGTATCAATAATTTTATAATTGATGCAAAGATTGTGCTGATTTTGATTATTTTCGTAAATTCGTAATTCTGTGTAATCACTAGGATTTAAATAATGAACTTTATCAGAAGTGTTTTGTATATGAAAAATATACTCATAAAAGAAATTTTTTTATCCAAAGTAATCTTCAAGATTTTCATCTTCTTTCTTCTCATTACTTAAATCTGCAAAGAAATCAACTTCTTGCTTGTCTTCTTTCTTGATTTGATCTTCTTCTTCTCCAAATGCAGATTTAACAACATTTTCGACCTTTTGATCTTCTGATGTTCCGAAATAGTCATTCAAATCTTCTTCTTCATTGTCCTTGTTCTTAGCGATAATTGTACCTTCTGTAGGAGTTTGTTCGATAAACTCCATTGGTTCATCGCGAGGATTCTTTTCAGGAAGAGTTGAAGGATCAACCCAAGGAACAACCAAACTTGATTTGTTGATGACTTTTCCAATGATTTGTGATATTGTTCCTGCTTCAATATAAGAAGCTTTGACGGAATCAACACCCCAAACAACATCACTTTTATCTGGGAGAACGAATTTCTTTGGTGACTTTCTGATCTCCAAGATATAGTTCTGAGAAGTGTTTGCTGTCAAAAGCGAGTGAATTAATCTGGCGCGATCTCTGACATTAATGTTTTGATCGTAGAAACCTAATGTCAACACGTATCTGACTAAATCAACACTCTCTTTTGGTCTGACGTACAAAACTTTCGCACTCAATTCCAATGCGGCCAATTTGACACATGGATCAGCACTTGCGAAATCATTTGTAACTCTTCTTAAAACTTCATGTGCGTATTCAGGAATGAGTTCGCATTTATCACCGACAATTGACATGACGCATGCTTTAGTTTCACTGTCAGTTATCTTGATAAATGCCTTGAGAAGCTTCTTAAGAATAGAAACAACTTCTTCTTTATCCATTGGATTTGTTGCTCCGAAAAGATCATCGTCATCTTTAGTTTTAGGTGTTTGTTTTGGCAAGTTTCTCAAAAGAAGGCTTAAAACACGAGCTGCCTGGTTGACAACGCTTTGTACAGGTGAACTGAGCATCTTGACAATGACATCGATGCAGGAAACACTTGAATCTCCTGCTAAAGATGCTGTTCTTCCAATTGCTTTAACAGCTTCTGTTGCGATGTCTTGATCAGGGTTGTAGATGTACTGTGACAACTCACGCATCAAGATGTCACTGTTGGATGGTCTTGCAAGTTGTGAAAGGACCTGCAACTTGAGTTTCATGATGAAAATAGGTTCATCATCAAATAAGAAAAAGTGACGAATATGAGGAATGAAAGGTTCCGCGTTATCAGCAACGAAAGAAGCAATTGAGAGCAAAGCAGCGTATGCTGTAGCACTATCAACATAAATCAATCTTATGAGGGGCTTTGCAATCAAAGGAACTTTAAGAGGTGGTGCGCAATAGAAGAAAAGAGAACAAGCGGCAATAACAACGGAAGGAGTGATCGAAGCAAGAAGAGGCTGAACATTCTTGATAAGGAACTCTAAATCTGGATCAATGGATGCTCCTTCTTCATCATCTGAGAACCAATCTGTAGATCCTGATGGCTTAGGGAAATTACGACGTGCATAACGTTGTAACATGTGTAATGCAATTGTTTGGCCCCATGGATCAAGACGGTTCAATGCTTGGCAAAGTGTACGGAAGATTGGGTGTAATAAGATATCTCGATCTGGACAGATCTTATCTGCAGCATATAATGCTCCAGAAATAGTAACAAGAGATTGGTCATTCAAGAGACGTTGTACAATTGGAATCAATTCTTTGAGATAATCTTGGGATGTTTCGTTGATTTTGACTACAGCTAAAGCAGCTGCTTTGCGAACATATGGAGAAAGATCTAACGCGCAACGTGAAACAGAATCGAGAACAATCTCGATGATTTCGGTATTTCTAATTGAAGAAAGGACTTTGAGAGCCATGGCACGAACAATAGGATCGGAATCTGTAAGAGAAAGTTGAAATGTGTTAACTGACATAAGGGCAGAATCTGGATCGTTCTCTGCGTAGTGAACTAGATAGATGTAAGAAAGATGGCGGAGAGCTTCATCTTCAGATGTAATTTCTTGAACAACAAGTGGGAAGAATGAAGAAACATCTTCACCCTTTGACATGACTGCTAACAAAGCTTTGATACCATTTAATTTGTCCGCAACCTTAGCAGATTGAAGATTATTCTGGATGGTTGGAAATAGCTCGAGATTGGATGATTTTTGTGTCTCTTCCACGGTTGAAGTCGTAACAGCCGTGCTTGTATAAGACTCGTAAGACATCCGATTTTTTGTCAATTTGACATGTCAGATTATAAGAATTATCAAATCAACTCCCAATCTCAGTGTTAAGGTTTTTGTTGTCTTATAAATTAAGAATTTTAGTAAATGGCCTCGATTATCCATAGAAAATGCAATAATTTCGAAAATCCAAGATAAAGGTAGTCTTCGTTGTATAATGAAGATGGCTTTTAAAAATTAGAGCTATGACTCAAGAAATTAATGATAGGAAAAGCCTTGTCACGAAAATATAATCAAAATAACCTATAAGTGAATATGTCTAATAATTTATCTTCTTTGTAGCATAAAGAAGATCTATTTGTTCAATTTGAGCGTTTCGCTTTAGTATATGCAGAAATAAAAAACATTTGAATTAAATAACTAAAATACAAACAAAATTTATTACAATATCGGAGGTAAATTTGAGCTATTGCCAAAGTATTGTCTATTCTTAATAAGCTTTGGTAAATTGGATTTTTCCAGATTTTGAACCGGAGTTGTTTTAAGATTCCTCATTTTCTCACGCTGTTGACGATAAAACTCTCGTCTTTTCTCAATTTCTTCTGACATATCTGGCTTTTTAGATTTATTAAAATTCCGATGCGGATTTCCATTCTTCTCTGTTGTAGGAGGTGCAGGAGTGTAATGGTCATTTAGTGTTTCTTCGATTTGCTTTTCCAAATCACTTGGAATTTTTGGAGGCTGATTTTCTTTTTTAGGTGATTTTCGAGTATTATTTAGATATCTCGTATGATGTCTTTTATTTCTAGGACTAACCTTCACTAAATCTTTCGTATTTTTGCAGCTATCTTCGATTACGTGTTTTATTCTTTCATTTTGAGCTCTTGCAACTACTTGAGAAAACAAAATGGCTAATTTATCTTTATCAACATCTGGATTTTTCAATTGATCTTCAAATTGTTTCAAAACCAAAGAGATATCATAATCAATATTATTGTTAATTGTCTTCATTTGCTTATAAAATTCTTCAAACGATAGAGTTTTCTGTAATATATCTGCAATTACGAGTGCTTGTATTTTCAAACTTTTAACACAGCTTAGTAATGTCCATTCTAATGAATTATCGCTTATATGAGCATACTTTGATACACTGTTATCGAATAAGTTGCAAACTATTTCGGAAAATTGAAGAAAAATTTGATATTTTTCAGCAGTGTATCCATCTGTCTTGAATTTATCTGCATTTTTATACATGAATTTTATAATTGGTCCCCACCAATCTTCTGAGGAGATAAATTCAGCAGTCTTTGCTAAAATAAACTCCTCAGTTTCCATCAAAATCTTTGTAACGCATAAATAAGGTTAAATATAATTCTTAATTGAAGTTGTTCATTTGTGCATTTCCAATTATATTGAAGCTGTATTTCTATCATCAATATTCCATTCCTATATGAATATTTACTCTTCATTGGTAGATATGCCTATCCTACGTTTACTACCAAGAATAATAATCTAGATACAGCAGAACTTCTCATTCAGCATGGTACCGATGTTAATGCAGAATATGGCATGGATGGTACTCTTCTTTAATTAGCAACAAAAGTGAATAACACGGAAATTGCAGAATTTCATATTTTGCATGATCAAGATAACAAAGAGAAGTCAGCTCAACATTTGTATAAAAATGTTAGTAATTGACTATTAATTTCATATCAAATTCCTATAATTATCGAATAAACAATGAATTTCTTGAAATTTGTTCCTATAATCTGAGTTTTGATTGATTCAGAATAAATTTTTCATTAGTTATCCTGAGCTCCTAGTCCATATTAACTGCATGAATGATTATAAAAAAGTGGCAATTTTTATGTTTTTCTTTTTTCCCTTGGCTTACTCAAAGCTTGAAGAATTTTCTGATGAAACATTCGGAAACTTTTTATTCAGCAGCTTTGAAAAGCCAATTTTCATGCTTTTTTATAATCCAACTTGCACACATTGTGCAGGATTTCCAGAAAAATTTGCTAGGTTTGCGGAATCAACAGAATTAAAAGATCAAATTATTGTAATGAAAGGTAATTGCCGAGATACAGCAGCTTGTAATTATTTTTCAATTACTGCAACGCCATCATCACTACTCATTATGGGTAATTCAAAGCAAAGTTGGATACCAATCGATGTTTTTGAGCAATTGTCATGGGAAACAGCAATAAAAGAAAAATTATCCATTTCATTACAAGATCTTGAGCAAAACAAGATAGTTATAGATGAATCTACATATCCTATCTACCCAACGTTTCATCTTTCAATAAATACTCGCGAAAATTCATTCTTTAAAACTTTCGAGTTATTATCACGAAGCTCATCAACATTTAACACATCATTCTATTATCATATTGACGAAAAAGCAATTACTCCCACAATTTCTCTTTATAGATCTCAAAATTGCATAAAAACTTTCCAAAGACCTGAAGAACAAATGAAAAGTTTCATATTAGATAATTCATATGGTATCGTACAAGAGATTGACTTTACTGATTATAGTGATTACGTTAATCATACAGTAGTTCTCTTTATATACAAAAATAATATAGCAAATTCCACTAAAAAACTATTACACCGTGCTGCAATAGAAAAATGTGATGATACGTTATTTGTAATAATGAATGTTCAAAATAAAAAAGAATTAATTGATAATCAAAAGATTTCCATAACATCTGTACCTCTCCTGTTTTTAAGTGACCGGAGAAATGGATGTATCATTAAATGGAAGACTTCTGTTTATAAAGCATTTAATAGTTTAGTTTCAAATATTCGAGAAGGAAAGTGTTATGCAAATCCAGAAGCAGTTATAGAAGATGATTTAACTCAATCTGTACATTTACAGATGTTATCAGTTGTTTTCATAATTTTTTATTTAATATTTAATATCTTGAGCAAAAAGTTCAAGATGAAAGATCAAAAATATTTAGTATAAGTTATATTGTTTATGTTTATTTGTTTGAATTTTAAAAGATAGATATGTCTGCAAAAACATTCATTTAGATTTTTTTGGCGGAAATTCATTCAAAACATGATCGGTAGCTCTCAATTAGTGACAAAATGGCAAAATTTAGAGTCTTTCTTTGGATATTTAAAACCACTAAAATATCCTTTGTATTCAAGCACAGTAGTGCTCAAATAAATATTATTAAGGTATGGTAACAAAATAAGGGAAATACTAAAAAAAATACGTTAAAAATTAAAATGTTTGGTAGTTTGGAGGCTCTGGATCATTTTGTATTCTTTCATTCATGATGCTTTTTGTAATAAAACTTCGTAATTCTAATTTTTGTGAATAAACATCTTTCATTATTTCATCAAAATGCGAATAAATATAACTTAATGGAACATCCACAGATCCATCTAATGCGTAAGTGCTTTTTTGCTTAGAGCTATTGTTTAATTTCGTATTTTCTTGTAATGATTTCTCTGTCAATCGTTTTAGCTGATCATTTGGAATAATTTCTGCTGCTTTAATACAATGTCCATTGGTTGCAGGGTATTTTGTGAATAAATCTTTACGAAAAGAAGAAAAATCAAAATTCATTTGTCAATTTGATTCAATGAGTTCTCTCAAACATTATTGACGATACACCTTGTTTGGCCAATAAAATTGTTTTCTATTAATTTTAAAATCTAGTCTTTGATTCCATTTTACATTATGAGTGTAGCATTCTTTTTGAATTTTGCCACTTCGATGAATGATGTGGAAGAATCCAATTCTAAGTTTAAGGAGTTAGATGAATTTTTCCGCATACTATCAGATGACCTTCCTGAAACAAAAGAAGTTAGCATTCCATTTTTAGAAGATATAATTGTTCATTTCCAAAAATTTACATTATTTCCAAAACAACTGATAATGAGGCTTAATTTCATGAAATTCGAAAGTGCATGTACATCAATTATGAACTTCATTATCAAAAACTATCATCTTCGCTCTACTTGTCGACTTTTCATTAAAACTTTCTTCGAATTTATAGGAAGAAGGAGTAGTGTTGATGTATTACAATTAGAAACTAATCTTATTCTTTCATTGCAAAAGGATTTTAAAATTGTTCCGACTTGCGAAACAGATGAAATCAAATTAGACGATTCTTCACTTCAAAACGCGCCAATTGCTATAGTAGATATGTTAGAATTATATTTAAATCGCTTTACAATTAGAAATCCTAATGCTTATAAAGCAATTTCAAATTTATTAATCTCAAATTTACCAGAAATTGATAAATTCCAGATTCTTCGATGCTTTTCACTATTGTCACCATCAAGAGCTACTGATTCATGGGTCATGATCATCGCTTTAATATATTTTATTATTGATCAGATCAAATCAAACAATTTAAGTATTTTCGATGACAAAAATAACAATGTTGATAAATTATGTTCAACAGCATTTAAGAATGCAACGTATCTTCTACACAAATCCATATTATTAAATATAAGTCAAAATATTATTCAATACATCACATTATTTCGATCAATATCCAAGAAAGCACCATTATTTCTTGAGCAGTATTTCAAAATAATCCAGTTATTTACAGAATCCGACCTTTCAAACAGTGATCTTGTTGAAGAGGTCATTTTTCAGAATTTTCCTTATTTCTGTTATTATCAGAACTTCTTAATTGCATGCAAAAGTTTAATTTCAAGAAGTAGATCATTTTTTGACAGATTAATTAAATTTTATAATTCAATCAAACAAAAATGTCTGAAATTATGTGTAGAAATGGCCTTATTGAAGCTTAGTCCACAAAATGCTAAATATATCAATGTAGATGATGTAGAATCCTGTATCCATTTATCTTTAATTGCTCCAGATTCAAAATTTACTGATATTGTTGACAAAAATAGTGAAATTGCTTTCTCTTGAAAAGATACAATAATCAAATGCGCCAAAGTTTTCTAAATTTTTATTAGGAATAGGAGTTTGCAAGACACTGATTATATTTCAGTGCTTCGTAGGCTCCTATTCCAACTCTAAATGGGAGAGACTTTGCTAGAGTAAGATAACATTAATGCAAAGTTTCTCCCATTTAGAATTGGAATTGAAGGGTGAGAGACATATAGTATGCTTATACACCTCTCACCCTTCAATTCACTATACAAAGCTCAAAAACTTGTGTGCAATGGCATCTCATTGCACACAAGTTTTTGAACTGATTCTAAGGAATTGATAGCTATGATGTACTGATTATGAATCAGTACGCCATAGCCATCAATTCCTTCTCTTAAAGCTGGAAACTTTGTCTGAATAGTTTAACATTCAGACAAAGTTTCCCGCTTTCAGGGAGGGTATTGGAGGGTGGGAAGCATATAGATAAACTATACACCTCTCACCCTTCAGTTCCTTATACGAAGTTCGAAAACTTTGGTGCAATCGTTGCTGATTGCACCAAAGTTTTCGAACTTTCTATTAGGAATATGAGCCCACAAGGCACTGATTATGTATCAGTGCCTGGTAGGCTTCCATTCCCTCTCTGAAGCTGGGAAATTTTGTCCGAATAATTTAACATTCAGACAAAATTTCCCAGCTTCAGAGAAGGAATTGGAGGGTGAGAGGCATATAGGCATACTATATACCTCTCACCCTTCAATTCCCTCTGGAAAGTTCGAAAGCTCGGTCGCAATCAGATGCAATTGCGACCGAGTTTTCGAAGTTTGTATTAGGAATAGGGACCTACAAAGCACTGATTATATATCAGTGCTTCGTAGGCTCCTATTCCAACTCTAAATGGGAGAAACTTTGTTTGAATAAGATAACATTCAAACAAAGTTTCTCCCATTTAGAATTGGAATTGAAGGGCGGGAGGTACATAGATAGACTATGTATCTCTCACCCTTCAATTCTCTCAGTAAAGTTCGAAAACTTTGGTGCAATCGTTCAAGATTGCACCAAAGTTTTTTTCGTTTAATTGAAGGAATTGCTCCATATGATGTACACACATACAATGTATGCATCATAAGGAGCAATTCCTTCCAGATAGCTGGTAAACTTTCCCATTTATCTGGCTTAAACTAAAGTCTGTGGGGAACTAACATGTAAACGGTTTTCCACAGTCTTTAATTTCTCAAGACAAGTGCCAATAATTGCTCTCAATGATTCATAATTGCGAGTAAGATTTGTCATCCATCAAGAGAAATTAAACCCTGCGAAGTGCCAGTTCTAGACTGGTACCTCGCAGGGTTTAATTTCTCACAATAGTAGATTTTTGTGTTTTGATACACAATATCGCATGAAAAAAAGTTGCTTATATAAGAGGAAACTCTCTATCAGAGGCGCTGAATTCATACATTCGATTCTGATAGAGAGTCCCCTTTTATATAAGCAAATATAAGAGAATCTTTTCTTTTTTGGAGCGGATTCTCAAATATTGAATACTTATGAAAAGTGTATTTTTATAAAAATTTAAAAATAGATTTAAAATTAGATAATAAACGAGATATTTAAATTTATTTTTGAATACTTTTTTTATATGAGATTCTCAAAAGTTATAACAAAAGTCTATTTTCTTCTAAATTGTAATATCATAATCAAATTATATTTACAAATATAAATAATTCGATTTTATTTTCTTTACTCTTTAAATTTTTTTGAAAGAATTGTGATGCTTTCTCTATGATAAAATTGAGAAGTTTACACATAATCACTCTTGATCAAGTAAATGGATATTGATAAAACTAACTATAATTTATAAATCTCTCACATTACAGGAATCTGTATCTATAATATTACCTTTAAAAATTGAACACGGGAAGAGTTTAGTGTTCATCAAAATATTTTTGACACTTTACATGTGACGCGACCCTATTTGAATTCTATCTTCATGACGCCGTAAACCTTTCAAAATTGAATGAAAATGGTTGTGACGCCAATATGACGCCGATTATACCCAAGCCCTGAAGGGAGTATATATGTGTTTTTGTCACATATTTAAATTTGGGAATAACTCAGCATAGTCTGTAAAATAGTTAAGTACAGGCCATAAGTTATATAAAGCATAAAAAAAAGAAAATAAATATTAATAAGGTAAAATAAGATTTGAAAGATAGAAGGGGTTGTTTAATAATTAGATATGAGAAGTAAGAGTGCATATTAGACTCTTGTCGGTCAAACTTTTGCAATCACATTCTGATTGCAGAAGATTGTCTCATTGTGGGAGACATGCAGTGACAATGTCTCCCAGAATGAGATATTGTGACCGACAAGAGTGCACAATACACTCTTGTCGGTCAAACTTTTGCAATCACATTCTGATTGCAGAAGATTGTCTCATTGTGGGAGACATGCAGTGACAATGTCTTCCCAAATTAGAACTCAATAGTTGCAGCCCACTAATATCTTAAATTGTTCGATCTATTCCTGCATACTAGTTTCAAATGAGGAACGTTCTTGTATCATGCATGAATATTTTCATATTCATTGCATCAATGATCTAACAATTTAAAGATTGCTAAAAACCTAAAGCAAAAAAATGATCTGCTAACTATGCAGGCAGCTCAAGCGCACCAAGGGGAGGCGTTTTTCTGAATTGGGCGATCTTCGTGAGATCTCAGGAGGCGAAGATTCGGAACCCAACCGGCTTCAAGCTGTAACATCTGGCTAGCAGGCCATACATTTTTAAACCGCCTCTAACCGTTCATCTCGACCACATTATCGGCATTCATATATATATTTGAATATTAAGACAAATAAAACCATTCGTTTGATCGAAATTGAGGAATTTATTGGTAAAGCAAAAAAATTTAAGAAAAAGGTTTGCCATTTTCTTTGATATTTATATATTTGAAAGCTACCATATAAATAAATCATTAAATTTATCCCATTTTAATATTATGATTATCAAATGCGAAAATTAAAAAAATTATACTGTCTTGATTCGAACTCAATCCATTTAATCCTGACATACAAACCATACCATTATGCCAAAAATATCATTGTTTGTTTTCTTAATAATAATATAAGATCGCTTATTTCTTAATTTTCTTCTATTAAAATTTAGTATTTTATATAACGAATCATTAACCTTCTTATGTAAGATTTATACTTTCACTTTATAATTTGTTCTAATCGAATCTTTTTTTTATTCAAAAATTTTAAACATATTTCTTGATGATAAATGTAACTCCACATTTGCTGCCTATATTTGACAAATGTTTAACATATTTTTACTTAATTTCCTTTAATTTTTTTATATTTTTTTTTTTATTCAGTATTAATTTCATATTACTTTATATATCCTAGATATAAATTCCATAAATATATCATTGCATTTAAAAATATGGCTCAAATATGATTCTTTATAGGATATTTTTGTAAGACGCCAAAAAACCACGACTTCTAGCCTTATCATTATGTACATTATTTCTAGAAACCGTCTTAGCCCCTGAATATATAGTTACCAATTAGATAAACAAAATAGCGCCAAATAAATTATTTATGATTATCGACAACACATAGCCATTCTGTTCGAACCATTAGGCAAAATACCCCGACAAGTCAAAAAAAGCATAACTCATGATCATGTCAAACATCAATAATCTTTTGACATGATTTGTGCAAAAATCTCAATAAAAGCTATTATTGGCATTTACTCATGATATATTAATATATTACATCAAAGAAATCCATAAATAATACCACATCAAAATACAATAAGGCTAATTTCACCTCATACTTTTAATTTGAACAAAGACACATATTCAAATATAATCACCATATATGGTAGAATATTGCCATATAATTGACACTTGACTTTTACACAAGCTCAAAATCAGCATCCCCATAGGATATTAGGTTTTCGAGAAAACAACACGGGATAAAAGTACACATATATATCTGTCTAATTTCATAAAATCAAGTTGCTATATTTATCTGGAATGGTAAGATTCAACAAACAAGTGTGATTTGGTGTCACTTTTTCGTCCAATAACAAAAATTTAAGGGTAAGTTAATTCATGGTAAGAAATTATTTGTCATTCCCTAAAATGCAGATACAATATCAACATTCTGTGTTATCTCTAAACTATGAGGTGGATAAATGCTAAAACAATTTTCAATGATCAAAAAATTAGAAATAGAAAAATTTCAATAAATCATATTGATCTATCAGTTCCTTATTGGAATAATTCTCAACTTCAGAAAAAAAAATTGAATTGGAATAAACACTGTTGTTTTTTAGAGATAAATCAAATATTTGACAAAATTATATCAATGTCTTTAAAAAACGTAAAAACTATTCATTGAATTTTCAATTTGAAATAAAATACTTTTTGGATGAGCAACGGACATCTAACAGACGATGAGTTAGATGATTCTCGCTCATCAAGTAGTGATGCTACTGAAGATTTAGTATTATCGCTGAATAAAATCAGAAAAGTCGAATTAGATTTGGTCAAGATATTATATGGAAGAGAAAGAGCATCTACTTACATAAAAATTACAAATAATATAGAAGGTGTCGAATTTACTGATCAATTTGGCCAAGAAAATACTACTGGAAAAGTTTCAGATACATTAACGGATTCTGTTGATACATTAACCTTCACAGGAACCGACACATCAAGCACACCAATAACAGTTGTAAATATAACTTCGAATAATCAACAAACAGAGCCAACTTGTTGTGATTTTTGTTGTGCTCGTCAAAAAATTTATCCGACACGTTCGTTACCATATTCTAATTACTCAGTATGTATAATATTACAAATATCTTCAATATATTTTGAAGATATTTAAATTTTCAAATACTAACACACAGATTGCACTGAAATCACTAGATTTATTACCACTAAAAGAGAAAAAAGACCAAAAGAAGATCACTCTAATTCTAGATATTGATGAAACTCTAATTCATAGTACTTTTGTTTCTGATCCTCACGCAGATTTCCATTTTTACATGTCGAATGATGATATTACCTATGATATATATGTTTCTGTCCGACCTGGTTTGAAGCAATTCTTGAAAACAACTGCAAAATATTTTGAATTAGTTGCTTTTACCACAGCAAGGCAGAATTATGCAGATTACATATTAGATCGGATAGATCCAGATCATTATATTAAGTATAGACTGTATAGAGAGTCTTGTATTATATATAATGGTACGTTTGTAAAAGATTTAGCAAAACTTGGAAGAGATCTTCGAAAAGTAATCATAGTTGATAATTCACCTGCATGTTATATGCTTCAGCCTTATAATGGACTAGCAATTCAAGATTTTAATGGAAACCCAGAAGATAATGAATTAGAACATGTTTCAGACTTCCTTGTTAAAAACTACAAATGCGACAACGTTATGGAGTTATTTGCTCAATAATTTTGTTTGTAATATATGTAATTTATAAAAATATGTTTGTTATGTAATATTCTTTAACATTATAAATGCATTTTCAAGCGTTTCGTTTAATGAAACATAGAATAGCTTTAGTATTTGAGAATTAATTTGAGATATTAATAAATTTATTGTATAATTCAAAACCTACATGAATTTCATTCTCAATTAGCTGTGGAAATCGAATACACATATAATTTTGGAAAAAAAAAGAAATTTTTTGATAGTTGATATTTAGTATTATCCAATTTCAATCGTAATAAAACAAAAACATATATTTATTGGGAAGCTGTTTCCATAATGCTTTGAATCATTGATCTACGAATTTCTCTCTCTTCAACAGTAGAAGCATTTGCTGGTGATGCAATAAGTAACTTTGAAAACGCGAGTTTTGCTGCTTTCTTGTCTGCTCCTTTTGCAAATTTTGCTCTGAAGCATCTCTGAATCATATATGCTGCAAAATTTCTATTTAACGCTTCGTATTTGTATATTAATCTGAAAATAATTTGATTTTCGTATCCTGATGCTTCCAAAGATCCTGATGATTTCATTATAATGATATGTGCCAAAAGAGATCTCAATTCTGATGCTAATTTCAAAGCCGGATCTGGATTTAATGGAGATGGCACGCAAGGATCTTTTGATGCTGGAGCAAGCAAATCAATATAAAAAGTTCCAGCTTGTTCAGCAAGTTGCGGCCAAGTTGTCAAGCACTGAAGAGTTGTTTCATCAAAGTCTGGAAATGATTGATATAATGATAATGGCTTTTCAACAGGCATTTCTCCTGCGTCTCCTTCCATTTTTTCAAAAAAGTGTCAGATTTATGATACAATTTAGATCCCTAATGCCTTCTTTAAGCAGATATAATCTAATAAACTTTTAAAGAAGCAGAAAGACTATTGAATACTTCCCAGCAAACTTTTTTTTATCGATTATCAAATCTGATTATAATAAACGTTAATATTTACTTATTAAAAATTAGTATTTTCCTTGAAATCTGAAATAAACTACTTAGTCCTAGCAGATTCCAGATAATGAACAACTTCATGTTTACCATTTCTTGATGCATGAATGAGTGAAGTATATTCTTCATTATCCTTTGCTTCTATATCAACTCCAATAGAGATATGATATTTAACAACTTTAAGTTCACCATTTCTTGATGCACAAATGAGTGGAGTTTTTCCATTATTATTCTTTGCTTCTTTATTAGCTCCAGCAGAGATAAGATATTTAACAACTTCGGGTTTATCATTATTTGATGCATAAATAAGTGGAGTATATTCATTTTTACTCTTTGTATCTTTATCACAGCCAGCTTCAATGAGAGATTTAACAAATTATAGAAACGATGAAAATTTTGGAAATTTTGCTTGTTTTAAAGTGTACCTTCACAACAGAAGGAGGTTAATTCTTTTTAGGGTCCAAAAAAGTGTTTGCCTTTTTGGGACGAATATAAAGTTTTTGTCTCCGGTTTGGCAATGAAATGATTTCATACAAGGGAATAATAGTTCAAACTATTGATCAATTATTCACAACAAGCAATTTAGAGTTGCTTTATTATAAATTAAGCATGAATCAAGCATAAAAAATTCCAAAAAATTATTTTTATATCATGGTTATTTATTGAATAAAAACAATAACAATAGTATAAAGAATGGTACGTTACTCTTTTGGAGCTAATTGGGAAAGTAATTGCCTTGATAATTCGCAAATACTTTCAAATTCTGATTCAGCGAGTTCTTCCAATTGATCAAACAGTTCATTCTTCTCAATTATATTTATACAGAACTCAGAATTGCAAATTGTATCCAAATGTTGAAGTTTTAACAACAATTCGAGTGTCAAAGCGCAGCAGCGTTCATTATTAGTGTCTAAACCAAACATAATGTCATCAATGATGTCTTCAACCGAAACAACAATTGTTGCGCAAATTGAATCTGGAAGGTGCAAAATTAATTCAACAAATGATGTCAATGCGTTGTATTTAGCATCAAATGTACAATTATTCAATAAATATCTGATTAATTGATAATAAAAATCACAATTAAAAATTTCAGAACTATTTTGGACATTTCTGAATATACTTTCACATATTGATACTGCACATCTTGCCCATGATTCATTCCATTCTTGTAAAGCGTTCAAACATGCTGCAATGAAATCCAAAATGTTTATATCGACAAAAATTTGGGCTTCTGGTAGTTTTCTGGCTCTGTTTGAAAAGAACTTCATCATAAAAGACACAAATTTTGTATTATTAATATTAGAAAGACATAAATCAAACAAATGAGAATAAAATTCAGGATTTGCAAAAATTTCGTTATCTATTTGACATCTAATTGTTGAAAGAATACTTGCTGAATATCTTAATATCTTTGGATCAGGAACATCGAAGAGTTTTGATACTAATGGAAAGAAAATTGTAGATAAACAATTTTGATCGGCTTGTTTTGCAAGATTCATGAGCGTTTTAACACAAGTTTGGAAAAATTCGGATAATTCTTCTTTTTGTATAAAAACTGTACAGATTGTAGCAATATTAATATGAATTCCGGCCATTAGTAGGTTTGAAAGTATATTTCGATTATCTGAGCACGAAAAATTATAAATTGTATCTATTGCTGTTTCAGCACTTTTGTCTTTTGCAAAAATTTTTGCAGCTAAAAATTTTATATTGCCAAATGCGTTTGTAAGTGCTAAAATAGCATCTGATGATAAATAAGAGAAGCTGTATAATAGTTCTAATAGTAATTCTTCTGTTCCTTGAGGTATTAATGACAAAAATTCTGAAAAACGTCGGAAAAATCCATATTGTACAAGAATCATTTCGACATCATGACTAATATTTTCGATATATTCTGATATTCCAGCAAGATCTTCAATGTAATTTGCAGGATCTTCCATAAACGAGATACAGATATCAACAAAGTCTTTCGAAAGGCCACCATCATCTTTTAGAGCTAAATTTAGTTTCTCTCTCATGTTCTTGATATCAGATATTAAACCTTCGTCCTCATTTTCTTTGTAAAACATCTAAAATCTAGATTTATAAAAGTGACATTTTTGATATTCTCACTTCAAAAAGACATCAAATACAAGAGTGGCTGTCTTAAAAATTTATGGTATGTAATAATTTATGAAGGACTCGTTATACAAAGAATATCAGTTAAGTTTGAGCAATATCGAATGAAATTATTCATATTTTTATCGAATTTATACCATAATCATTGACATAACATCTTTTCTTTATATGTGTTAGTTGATTGTATCTGTAATTTTATATGTATATTACAATTTCCCTCAATTTTTGAATCAAATTTGCCGTTTTCCAAGTATAATGCAAAATTTGGGCTGAAAATTTTCTTTTTTATCATTTTGTGATATCTAATATGCTACATAATCATAGAACTTTATTAGGTTACTCCCCCTATTATTGTTAATTTTTTTGAGGAATGAAATTAACAGAAGCTATTATTAATGAAATTAATGAAATACCAAAACTTAAGTACTTGCTTATTAATCTCATGCATAAAAACGAGAAAGTATCAGCTGATTTTAAAGTTATTCAGAAACAATTGGCATCATTGCAACAAAAATATGATTCTTTGCAAAATGATTACGAAATATTATCAAAAACTTCACAAAATCTCCAATCAAATCAAGGAGATGTAGAATTTGAACGTATTAGAGCAGATTTTAATCAAAATGCGTGTGAATTTCTTACAAGGTTAATTAGAGGAGTCGATCACTCTGATCCCGTTTCATCATCTACAAAACTAATTGATGAATTTAGATCAGAAATCAAACTTTCAATTGATTCTCAAAAATTAAGCATTCAGAAGGAGTTATCAGATCAAACAAAGTTTCTTAAGGAGAAGACAGCTTTGATTAATGAAATGCGTGATCAATTAAACCGCCCAATCTCTCAAGATGTCGAAAAATTATTGAATGAAAAAGATGAATCAATAACAAAGTACAAATCGATGTTACAACGTTCTGTTAAGTCAGATCAACGTAACCAAGAACAAATATCAGTATTGCAATCAGAAGTAAACAGATTAAACGAATTATTGTCTCAAAATTCATCACCACAATCACAATCAGCACCAGTTGAAGAAGTTACGAAATTACAACTCGTTATTACAAGTCTTGAAGAAAGAATTCGAAATTCTGCTCCTTCAAAAGAATTAGAAGCAAAATACGATAGATTACAAGCAATGTTTGAGAAATCAAATCGTATATATTCACAACTTGATGAAAAGTATCAAAATTTGCTTAAATCAATGAACCAAAAGAAATTTTATTCAATTATTGAAGAATCATTGGTTGTTGAAGTTCCTGACGTCACAACAATGGAAAGAAAGGCTACCAAAAAGGATCCTAAACCAAAATCTCAAAAAATGAGTGGTGCTGAAGCTTTAATTGCATCTTTAAGGAAAACTATTTTGCAATACTTCCTTTGTAAGGATGACAGTCAAGCTGATCTTGTTCCTGTGATTTTGGAGATTGTTGGTTGCACTCCTGAACAAATTGCAACAGTTGAGAGAAATCAAGAGGCAAGAAGGCATTTAATCAACAAAACTGGTGCTTTCTTTGGTATCTTTGGATAAGATATCTGTTATTTCCTTATTTTTCTTTTATTATTGTTTTATATTTTTAAAATTGTTTTTTAATTCTTTTGTAAACCACTAGCTATCTATCGTATGAGCGCAAATAACATTATTAATGGCTTTGATCATTTAAAAATTTCGAAAAAATATTGTATCTTGAAATAATCATAAAAATATTGATGATCTACCTAATGGTGAGATCGTCTTAGTCTTTTTATATAATTTGCTTTGTTACATTTTGCTTGATTCCAATAAAAAATCAGAGTTTATATTGTCATTTTTAATAATCTTGGATATCTGAAAGATATATTAAGAATATAGGTTAATTGGCATAATTCATAAACATTTTTATAAAAATCGGATATTCAAAGGTATGCTGATCTAAAAAAAAATTAGGATGGGTGAACTCTATGGAGTTGGCAAGATTTTACAATTCATAGAAGATAATTTCTTTCTCAGCCGTGCAACACTCTTTGTTTTTGCATGTGTTGTCGCCTCCTGGGGTTATAATTGCATCTTCTTTGTGTTCATCTTTTTAGAATTATTCATTTATTTTTGCCAATACATCGGACCAGTTATCGACAAGAATAGAAAAGAAGAATTTGATACATGGGTTGATCAATCATTAAAAGTTACTGGTGGTGAAACAGCTCATTGTTTAAATGGCTTCATTGAGCAAGCATGGCAGCCAATATTTCCTGATACATACAGTCCATTTTTCTGCCAGCTGTTAACAGACCTATTTACAAGTCTATTACCAAAAATTATCAGAAATATTAATTTCACATGGTTTTCTTTTGGAAAAAGACCACCTAAAATCATTCAAGTCGTTACAGAACAAGCTCCAAATCCAATGTCTGTGGCATTAACAGCTTCAGTTGTTTATGCTCAAGATCTTTCAATCAAAATGAACTGCACAGTTCTCAAAATACCATTTACACTTGAATTAACAGATCTTGTTGCTTATGCTCCTCTTCAAGTTACTGTCGAAACACCAGAAAAGCCAAACTTTTTGTATTTGCCTCCAATTACTGCGATTGTTTTCAATTCACCGCAACATCTCCGCATTCTTTCTAATACTCTTAAGCTTAACGGCTACAATGTTGGCAAACTACCGCTCATTAACTTCTTATGGTGTCATATGCTCGAGCATTTCTTCAAACTCATCCTTAGTGATGGCGAATCCGTAGTTTGGAACTTTGTCACAGGAGAATGGAAACTTCGCCATATGACAAGACCATATTCTTCCCTTTCTGCCAAAATGTTCCAAGGAATTGCTACAGAAAGCACTCCAACGAAGCTCGGAAGGTTCTCAATGCCAGAAAGTATGCTCGCAGCCTTCAATGATACAAGAAAGAAACTTTGGGAAAGACTTTATGCAGAAAAAATCCCTCCAACAAAGAGATTGGTCTATTTAGCCCCTAACCATGGTGAAATGACCCAACTGTTACTTCCTTATGAAAATAAAACAGCTGAAAAAGCTGATATCGAAACTCAAACAGAAATTGTGGAAAATGAACCAGAAAAAACTGAAAATTAACTGATTTTGTTATTAATAAATTAAATATTTATTCTTTACATACAAACATAAAAAAAATTGAAATTTTTCTTTGAAGAGGCTCTAAGTAAGCATTGAACTATAAAATTGGAATAGAAGCTCTATCTAAAGAGTAAGTACAAGTTAATGAGATCAATCAAAAATAAATTATCTAAATAATTTTTTTCAAAGAATTACTGTATTCACTGCGTACATTGATTTTGTATGGAGTGTTGTATTTGGAGTGGCTTTTCGAGAAGAAATTGTACGGTTAAGAGAATTTGTTGTGTTAAAATCTCGAGTTTGGGTTGCTGTTTTGGTAGCATTGTCTGATTCATCCTCCTGATCAAATTCTGTTGCTGTAACTCTTCCTGAGTTACGTTTTTTGATAATGAAAAATGAAACGGTTGCAATAATACCAACAAGCGCCACGCATACCAGCGCGACGAAAGTGTAAAGTAATTTCTTTTGGATTTGATTTGGAGTCGAAGTTACTGTGATATCATTGAAATCTTCTTTTCGAGGTTGAGTAGCGACAGGAGTAGTCGGAGCGACTGTCGGAAAGGGAGTTCTTGGTACATCAACTTCAAAGTCATCTCCTGGAAGATCTGGGAGATCTGCTACAGTCAAAGAAAAGAGAAGAAGGAACATTTGATTTAAATTCGTTAAAAATTTTCGATTTTGACAAAATAAAATTTGAAAATGAAGAACTCAATAATGGTAGCTTTTTTTGAACAAATCTAAGCGGTATTTATTAGTATGCCTCTTATACTATATATTGCACCAACTTTCAACGGGAAGATACGTTTTTCCCGAAAAATAATCGTCTTGTGACTTTTTTCCCCGAAAATCGTTCCGATCACGACGATAGACCCCCTGGAGATTGATTTCGACATGAAGGAGTGGAATTAGACTTCTGTGATTGATATGATAGGTATACCAGAACTTATTAATATGAATTATCAATTCAAAATAGTTGATTATATAAATAAGCTAACTTAATTAAGATGATTTGATTGATATAAGTGTATTCTAATACAATTTAAGTTAAGGACATAAAATTCATCAGCTATATATTGCGTTTTCTATCAATATTATGTTAAATTCAATAATTTTATAATGAGAATAAAATTCAAAACAAAAAAGTATCGGATTATGAAGTAATATACTAGCATTTTGTTTTATATGTTTATGATATGTGATTTATGACTGTGTTTATGGCTAAAAAATAGTTTTTTAAGTAGAAATTTAATATAAGTAAATTTTTATTCATAATTTGGGTAATTTAATGGGGAAAACTCGTTATTTCGAAAAGTTCCACATAAGATAGTGGCAAATTTGTAAAAAAATCGCGAAATAAAAATTATATTCATTCGTATTCAAATTTTTTTATGATTTGTTTAAGTAGATGATTTCAGTATATGAATTTAGGTTTGAAAACGAAAAGTTAAGCTTGTTTTTGTAAGATGAAATATGAATCACGCAAAACTCTGATTAGTAAGTAATATGTTTTTATATTTCGATAAATTTTATCGATGATATGTTAAATCTGATAAAAATTCGATAATTGTAAAAAATATGATGTAAATTGTAAAATAGTTGAAAATACTTGGGGTATCTTGAAATATATTGAATGGTGTAATAATTATGTACTAATTTAATTGCATTAAATTGCTAAAATTATGAGATTGTAAATTTGATCGAAAGATCTGAATTTAAATAAAGAAGCGAGAGAATTTTTAATTGATTTATGTTATTTGATATCACTTTTTGTCAGTGATATTCTTTGATCTATGATTTAATGAATACGTTAGTATGAATAATCAATATTCATTGAGCAAAAATGAACTTATTCAATGTATTTTACTGATTTTTAGCATGCACATGTTATATTGTGTGATAGATTCTTCGTAATCAAGAAGATATTTACAAATATTTTAAAATTGGCCTTAAACCTGTTGAAATAGCTCAAACACTGCATAAAATTGGTAAATTTGAAGTAATTTAAGCATTTTGGAGATGTAAAATTTCTAAAAAAATTCTAAAATCATGAAAATATTTCGAAATTTTGTTAAAAATACTTTCAAAATATGGAATTTATAAAAAATTTGGAATTTCTTGATCCTAGGATTTTGATTAGTTTTATTAAATAGCTTAAATCATAAGTGATTTATAAAGTTTTAGATAAATTCTTAATTAAAATTTATTTAATCAATGAGTTTGGGCAATTATACTGAACTTATAGAATGAACATATGAATGAAATGAATAATACGCAGCACTTCCTTTAGAATTTCTATTTTTTATTATAGATTCCAAATTCAATGTATTAGAAATCAATATCTATAGAAAATCAGCCATAGTATTTTAATTTATTATGATAATTATTGATTAACATTAGACTCGTATCTCTTTTCCTTGTGAATAAAAAGATTTAACGGATTGGTTATTAAACTATAGGTTTATTCAATCTAACTAGATAATACATGATATATCCAAGTTAAGGAAACGTTTATTTAGTTAACATCTTTGATTTGTGCTAATTATAAATGAGTTATTTCTAGATTGATCAATTTTCACATCCATCATCTAATATCATCTTTTTTGAATCATTTTATATAAAATTATTCTATTCTTAATTATAAAAAATGCCAATGAATTGATATTTTTGTGAATCCAGGTAATAATAATGTTTTTCATAAGTAAACTAGTTACACATATATATAATCGATCAATACTAATCTAGCTTTGATTCAAAATCAAGAGATATTGACTATTATTCATTATATTATCCTTAATTTTAAATTAACGTTGAATAATTACAAAATAGATACATAGAATATATATGAAATATGTAAATACTGATGGGTTATCTATAAAATATGCTAGAATCATACTTAATATTATCAAATGAGATTTTATACTTAAAACTACTGTAACACATTATATTACATTACAAATCTTTAACCAAATACAAACACTCATATTAGGAAAACACTGGGTCTTTTGATCCTTTAATATAATATATTTTTTTATTTTATTATATTTTCTTATTTTCTTCACATTATATATAATTCCATTATGGCATTCCAAACGGGAACCGCGGTTGGTTACCATGGATTTCCGTCACCGGTCACATTTTAAAGATTTTTAAAGCCTTATAAAAATATGCTTTGTAAATCATTTTTTGTAAATCGGCAAAAATTTGGTAATTTTCTTCAACTAATAAATCTGCGAATAGCATTTATAATACAAGAACAATCTTTTAAAATGCGTTTGATTCATTTTTGTATAATTTCATATAGGCACATATATTCTTCCGGGACTTTCCGTGATTTTACCGTAAAATCATTAGTTTACACCAATTTTTCCGTATTTTGAATAGTTTACTGCACTTTTTCCGTAAAATTGAGTTACGGGAATCCGCAAAATTTCCGGACCTCATTTTTCATAGAATATAATAATAATATTTGATAAAAAGATATATTATTTATATTTTTGATTTTTGAATTACGGAAAAAGTGAATTGTTAACTTGATTTTTTTATATGGTTAATTTTTCAAATGATATTATGAAGATCTAAAATATTAAAAGTAAAAAATTGAATTACGGAAAAAGTGAGGTCAAAAGTGAAATAAATTTGCAGAACAATTTTCATTGAAATAAGACATTGAGTATCACACTTTAGTGAATCAACATCTATAAGAATGAAGTGTTTTGAAGCTGAAATAATATTGAATAGAAATTAATTTTTTCTGAAATTTTGAATGAAATTATGGGAAATAAAAAAATTACTAAATATTGTATTCATACAAATATATTATTTTAAAGGAAAAATAGATGCTGATAGAAACGATGAAAAATTTTGAAAACTTTACAATTAATTTATGTTCGTTAACCACAGAGCTTGCAATCCAAAGCTCACGTTAGACTACAAGAGTCATGAAGTCTCATACTAAGGGATATCCAACATATATTTTAATAATCTAATGTTTGTGACAAATATTCAACATAAAATTAAGTTTTCGTTTCGTTACAAGGCATTCATACTTTGGAGATATCATATTTAATGTACAGAAAAGTTAATATTAAACAATACATGCTAAAGAATTAATAAATAAGATAATAAAATAAATTTATACGTAATTACTTTCATTTAATATGCTTTATGCTGTATAATATTGATTAAGAGGCATTAAAAGGTTCCATAGTCTGCTTTTATAGGCAAGATTTTTGATAAAAATTTAAAATTTTGAAAAATGATGAGAAAAGGAAAAAAAAGGTAAATGAGAGCAAGAGGAGGGAAAAAAAAAGAAAAAGAAAAGAAAGGGAAGGGAAAAATAAAAGAAAGAAGGACATATAAAAATTTAGATGCGCATTCTTAATGCCGAGGCGGCTTGCCGCCGAGGCGCGATTTTTTTAGGCCTCTACGGTAACCCGGCAATGTTTTTTTAAATCTTGTACAGCCCTAAATTCCATAGTATATATAATGAAATTTTATCTTTGCATTAGTTACAAATTCTGTTATCATGAATATGCACAAACAATCCACATCAATTTAGAGTTTTGAACTAAACCAATATTGTGCAATGAATTAAAACAACAAATTATATAAAATATTCTAGATTTACATTGTAAATCAATATAATCAAATTATATAATCTTAATTAAAAAATAAATATCTTTCATCCGCTTGGATCTAATAACCTTAAGGTATGCTCTGATTAATTGCATATACAGATTTGGACAAAAACAAATATTGCGAATTCTCAGGGGGCTATCGTCGTGATCGTAACGATTTTCGGGAAAAAAGTCACAAGACGATTATTTTTCGGGAAAAACGTATCTTCCCAACTTTCAACGTTAGATGAATGTCGGATTTTATAAAATCGATGGAAATTTTATGTGTCAAATTTTCAAAAACAAATTATATGTATCAAGTCTTCCCTCTTTTTGCAGATGGGGCTAAAGTCATTCAGTACGGGTACTATCAAATAGAAGATGCTCAGGGAGAAGTCAAAGCAGACAAGTTTTATTTCAAATTTCCAATTATGGTAGAGGTTAAACCCGATTCTTATACGTATATTATATTAACAGACAACGATAATGTTATTCAAAATATTATGAATTCAAATAATATAACGAGATACGGAATTTTAAATTTCGATGTTAGCTCTCCTAGTTTAAATGATGGAAGTGAAAGAAAGATAAATGTATACAAAATACCGTTTAGTGATCAAGGCAATCAAAATAAAATTGCAGAATTTCTAAATACAAATAAAATTGGTATCTTTAACAATAACAAATACACTAAATGTGAACTAACGATTAACAGAGAAGATGATAATGTTACAGAACTATTTCCATTTTATACACACAAATCAATTTACGATTTCTTGGTCAGTAATGAAGAAACAAGCACATACATTGATTTACTTGATTCTCTGATGTATAATGATTGGCCAATTGTTCCGTTTGATTACAAAACTAAAAAAGGAAAATTCTTGATGAAACTTTATTCGAAAACTATTAGTCCTACAATTCCAAAAGACGTGACAAAACTGGAAATTATTACTTCTGGAGGAAAATTAATTCAAATTAGAGAAACTCATGAAAATTATGCTTTGTGTCATGTTACTCTTAACAATAATGAAACTGCTTTGTTGGCAACAAGTGATTGTGACTTAGTTACCAGCAAATTTAGTTTAAGTTCAATTGATTATTATCAATTAAATAATTGGCAACCAATCACTGGTGAAGGTTCAATTATTTCCTCAATAAAAGGATATCTATATATTATTCGTGAGTCAGATGCTCCAATTACTATTGTTTCTACTTATAATGATTTACAAGGTCTGAATAAGACTAACTCTGGTGTATAAAAGCTTTTAAACTGAATTGTGTTTTCATTGTAAAGATTTTTCATAAATTTTGTATAAAAAATCACAAATATAAAAGAAATTTTGTATTATGATTGTTCTTAAACTGTTTAGCTTCCAAAACCTTTTTGTAAATGAGAAGAACTTTATTAAATAATAATTTTGGTTTATTATTAGCTGATATAAAATTCAAAAATTAATAATCTTCAATTTAAGAAGATTCTTTTTATTAAAATATATTCCATGCTGCATCTGTTTTATAGATTAACTCGGATAGATAATAAATCTGAAAAATGGGGAAGTGAAATTGAATTTAAGAACTGAAATCTTAATATCATTAATATACACTATATGACAAACCCTAATTTACTAAAATTAAGAACATGAAGGCGGCAAGAAATTGAATGGGCAATTTTGTCAAAAAAATTGTATTTTGATGTTTTCATTATTTAGCTTATGTCTAGTACAAGACCTAGAATCATATAACTTAAATCCTCCATTTAAGCTCACAGGACTTACTGAAATTGGAGATTGGTCTGTAATTGGCTCTGCTGCAATTATCAAAAAGTATATTCGCCTTACAAGCGCTGTAACAGAGGTAGAAGGTGGTGTTTGTCATAGGAAACCCACCCAATTTGAAAATTGGACGGTAGATTTTACTTTAAAAGGATATAATGGAAATGGCGGTGCAGGTTTTAATTTTACTTATTCATATGACTTCTGCCCAGAGAACAACGAAGATGCAACCGGTTTTACATTGTTTATAAACACTACAACAAGATATTCCTTGTGTCCAATCTATATAATCGAAGGAAGGCACTTAAAATCGATGAATTCGCAAGCACCAATTGATATGGAAAAGGCCAAGATCGGTGATTTCGATTTCAGAGGCGAAGAACCGATAAATATCAGAATAACTCGCGCCGGCAATTTAATTTCATTAAAATTCATTCGTGGATATTACATTACTAATTTCGAGAGAGAAATTCAGAATCTTCCATCTGTTGGCTATTTCTCGATCAAATCTTACACAACTAAGTGGGCTGATGACAATGATCTTCTTGATTTCAAGGTCACTCAGCTTTCAGGAGATATTCCACTCGCAAATGCCAATATTTCCGAAATTAACAAAAAAGTTTTAGATTTAAGCAAAAATACAAGACGCGCGAAGAAATTAGTACGTAAATTCCAATCATTGATTACAGGAAAGTACGATAGAGCTCGTCGTTCTAATTCCAACCAATTGACAGGAAATAAACAAGAATTTTCTGAAATTACAAATGTCATCAATGAATTGATAACCAGAGCCACCCAAACAGTCAGCAAGGAGAATCTCAAGGAGTTCATACTCAACGATGTCGAAGAAACGCTTGCAAAAGCCGCAGCAAAGATGCAGATACAAATGGACAGATACAAAGAGACAGAGTTCGACATGAATGACATTTGGAGTGATTTAAAGGGTAATTTAAGGGATTTGGCCATGGAAGCGAAATTGAATATGACAATGCTCGGAGAAGAAGCAATAAAGCTTGCCAACAAGATAGTAGCTAATAATTTCACGGCTGAAGAGATGGAAATAGAAGATTTACCGGCTGGAGAAGAAAAATCTTTTATTCCAACTTTTTGCATTTTGTTTTGCATCTGTGAGTTTGTTGTTTATATATTATGGTTCAATAATAAGAGGCGTCGCACTAATAACTTCAAGAAAGCCGATTAATTTTTAGAAATAAAATCTTTCTTAACACTTTTTTTAGATTTGATTAGTTAATAAATTATACTTTTCTTTGTAACAAAAATTTAAATAAATATTTTATTTACATATGATGAAATTGAAAATTAATAATTTTTATACTTCAAATAAGGGGCAAAGTGTGGCCTAAAATATGTCATAAAAGTGTTACTTTCTAGTATATGATTATATTTTGTTTCTGATACAGAATTTGTCTTCCGATTATTATATTTCCTTCATAATAATGTCGATGAAAGTTGTCTCAAAAGCGATATTTATTTATATAGTTTGTCATCTGTTTAAGCATATTTTCTTTGGCAAAATCAAAAGCTGTTTGTCTATAGTTATTTGTTTCATCGATATTAGCATCATTGGCGACAAGAATTTCTGCAACAGCTAAACTGGTATTTTTTGCGGCGAAATGAAGGGCAGTACATCCATCATTATCTTTTGCATTAATATCTGCTCCATTATTAATTAGAATTTCAGCTACTTCTTTACTGTTATGTTGTGCGGCAAAATGGAGAGCAGTACATCCATTATTATCTTTGATATTAACATCTGCACCATTGGTAATAAGAAGTTCTGCTATTTCCTTACTATTGTTGATGGCAGCTCTATGTAGAACTGTCATTCCATTTTTATCTCGATCATCAATATTTGCACCGAGATAAATTAATATTTCTGCAAGTTCTTGACAATTATTTTTCGTTGAATAATGAAGAGCACTTAATTCATCATTATCTTTTTCGTTGATATTTGCTCCATTTGAAATAAGAACTTCTATTGTTTCTATACTGTTACTTTCTGCAGCATAATGAAGAGGAGTGCGTCCATCATTATCTTTTTCATTAACATTTACGCCATTTGATATCAGAATTTCTGTAATTTCTTTACTATTATGTTTTGCTGCATGATGAAGAGCGGTCATTCCAAATACATCTTTGTGATTTATATTGGCTCCATTTGAAATAAGAAATTCTACTGTTTCCTTATTGTTAAATGATGCGGCAAAAGTAAGTAGAGTCCACCCATTTGTACCTTCCTCATTAATATTTCCTCCGTGTGAAATATAAAGCTGAATTATTTCTTTATTATTTTTTGAAGCTGCAATTTCGAATGTCATCTCTTCAATCTGATTTTTTCCGTTTGCATTTTCCATTTGTAACATGAGGAATTCTTGTGTCTCAATGCTATTATTACCCGATGCAATATAAATTGGTAATAGCCCATGGCTGTCCATTTCATTGATGTTAGCACCATGAGATATTAGAACTTCTGCAGTCTCTTTACTATTATATTGCGCTGCGTCATGAAGAGGTGTCCGTCCGTCCAAATCTCTTTCATTAACATTTGATCCGTTTGAAATAAGAATCTCTGCAGATTCCTTAGAATTTTGCATAGCTGAATAATGAAGAGGAATTTTTACATTCATTTCTTTTTCATTGATATTGGCATCGTGTTTAATGAGAAGTTCAACAGTTTCACTACAATTAAAACGAGCCGAATAATGGAGAGCTGTGCATCCATTTATATCTTTGATGTTGACACTTGCATCATGCAATATAAGTACTTTTGATATTTCTTTGCATTGACCAAGTATTGAAAGATGTAATGGTGTCGAATTGAACGAATTCCTCGAATTAATATTTGCTTTATGAGAAATAAGAGATTCAACATTCTCAACTCTATCACTTGATGCGGCTAGATGAAGTGGTGTATTTCTACGATTGTCTCTTAAATTAACATCTGCGCCAAGTGAAATAAGATAGTCTATTATTTCTCTTTGTGAGCTCATAGCTGCATGATGGAGTATTGTTTTCCCACTTTTGCACTTGGAATTAACATCGATTTTATCTGAAATGAAATATTTGACAAGAGAAGGTTCTGAAAACAAAGGAGAATAGATAAAGCAATTTCTGTAGTCTTTTGTACTGTCAAGGTAAATAAAGAATGCTTGAATGTTGCCATACCTGCAACAATCTTCTAAATCAATATCAATTTCATATTCGCTAACCAAGAAAGAAACAAAATCAATGTTGTGTGAAAAAATTGCATAACTCATAGTTTTATCATCTGGAACTTCTTTTTTCAAACATTCATTCATGATATCTGGATTTCCACTCAAAAATGAAAAAGAGAGACATTGTGGAGTGATTTCTGAATTAAACTTAGATCGTAAAAGCTTAAAACAATTTTTAGCTCCATGATAACAACATAATTCAAGTAATGAATATCCTTCTTTTGAATCAGGATACAGTTCATTTGCAAGCTTCTGATTTTTATTAAAATCTCCTCTTTCTGTGAATGAAATAAATGATTTTATGTCATCATGCATAATGGAATAGTAAATTGTGCCTTTCTCATGAACATCCAATGAATAGTTTTCAGCTTCATATTTTTTGAAGCGTTTCTTATCATATGAATTCATTTCTATTCCATATTCTTGATTAAATAAATATTCCATAACTTTATCATTGTTAAAACTTGGTTTTATATGATAATCTTCATATATCATTTTGATTATTGACAAATAAGACCTTAAATAACGATTATTGAGCCTATATGCATTAAAAATTAAATTGAAAATCTTTATAGGTGAAAAAGTCTTCGTCTCAAGAAAATTGATTTTAATTGTTTTATAAATTTGTTGAATTTCATCATCATTTGCTGTTTTGATATGTACTAGAGGAGATATTGATTCATGATAAAAACTGTATCTTTCATTGAGCTCGTTATATAAGGAATGTATTTCTTTTTCGCTCATATGAAAAATGACAAAAAAAAGTCGTTTTGTGAAAAACGATTAGATGTAATTCATTTATAATAAAAAAGAAAGAATATCTTTTCTCCAGAAAATCAGCGAACGGATCAAAATAATTTTGTAAATTTTGCAAAGAATCACATGTTTTTAACAATGATATTGATCTTAAACTAAATACAAATGAAAAATGCTTATATTCTTGATGAAACCATTTCTGAAAAGTGCACGTTTAAAAATTTAATGCCGATTACTGAGGAAAGTTTTCCTTCAGTTATTGAAGCAATAAAATTTTCATTAGAGTTTAGATTATTTGATAATGCATTTATGCTCTGTGAAGAAGCCATTTCATGCAATTTATGTCCAGAAATCATCGAATTATATGCAAAATCTTTTTTGGAAATTGGATCGCCCAAACAAGCAGCAATATTATGCAAAAATAACATTCATGTAGTTATGTCATCTCCAAATACAATCATAATTTACGCAAAATCATTAATAGAAAGTGGTGATTTAGTTACTGCTGAGGATGTTTTATACAAATTCCTATTATCATGTATTGATAATAATAACATACAATATAAGGTCGCAGCTCAATACTATTTAGGTCTTATTATGAATCGAACAAGTAGATTTTCTTCATCAAAGCCATTATTTAACGACTGTTTATTATACAATAAATATTTAGTTTCTGCAAGGAAAAATATGCTGATAGACGCTATCCCTAAAGAAACAAATGAAATTCAAATCTCCGATAACATATCCACTCTAACTTTATTAGAAAATCCGCAAATAAATCCTGATGAAATAGAATTTCCGCCAAATTTCCGTGAATCAATTCCTTATCTAATACAAAAAGGCGATTATTATTTTCATAGAAGTAATTTTACATTAGCGTGCAGAGAATATAAGAAACTATATGAGAACTATCCATATAATACTCATGGCCTTGCATTTTACTCTACAGCTCTATGGCAACTGAAAGGTATTTCAACATTAACAGAACTTTCAAGATATTTGACATCTATTGCTCCAGGATCTGCCGAAACCTGGATTGTTGTTGGAAATCTCTCATCTGCTCAGCACATGAGCGATCAAGCCGTAGAATATTTCATCAAAGCTTCAAAAATTGATCGTTCTTGTTCATATGGTCTTACTCTTGCTGGCCATGAGTATTTAAGCCTTGGTCGCGATAGTGATGCCCAAGATAAGTTTAGAGATGCTGTTTCTCGTTCTCCTTTGGAATATTCCGCATGGTATGGATTAGGAACAATTTTGTACAAAGAAAAGAAATACGCGGCTGCAAGATATTACATCAGGAAAGCTCAGACAATCAATAGAGATTCAAGTGTATTGATGTCTATCCTCGCTCAAACGGAGTTGATGTGTGGAGATTCTGATGTTGCAATTGATTTGTTCAAGAAATCAGTTGCAATGGATAAAACTAACTATGCTGCAAAATTCCAGTTAGGATGCGCATACCAAGATATTCAGAAGCTGGAAGAGGCAAAAGAAGAATTCTCACAAGTTGCTTCTTTTGCTCCTGATGAACCAATGGCTTTGTTCAAACTTGGTCAAGTTTTCATGCAACAGGAAAATTTCGATATCGCTCTTCATTACTTTGTTGAAGCTTTGATATATGGATATCCTATCAAAACAGATATATATGATGAAATAGAAAGTATTATAGATGATATTATAAAGAAATGTCTTAAATAAACCAATATATTGTTAATTATTAAAATTTCCTATTATCTTTTTTGAACACTGTATGCTAAATATTCAAATATACGTAAAAAGAATCATCGTGATTATGAAAAATCTATATAAATCTGTATGATTTCGTTTACAAATATTATAATTTAAAAAAGGATAGAAATCATATGAAACTAATGTTATATATGTATAGACATACATTCCAATAGTATTGTTACTGAAGTTAATTCAAATTCAAGTTAAGTTTAAAGAAAAAAATTAAAAAATTTTATTTCAAGTAAACAAAAATTAAAAATTAGTAAGCTCATTAATATATATGCAAGCAAATGTATAATTATTATAGTGTAGAATATAACCCGTATTATTATTTAAACGAAAATAAGAAACAAAACAAAAAAAGTCTAACACCTTAATATTTTGATCCTTCTATAAGTTTCTGGAAAGAATATGCATTCCTTTCAGCATACAAGCAAGGTCTATTAGGTGTTAGTTTAGAAGTTGTAGCAAGACGAAAAGTTGTGTCATGACTTGTTGAAGAATGATTCTGAAATTGATGTGTCTTGAGATGGTCCTGCATGTGGGCAGCACTCACAGGTCTGCCGCACTCAGGGCAATTCATAATTCTGACAAGTGTTTCACCAGGAGCATAACCAAAGAATGGTTGTTCTCCAGTCTCGTGTGGAACATTATTAATGCCAGTGATCGGATTTACTAAACGAGGAACATGGAGAGGCTCACAACTGTTCATAATAAAAAATTGACATCCCAATTGAAAAGTGACAATGAAAGCTAATCGTATAACAGGTGGTACACTTAAGTTAAGGGTTGCAAAAGCTTGTCAACCATTTTCTTTCCCTCTAAGGTCTGATATGACACCTGCAACGCTTATTTCCGATATTTTGTCTGTTTTTGATTATAAAATCGAAACAGAAGTGATTATTCGGAATGAAAATACAGGAGAGCAAATTCTAAACTTATCAGAAACAGAAAAATTAGATTTATCGTTATTAAATGGTTCATTTTTGGTTTCATTTCAAGATGCTGACCTAGGAACCCAAGCATTCTATGATTCACTCAATTCTATGGCTGATCATACAGGAAGATTTGAATTTGCTCAGCGTTTAAAGGATAAATTATCAACTTTATATGCATATCACGCAATGATCTTTAAATATCAGTTCCTTTCATTAGCATTCAACGATATCGTTAATAAAAACTCTACACCAGTCTCAGACAACTTAGATGCATGGATTTCTGAAAAATTATTTGAATCATCAATTGTTATAATGAGTATCATCAATCTTATATCAAATCATTTAGCAGATTCGTATTTCTGGACCGATGTATCCATAGATACTGGACTTCAGCCCACTTTAACTCTAGATAATCCAAAATTATCGATTATTACAACTTTAATCGCAAAACTTGTACTTTACAACGTGCCATATCAAAAGATAGCAGTTGCCATCATTGAACCTTTCAAACCATCACTTTTGGCCGAACAATTAATAATTTCATTTTTTAATGTGATTTATTCAAGATGTACCATTGAAGATGCATATATTATCCTATCAGACATATTTACAGACACTTGGATTTACGAATCTTTCAGTTCTGAGGAATCGTTTAGTAAATTCATTACAACAGACCCTTATCCAACAGCATTTCCTTTCTTATATGTCAGGAATATCATTAACGACGTAATTGCTGGAAATACAGACTTAGATGAGACAATTTCTATTATTGAACAAATTGTTGAACCAGATTTGATCCACAATGTCCAACTAACACAAGCTATCGTTGAGCCATTTATCAATTCAATTTTTAACCGAATTTTTGCAAATGAAAATATCAAAGATAAATCAACAGTTACGGACGATGCGATCATCCAGGAAGTATTAGAAATGGCCAATCCGATATTTAAGAGGTTCATTGCTCCATACCAACATGCCCATTTTGAAACTTTAGAAGTTATGCAGGAAATCTTCAGAAAAAGGAATTTCTTCCCCACAGGATTGTTCAAGATTATTTTCTCCTACCTATACAAGCAGAAAATCATCTCTTCGTCGATGATTAACGCTTGGATGAGAAATTCCGGACGAAATTCACCGGGAAAAGAATCGGCCCTTCTAGAAATCGGTACTTTCGTTCTCACTGAAATCCCTAATAGTATAAGAGGTGTAATTTTGGATCATCGTGATGAATAATTTTTAAAGTGTCACTTTTCCCGTTGAAAATTTTTTTTAAAAAATGGGAAATTGTTGTTCAAAAGGGGAAGAGATTGTTGAAGAAGAGGAAGACTCAGAAGAGAACTTCCAAGAAGTGCCAGGAATGCCAGAAGTTGGTCAGCCTCCTCCTCCAGCAGAAAATCCTGTTTCTCCGCCAAATCACGTTTCAGTTTACCATAATACGGAGAATCCTTTGGATGGAAAAGATGAATTCCAAGAAATTGAGTTATCTCCTGTTAGTGATCACCCAGATTGAAAAAAAATTGAAATTATTCAAAATAATTTTTATCGTTTCAACTGGAAAATGTTACCATCGCAATATATACAGACTAGTATTCGATATACAAATAGATTTTGACTCCAATTTTTTTTGATTTTTTTATACAAAAATTTTGTTTTAACGGCAAGAATGTTATTTTATTCAATAATTTGTCGTTTTGCATAATAAATATATGATATGTTTGTTTTATTAAATCTTAAACCAAAATTATTTTTTGATAAAAATTTTTATTCTCAAATATACCTTAGAAATACAAGGTTTAGGACTTTATGATAATGTTGTTTAAATTCAAGAGTGATTTCTGAAAAAAATTTAGATAAAAGCAAATAAAAATTAAAAAAGTATAGAATTATATACAAAATATTCTTTATAAACAAAATACTTATTGAAGCAGCCCAAATCCAAGTTCATTTTCTGTCAATACTGTAAAATTTCAAATAATTTGGTAATTTTCTTAATCAAGTTAATGAATCCATATAAAATAATGCGTTGATTAAGTATATTAACTCAAAAGCTCATTACTTAAAGAAATAATTTGAAATTTTTTTCTAAATGCAGCAAGACATTGAAGATTCGAGGAGATGCAATCTCTTCTGCATGCGCTCGATTTCCCTTGTAATACCGATTTCACCTTGAGGAGTTTTATTGTGGTTAATTTCCTTCTGTCTCTCAATTAATTCGTGATGGAGGCCGTGTATCATTACCGATAATCTTGACTGTTGTGTAATATGAAGTTTATACTGTTTCGGCTTCTTTTGATCTGGTGAATCTGGTTTTGGCTTTAATTTGTCGATTCTTTCATCAAAACTCTGTGATTGCTTTAGCTTTTCTTTAATCTGAGCTTTTAGTTCTGTAGGATTCAAGTTTTTAACTCTTGCTCTTAAACCTTTAAGTTTAAGATCTAATCTTGATTGTTCTCCTGATAATTTGGCAATATCTGCCTTTAATTCTGGTATATCAAATTGAGCTCCTGCTGATTTTGTAGGAAGTGCATTAGGATCTTCTTCTGGAATTTGAATTTCAGCCATTTGTTGTCGTAATTTCTTAATTTGAACGGCTCTATTTTTATTACCACCTTCTAAAGCTAACGCTCTTTTAGATTTAGATATTTCTACTTTTAATGAATCAATTTGCAATCTTAAGTTTCGAATTGCTTCATTTTGGGCTTGTTGTTCAGACAATGGCTTTTGTTGTTCCACTTCTGGGTCAATAGGAATGGTAGCAAGCTTCTTTTCGAGCTCATCTGCTGCTTTCTTTTGTTCTGAAACAGTTTTAGATAGTTTTAATGCGTTTTTTGATAATTCTTTGATTTTGTTTTGATGCTCTATGTCCTCATTTTCTCCTTGTTTGCTCATTTGAAGAAGTTGTTTTCGTTTTTCATCGCGAATCTTTTGAAGTTTCTGTATTTCATTACGTTTTTTATCTTCCTCTGTCATGGCAATATCTTGTTGCTGATCTTCTTCTTCAGATGAAGAATCATCAATAGCGTTGAAATTGTAAATCATAAAAAAATGATGAAAACGTTACTTAATTTATTTATATATAAAATTCTTTAAATGGAATATATCAATAATAACATCCTTAAATATTACGAAATTTACCGAGAATTGAAAACATTTGTTCTAAAGCAACATAGATTTAACTTTTTAATGCAATAACTCAAAATAATTGTGTATATAAAACAGAATTATATCTTAAAAACAAAAAGAAAAACTAAAAAAAAATAATTTAGATTTTAAACTCACATTAAAATGAATGGTGTAAGATATGTGGCTGATATCTTGAATTCATGGCGGATTTTACACGTGACTGATGTATCACAATCATCATTAAATGCAATACTTGGAATACCTTGTGAAATAAGTGTCTCTTTTACAGCTCGTGGAGCTGAGAATGTGCCACAACTGCGAAGATTGATACAACCTGAGAAAACGTCGCTGCCAAATGATACTTCAATCTTAGATGATGCAAAGAAAACAAGGCTCAAACTTCGGCAATTTTTGAAAGCTTGGTAGTTGATTCTATTAATCTTATTGCCACTGAAGAAAACACGCAAAAGACGTGGGCTGCCCATAAATGCATTACTGCCAATGACCTCGGTGTCAGCAGGAACAACAAAATTCTTTATGTCGCTGTATGGAATGAAAGCAATAAGTTGAGTCTGATTGGAGTTCATTAGAGCACCATTGTAGAACGAAAAGTTTTCTTCATATTGGGAAAGTTTGATCTCTTTAAGACGGATGCAATTTTGAAAACAACCACCTTCAATAGTTTGAAGATTGCCATTAGTTGCCATCGAGATGTCGTTAAGAGATTCACAGTCTTGGAATGCAAAACTTTTGATGAAACGAAGAGATCGAGGAATAGTGAACCCAGTCAGAGAATTGCATCCTTTAAATGCATAAATATTGATCTCGCAAACACCTTCCCTAAGTTCGAGGGTTGTCAGAGAAGAGCAATATTGGCACATAATCTGTGAAATGTTGCAGCAAATTGATAAATCAGTGATTTTGCTTGCATTGAATGCGGCTGAACCAACAGTTCTAACTGAGTCTGAAAGTCTGACTGAAGTGAGACCGCTCCACACGAATGCTGACATTCCGATACTAGTTAATGAATTAAGTGTTGCAATTCCGAGATCTTTAAGATTTGTGCATGATTGAAATGCATAATTTCCAATGCTCTCTATTGATTTCGGAAGGGTAATATATTTAAGATTGAAAGCACCTTTGAAACAAGAATCTGGAATTGATTTCAGCTGATTACCTAAGAATGTCACGTTCTCGAGATTTTGACATGCTGCAAATGCTTGCTCTTCTATTTTCTTTAAGCCAGGAGGCAATTCTATTGATTGAATGAATGAATTAGCAAATGCAGCTGATCCTATTGTCATATTATCATTATTTTCAAAGTATACAGATTTGATTTTTTTCCAAAATAATGTTTTCGCAGCTATATAATTGCATTCAGACTTAATTCTAAGAATTGAGTTTTGATTTGACCCTAGATAAATAAATAATGTTTGATTATTATCAGTGTACATGCTATAACCATCAACAAAAATTTTCGGATTCTGTGAGTCAATAACTATATTCTCTATTGAACTAAATGCGCCATCACCCAGAGAATCCAATGATTCTGGAATAGAAATATGAGTCAAACTATAACAATTTGAAAAGGCAATTTTCCCGATTTCTCGTAGTTTTGATGGCAATTCAATATTTTTGAGACTAGTACAATACATAAATGCGCCATCTTGAATTAAAGTAATGCTCGGAGTCAAGTTTACTGTTTCTAATGATGTGCACAAATAAAACATGGAATTAGCAACAAATGTAACTAAACTTGGGAAAGTAAATGAAGTTATAGGACTCGAGGCCATACTCCATTGATTGATTCTTGTTATTTTTTCATGCATTTTGATCTCAGTTAGATTTGAGCCTTTAAATGCTGATGGTGCAATTACTGTTACATATTCAGGGACTGTAAATGATCCGGTCTTTGTCGTAACAACAAAGAGTAGAGTATTATTATTAGTGCCTGAATAAATGATCTTTCCATCAGTTTTCAAAGCAGGATTTCTTTCATCTATTATAATCTCAGTTAATGGACATCCAGAAAAGCATGATCCATCAATTGAAGTGCATTTCCATGGGATAAAAAAAGATGTGAATTTACAACTAGCGAAAACATTATCACCAAGATAGGCCAACTACGTTCGAAAACATTGCCAAATTTTGTCCATCCATCAATTTTTGTCAGAGTATCTGGAAGAGTAATCTCTGTCAAACTAATAGTGTCTTGGAAGCAAGCATAACCAATTCTTTCTAAATTTGGTGGAAGAACGATGGATCTTAGCTTTTTGCACTGGTAAAATAGAGCATAGTTCAGAAATGTTAGTTCTGTGCATGAACTCATATCGACAGTTTCAAGGGCAGATGTCGCAAAAACAAGTTTAGCGGTGTCTCTCAGCTTACTGCCTGTTTCAAATGAAATGGATGTGATAGCATCCTTGCATGAAAAAAACAAGCTATTTGTAAAAACTTCTTCACCTGGTTGCTGTGGAATGGTCGTGCATAATTTTGGAAAAACATAAGCACCTTTAAGATTGGAAGGAACAAAGGTGAGAGTGCTCCAATCATCAGTAAACTTAACGCCATAATTATCTTCTTGAACACATAATAAGTAGAGAATATACAGAACTCTACTCTAAAAAAAGTAATCCGATATTTTGAGATGTTTATGATGGTTAATCGTTTTTCATTGAATTTTATATGTATTTGTTGAGATCTGGTGTTTGAAATTTGATAAATAAGATCTGATATTTTGATAAATATCAGATATTATATTGGTACTAACAATGGAAAGCGAAACAGATAAATTCTCAATGAAAAATTGATTCTTTTTCAATTAACCGGAAATGTCTTGAATTGGTATATATTTTAATCAATTTTGGTGAGTAAAGAATCATCCTAATGTAGGTATGAATAAATAAAAACTTGAAATTCAAATTCAAAAAGAAAATTTTAAAAAAAGGAAATAACTCCTAATATTATTAGTAAACAAATATCCAAAATATTTTATTATGATATTTACATCCAATAAGCGTTAAAATCATAATTAATTTTCGCAATTAACAAAAAAAAGTAATATCTAGCACTTACTCTTCACCTTTGGAGTCTGTGACTTCGGATAGTTCTAAATCTGGAAGTTCATCTTTGCCGTCAAGATTTGTATTTTGTGTGCTATATTTTGTGAGATGGCGCGTTGGATTTAATGGATTTTCTGGGAGACCTGGCTTCTGTCCTGGTTCTGGAATACCGCTAGGAATTCTAGTAACTTCAGGCTCGCCACTTTGGTCTGCTTCTTTACACATTTTTGTTCACTTTTAACGGTCGAGTTATTTTCTTGTCACTTTTAGCTGCTTGATGATGAATGATCAAACAACGCTTTGTTTTTGATTTATTGTTACATGTTCCACAAATTATTAATAAATAGAACTGAATAATTGCCAAACAAAGAATTATTGATTTGAAATCAAATATTTATTGCATATCTATCGACATCAATCCAATAATAGATTATTCATATGAATTTAGAGCGAAGAGTCTATATGTTTAAGTTAATCATCTAAAAAAATTGCAAAAGAATAGATATTACCTATGATATTGATCCGTTTTTTCAATGGTGTATCATACACATTGTTTCTTATTGAAATTGATGGAAGGCTGTTGAATGATTCCTAATTTTGAGAAATGAAATCAAAAATTTGAGTAAATTTAATTGTCAATCAAACAATTTAGTGTAAACATTGGGCTTTTTGAAATATTTCAAAATAAAAATGGCAAAAAATAAAAATAATATCATAACATTTTATAATGCGTTGGGTGTTCCAGCCATTGAACTGCGGACATTATTTACAAATACCCAGTTGATCTTAAATACCAAAGCTGGTTCTCCAAATTCAATAACAGCGTTATCTTTAAGGTAAATCGTTTCTCCTGGCAAAACATCGATTGCATCGACAATTATTGTTTCGGATCCGACATTTTCGAGGTAAAATTCGAGATCTTTCTTGAACATAATTAAAGCTCCGTAATTTCCATTCGGAGGCTTTGTAAATTCTGGTACTTCTGTTAGTAGTAAGTCTGTATCTTCTATATTTTCATCGTAAATTAAATAATGTTTTGATTTAACAATATAATCTTTTTCTAACGAAGAAATGATTCCAAAATATGGATGGCTTGATTGTGTTAAGAATTCTAATGATTTTTCAATAGTTTCGATCTTCGAATCTGGAATTAAATTTGTATTCAATTCTGCTTGTGTAGAATGTTCTTCTGGAATGTTAATAGACTGCTTCCACCAATCATAAAGCTCTTGGCTAACTCCTGCTTCTTCCAATTCTTCTTTAGTGAACTTTTCATTGATACATGAAGCTTCATCATTTGCTAGTTGATAAGCATAAGAAACAAGTAGCATGGAAAGTTTAGTAGAATCAAGGGATGATACAGACTCGTAAATCTTTTTAATTTGTTGATCAGAATGGTGAAATAGGAGATGAGATCTCAAGTTTGTTGTTAACTCCTTTAAACATGCAGATCCGTAAAATTTCTTAACTAAGTAAACATAAAATTCCTCTTCTTTTGTTGGTTGAACAGATTTAATGGTCTTTTTCTTAAAATCTGGATTTTGAATTATTTCTTTTGCAAAGTTCGGTTCATATAACAGCTTTTTGTACAATTCTTCGCATTGTTCCAAAGATACTTGAGATTTAGACTCTTTAGAAATGAAATTTTGATAAACATTTTTCAAATGATCAACTGGCATTGATGTAATTAGTTTTGAAAGCAATAGGATATACAGTTTTTTATCATCAGTAGGTGTTTCGGTCTTGGTATTGGTATTTTCGGCTTCTTCAGAACTCATTTTTGAAAAAAGTGACAAAAAGAAATGAAATCTTAGTGCTCTGTATTGCATATCTAAAAGCAGGAAACTCCTATCAACACTAGCGTATATACCTCAATCCTACTATCTATGATATAGATTTATAGAAAAAGAATCGAAATCTTCGAAATATAACTTTTATATTGGTAATCAACTGATAAATGCTGTAGGTCTTTTATCACAAAGCATGCACTTATTTGAAATTATCAGCTAATATAAATAATGCATAAAGATATACAATTTGAATATATAACTTTTCATCTTTAGAAACTGAACAATTGTATTTTGTTAAGCTTTTGCTTATTGTTTTGCAGTCAATGATACAGCATTGTTATCATGAAACAAAACAGAAAAGAAAAATTTCATTTAATTTATAGAATAACTATAAGGTTTTAAGAACATCCAACTATTGAGAAAATATTTTATTTATATTTATGAATCTAATAGTAATTACAATACGTGTTTGATTGATGACAATATCTCTGTCAATTTTATCTAGTTGAGAGTGATGATATATCCAAGGTCTTATATAATGATTAGTACTATAAATCCAAAGACAAATCTTTCAATATCTATACTAATCAAAAAAATTACATTAAAAGTAAAGTAGTATTTTATGTTATTTCAAAAACAAACAATACATTAGTTATATTTTCTATCACTAAATAGTTCAATCATAAAGTCAAAAGTGACTGGTGGTTCAAAATCTTTCTGAACTTTCTCTTTCTTTGTGAACACAACTGAATGAGAAGCATAACCGTTCTTTTCATGGTCTTCACCTGGATATATGCTTCCAATTCCCGAAACAGTGGCATCATAATCGTATTTTGATGTCAGCTTACTAACATATTCGGAAAATTCTTTTCTTGTCCACTCAAACTTGTGATCTCTGTGTCTGAATTGATATGGACGTGTGTTTCCATAAAACTCATTTATCACGGAATTATATTCGATATTTGGTGTAGTCAGGAAAACTTTTTGAGGCTGTAGTTTTCCTAAAATGCAATCCATTGCTTTATCAACCGATTCTAGTGGCAAATGCTCAATAACTTCTATCATTGTGACATAAGGGCAATTTTTGAATTTATTAACAATATCATCGGATAATTGCGTGATGTCATCTTGCTTCAAGTAAATTGGAGTTGATTGAGTTGTATCAACAGAATGCATTTGAAATCTTTGAAGTGTTTGATATCCTCTTCTAAGAATAAACTTATCTTTATCGATTCCTATCATAAATTTTACACATTGTGGGTTCCTTGATACATAAAAAAGGAAATCTGTTTCGTTACAACCTAAATCAATAATGAATTTTACGTTATCTTTAACAGCTTCTTGTAGTGCAGTGTTATAACGTTGAGAATTTAAAGGAATAAGAAATGCTTCTCCCTTCTTGTCCATTGGCAATAATAATTTTAAAAGAATAGCTCTCAATAAGTTGAATGTTAATATTTGTTAAGATCATAAATAGAGTGTAATGTGTTAAAACATTAGTTGTCATATTTAAGATAAATTTTCAAAAAATTATGTCAGTAGAATATAGTAAATATTATCGAATCGCATAAATATCGCTAAAATAAAGGATTTTCTTGATTTAAATGCAATTTATATTGTCATCTTATTAATTTGAGCAAAAATTTAGCGACGTTTTAGCCATCGATTTTGGGAAACGCTTTTAATAGTTTTGTTAAAGCATGAGATATACTTAAAATAGTATATTTTTATGGCAAAAAACGATGAACCGGTAAATCTAGTCATCAAGGTGCAACACCTTAGAAAACAAACTTATATTGTCATATTAGATAATATACTATATGTTCGCTAAATAATTTATGCTGACTTGAATGTACAAAAAAAATTGAGAGCAAAATAGAAATAATTATCTCTTTACAAACAAATGGTGATAGTAATTATGCAAGCTTTGCAACCTTTTTGGCTTTGCGCTTGTTCCTCTTCTTGATTTTCTTTAGATATTGTGGATACTCGCCATAAAGAGCCCAAAAGCGTTTGATTTGAGGTGTATCTATTTGTGATGAATTTCCATTGTTAGATACATCATTGGTGTTTTCGGTCATTAAAAATGAGCCATCGGAATCAAAAGACCCTGCCATTTCCGTAAAAGAAAATGAAGCAGAACAATACTTGATTGAATCAAATGATGAGTCTTGGTAGTTTGGAGTAAATGATTCCATATAAGCGCTAAAATGAGATGTTGGCAATTCGGAAATTGCTGTTACATCAGGGGGTTCGTAAGAACTCTGGTAAGATTCGGTTCCTTTATATATTTCGTAGTCGGTGTAAAAAGGTTGCTGTGCTTCAAACATTTTTGAATGTTCATCGTTTGGAATTGAATTAATAAAGATTTATATTTAAAAACACTAGAAATCAAATGCTGATCTAATATATCAATATTGCAAGATTGAGTATTCTTTCAATCATTTTCAATAAATTTGACATCAATAATGAGAGCCTTGAACGTGGATAAATTGTAAAGTGTTCAAAAGATTTGTCATCGAATTATTCTAATTTTTATATATACTCAGATATAAATAGATTATGATTTTTGAATTTATATTTTGAAAACACTACATAACGTAAAATATTGAATTTTTTGAATGAGTAAAATTTTTAACTTTCATTGTTTTCTAAATTTCCCTGCTATTTGTCACATAGATTAGAAATGCTCTGAAAACTCATTTGAAATGATATTTTTCATTTTGGATAAATGTTTTAAAATGAAACATTCACAAATGTTGCATATAAAAATGAAAAAATTAGCCATTATGATCGAAAATCGGTTTAATTGTTTTCAAATTTAAAATTAAAAAGGATAGATTTGTCTTAAATAATAAAGTTATTAGCTAATAATTCCAAATTTAGTTCAAAATATGTAGTTTATAATAATGGAGAAATTTTCCATGAACTAAAAATACAAATTTAAAATGAAATATAAGTGATATTTCACTTTGCATTATTTTTCTCTCACTTTGATGATTGGAGTTTAATATTTTATGCTTGAATTCAAAACTCCAAAAATTATTTCTGGATGTCGGCCAATTAATACATTTTATATCAAATTTCACTTACTATGTATTTGTGTGTGTTCATATAACTACAATCATTCATTTCTGTTAAGGCTTCATAACTTCTCTATTTATGGGATAGTTTAAGTGCTAATATGTCGTCATCTCAAAAGATGCAAAGGAGATTTCGGATAGCATAATGTATACATATGGACTTATGTATATAATTAGTGTATTTACTTAGAATGAAAACAAATGTATCTCCGTCAAAAAGGCAAATTTAGAGACCACGAATTTAATGAATGTGGATCCTCAAAATGATTGAAAAATGAATTCTTTGAAGCGTTTCATTTGAGAAAATGTGCATTTATTGTTTAAAAAAGCAATGAACAATAGAGAACGAAATTGAATTTAATTTTTCTAATACTTTCAATAAGAAATACAAATTCTTTTGGGCAATCATCAGTTAAAATATGAATCAAATTGTTAGAAAATATAGACCTGAAATTAGTCGGTGTTGCATCATTATTAAATGTTTTTGTAATAGAATTATCGATGTAGCAATTATTGACTATTAATTGCCCATTACCTGTGTTAAAGATCAAATATGATCTTTCAGGAGAAAAGTTGTTAATAAAAGAGCAATTTTCTATAGTTAGAAGATTAGTATAATGATGAATAATTCCAATACTTGATTGGGTATTTTTATTATTTATTAGATTGCAGAAATTAATTGAGGCATTATAATGAATATCTATGATTGCACTTGAATAACCTGTTGCCAAATTATTAGCAAATGTTGTGAAATTAATTTTTATTATGTGTTTGCATGACCTACATTCATAATATCCCGCAGGTTCTTCATAAGCTGTTAAACCCGAGAAATTTGATAAAGTCACTGCAATCTTCCCTTCATCTAAGTGAACTACTTCGTTTTCAGTATCTTTATTTCCGGCATTAAATAGAGAACTTTCGATTAAAAAGTTTAAGCCATCATCTCCAGTAAATGTTTGTGAGAAATGTCCATAAAAAGGGCCTTGACATTTCGTACAGCAGAATTTTCTTTGAACAATCGAATGATTAAATCCTCTGAAATAAATGCAGCTTCCTCCAAATGTAGAACAATTTCGGAAGCTGCATCTATTATGTAATAATAGTAATGTGAGCAAAGTTTCGAAATAAATAACACCATTGTTAATGTCATTAAAGATGCATTCATCTAAGTAATATTGTTCTTCCCCTGCTTGGATACTACAGTTCTGACATTTCTTCCTGCTGTAACTATGAAATTGATTATTGAAATATTGATTCCAAAGTCTATCAACATTTAGAACAAATTTCCTCTCAAATGTGTTCGGATGTCAAAAAAGATAACCTTAAATTATTTATTCCAAAAACTTTTTAATAAGGGATCTGCTTCTCAACTTGGGGGACGTAAGCTCTTTTTAATAATAAACAACATCCTTATTAATAGGAAACATTATTACTAATTCTGTAAGCTCTTTTTAAATTCTGTTATGGTGCATGCGCAAATTGTTTTCGCGTGAATAAAGTCTTTTTTTTCCTCTAATATTTTCCTGAAATTTTTGCATCTGAGTGCCTACCAAGGGAATTGAAAATAATACAATATTAATTCAATCTAACCATTTTTTGGCCAGTTATTGATTATTGGCACCTCATGCTTTTATGAAATAGTACCATAAACAAATAACAAAGAAATATAAATTAATTGGGAAAAATTAACTATTCCATGTTGATATTCCATTTTTAATTCGCCTTTATCTATCCTTTATCAAATTTGTATATTAATTCTTCTTAAATTTGATTGATTTTGTCATTTTATTATCAATTTTGAGAAGGAGCTGATTCCGATCACTTATTTTCTGATAATTATTTTTATGCCTAAATTGATTTCTATAATTAGATCTCCTGGATGGCCATTTTTCGATTTCTTTCATTTGACATCAACTTTTCATGCATTGAAAATTGAAATGATTTTTTGAAAAACCTCCTTGCACAAAAAAGAGTTATCACATCTAATGAATATATGAAACTTTAAATCAAATGTCAGAAATTTTCAAATTTGATTGCAGATGCCTTTTTTGCCCAGCTGGACAAGCATCAATGATGAATGTTATTTAAAGAAAAAGGTTCATCCATGGCTATCAAAGTCCTATCTTTTATTAAACATCCTTGCATTCTCGTGTGGCTTTTGCATTTATTTTTCAATGTATGCATACAGGAAAGGATTTTCGGCTGGAATATATAACACGAAGTATGGAAAGTTAGGTTTTAAAGTTATATTAGTCTTATTACAATTATTCGGATATATTTTGTCAAAGTTTATGGGAATTGTTGTTATTTCAAATTTGGACAAAGCAAAACGAGCATTTATGATCTTATCATTGATAGCGGTATCAGAAATTGCACTCTTCTTATTCTACATAACACCAGATCCATATAGCGCTATTTGGATGTTTTTCAATGGCTTACCATTAGGTTTAATTTGGGGCTTAGTGTTTTCATACCTTGAAGGACGTAGAACATCAGAAGTTTTGGGTATTGGTATGTGCATTTCTTTTATTTTCTCTTCATCTGTTATTAAAACAATTGGAAAAACATTGGTTAACAAAGGACTCAATGAGAAGTTAATGCCTGTTGTTGTTGGAGCGATCTTTTATCCAATTATTTGTTTGTTTACATTTTGCATTGAATTAATTCCTCCTCCGAATGAAGAAGACATTAGAAACAGAACAGAAAGAGTTCAAATGAATCATTCTGATCGTATTAAGTTCTTTTGCATGTTTTGGCCTGGTATTATGCTAATGATTTGTTACTATATGCTTGTTTGTGGATACAGAGATTTCAGAGATAATTTTATGATTGAATTATTTGAAGAAATGGGAGAGAAGAAGCCAGAATATCTGACATATACAGATCTAATTGTAACATGTGTTATCGTTCTTATTGTAGGATTGATGATGTTAATTAAGAATCATTTGATCGGATTCTATATCTATCACATCGTTATTATTGCGGGAAATGTTGTTAACTTACTTGGAACAATCCTTTATAAGAGAGCAAAGATAAATGGAATTGTCTTTCAAGTTATTGTTGGTGTTGCGATTTATATTGCATACGTTCCTTATTCTTCAATTCTTTTCGATAGAATGATTGCTTCTTTTAAAGTTAAAGCAAATTCAGGATTCTTGATTTATATTGCAGATTCATGTGGTTATGTCACTGCAATTGTATTTATGTTTGTCAAAGAAATGGGAAGTCATAAGAAATGGCTTCCATTCTTCATTCAAGCATCATTTGTGATGTCAGTCGCCGGAATCACTCTTCAAAGTCTTTCTCTGGTTTATTATTTCCTTAGGGCTAAAACATTCCCTGGCATTAAAGAAGGAGTACCTGATAAAGTCGAAAGTATCTTCACCGATGGAGATCTTGCACAACCTGAATTATAATTAAAAAATGCAATTTAATAACTAACTGTTTTTGCTTGAAAAGCACTAAAATTTTTTTATCAAAGAATTCATCATGGCATCTCCAGATTATAATGAGATCATTATCTTTACAACAAATATTGATACTGATATCAAAATGACAGCATTGTTGCATGATCCTGGAATGAGAGCATCAATGACATTGAATGGAAATAAACAAAATCATATGTCATTGGAATATAGAAGACATCTCAAAGAATATCATAAACTAAGAGCTGAAAAGACTCCTTCGCCGAAAAGAGTCAAATAGTCCATCATCATCAACAATCTCAGGAAATATAACTCAGGTTCCATCTGAAAAGATTGATTCCAATCAAATGATTCTAAATATACTCTTGATGATACCTTTAAAATGATTAAGTTATGAATATATTTTGCTTCTTTATTGTCTCAAAAAAGAATTTCCAAAGGTCATGCAATATTGAGTGGAAAATTTTCACATTTAGTTTCCTTAATAGTTCCAAAAGAAATGAGATATATCTAGCAACTTCAAGTTTGCAAAAAGATTATTCGAAGATGACCAGAGTATTAATATATTACACCTTATCTCTATATCACAGCAGTATTTAATGAGATAAGGATACTGTGTATTTCATTAATTTGATTGAGAAAAAGAAAATGTTAAAATTGTATTTTTTTATTTTACTAACAAAACAATAATATAACGAAAAGTATAATTTTCTCATATTCCTGAAGATATTCTCATCAAAACAAGCTTCTGGAAGAAAAGTCTGTCGCTTTCTTTCGCTCTTTCTTTTAATGTCTCTCTTCTGAAGAATTCTATAATTGCCTTGCTATCAAGTCCCAAATTCTTCGACGTTTCTTCAAGAATGTCTGAGAATTCTTGGCATCTCGTCGTCAATTTGTTAATTAAAGCTCTAAGAACTTTGAAAGTAGATGTTAATTGCGGTGAAAGGCTATCCCATTGTATCGCAAAGCACAAATTCTGCGGGGCAGGCGAAACAACGTCGACCACGGATTTTATATCGAAAGTTGCGAACTCAAAAAGAAGAGCCATAGAACATTCGTACGCGCAAATGGAATCTAATGTCCTTCTGAATTGTTGCTGGGCAAAATCAAAGATATTTCCTTTGATTTCGTTATCAATTAAATTAAAATGCTCTTTTATGAGGATTGTAGTGTTCCTAAGGCATTCGTCTACATAGTCATTTTGAATATTAAGGCCTTGGCAGATGTAAACCAATGAAACTGTTTGATTAAAAACATGATTTATTAAATTATTGAACCATTCAACGTTTTCGTCACTAATCTTCGTACTCTTCTTAATGTGGTTCCTAATTACCCTCGTAAAACAGGATAAACTGTAAGGATAAATAACATTATCGATAATAGTTGTCAAATACATCGGAGCTTCATCTCCGTACGCGGAATCAACTGCCAAACAGAATAAACCAAGAGATTCACTATTATCTGTCACTTTTTCATAGACCATGTTGAAATAATTTTGTAAATTTGTTTTATTTTGGATTGTACTCGTATTTGAGAGGAACGCGAGTAAGCAATTGATTGTATTCTTGTCATCGTTGAGGTTGGATTCCAAAACTTTCAACATCGGAGCGATCGAATTATTGAAATATTCTGAATTACAAGAAGCAAGGGCCGCACCTGCACGAACGTAGTGGAAGTCACCAGCAGATATCAATGTGTTGACAATGGAGTCATCTACTGGCATTTTTCCGCATTGACTTTGCGAAAATTTTTCAAAAATGTCCAAAAACTTAATTTTTGACTTTTCGTCTGTGGAATCATCGAATATGATCGCAAGTAAATCATTCAATTCATGTGGCAAGTAAATATCTGGGAAGCAAGTGACATGATAATTTTTATCGAAGCAAAGTCTGCTGAAAGCATCGAAAGCAACGAGTATCTGTTGTGTAAATGGCTGAGTAACGTAAGAAAAGATGTTAATTATTGAATCCATCACTGTATCTTTCATAAATTTTTGGGCATTACTCGAATTCTCTTCCATGATGCATCTCATGATATGGCATTGTGCAGCTATCTTTGATAAGTCATTGGGAGCTTCAGTCATCAGGTCTTCGAGCACTTTTGACGTTGAATCTGAATTCCAAACCCAACATGAGACAATTATTCGAGCAAAAGCGGATGGCTGTTGGTCCAACTCGTAGTATAAGCTTAATGTAAGGTCTGAGTCCGAGAAAAATGAAACAATTCTGTTATATGCTGCTTCAATAATTTCTTGAATGGTAAAACAAGATTCTTGTTCGCTTATATATGTACAAATAAATGGAACAACGGCTAAAATGGCTGGAATCGATGATTCTAGCAATTGTACTGAACATTGGAAAATTAATGGATCATTTGTCAAAACTCCAACGGTATAGAACATTCTGCCTACAGCACCATGAAGATCTATAGCTGAAGGATTGGCTGAAACTATATTTAGTAGTTTTCCTGAGTCGCAAATCATTTGAATTAAATCTGATCGAGCTTCGCCTTCTTGCAAACGCTGGATGACAACTCCGAAGACATCAAGTGCTGTTGGAGCTGTTTCAAGCTGTATAAGAGCTGATTGTAGTAAATTCATCGCAGTTTCGTCAGAAATGTAATTTATATCGCACCAATAGCTGAATTTATGAAGTATCTGTAATCCTGATGGAGCATCACGTTGCAATAAGTCGAATGCGTATGTTAAAATTGTATTTGCTGTTCCATCGTTCAGCATTGTATTTTTAATGTTAGAAAATGGCTCTAATCTGTTAATTGAAAGGATAGACGTCTCATTTGTAAAGCTAGTTAAAAAGTGTTTGATGATTTCTTCTTCAAATTCGAATAAATTTGTCCAAAAGTTAGGAATATTTGTGGGGTAGTTATATATGATGAACATAGCTTGAGCTTTTGATATAGCAACTTTGATAACTTCTGAATTTGCTGAATAATTTGAAATTAACTTTTCGAATAAGAAGTTTTGTACTAAATCATTGACTTCTATACTAATGGAATCTGATTTGTCTTCATACCAATATGAAATATTAGATAAAACAAATACTTTTGAGTTTTCAATTTGAAGATTTTCGTAATTTTGAACTTCCCATTGAATAAGCTCTGGATTAATGAAGAAATCAGATAATGTACCTATCATTTCTTGATTCAATCCATTTGTTATTTGTTCTTCTTTTGGATCATTTTCCGACATAACAAAAGTGAAATGAAAATCTACCTCATTTAAGGCCATAGTTTGCTTTGTTCTAAGATGTTAATTCTATTTGCATTTAAAAAATGCTGAAATTAAGTTTGGATTCCTAAATATTAGTTTCCTTTATAAAATATGAACAAATAGAGAACATGACTTATTGAATTAGATCTTTCTCATATATATGACTTTTTAAATTCTTAATAAGATACGATAAATTAAACCTCATCTTGTAATTGCAAATATGTTTAATTATTTAATATAAAAATATGGCTTATCTACTTGTAACCTTTATGTATTTACACTGTTCAACGGTAATGTAGGTATTCAAAGATAACATATAAAAAAATCTTTTAATTTATAAAAACAAATAGAATAGATCATACATTAATAACTCAGAATGCAAGTCCTAATGTCATTTAAGAATAAGAACCATTTGTGTGCACCTCATTTTGTGGAATATTGCAACATTAAGTGGAGTTTTAATAAATCTAAATTGAGAAATTCTAAAATTATCAAATCTTACAGCCTTATGAAGAAGAAATTCACTTTCTTCATTGGCATTAACACCTTTTATAATAGAAAGTTCTTCAATCTGTTATAATTAGCTGCAGAAAGAAGAAATGATTTAAAATTGATGCGACTAAACGTAGTTTATGTGTGAATATGATTTGGCGAAGTTAATGAGATTTGGATTTAGAGTATCAGTAAAAGAATCACTATCATTGAATATTTCTGTTTCGTTCTGTCTTCTCCTGTCATAAATATCTCTTGTTGGAGTTTTTATTCCTCTAAAACTATTCAAACTTTTTGCATGATTGATTTTTAGTTTGTTTTCTCTGTCATCGCTGCTTTCATCATATTCATCTGTCATAGATATTCTTGTTTTACGTCGTGGTGATGTTGGAGACGGAAGAGGTGAAGATAATGAATCAAAACTAGTCAAAAGTTCATCAATCCAATCAGATGTCAAATCCATCATTGATTTAAACTCTATTTCATTATCATGAGATGTTGATTGTAGAATACTGCAAACTTTGGATGAATCGTGTTGTATTTCATCATTTAACTCTTTCAGAAGACTAAATGCAGTGTTGTAATCAGACTTTTCTTCATCTTCGTATAAATTATTTGAAAAAGAATTTTGGTTTCTTAATTTTTGCAATTTTTCTGTGCAATCTTTAGCATGGGCAATTTCCAAATCAATAAATGCTAGCTGTGCTTCTAAATCCATCCTTTTAGATTTCAATTTCTCTAAATTTGCTTGTTTTGGTTTATTATATTTTTCATATTTCATTGATTTTTTGATTGTTGAGATTAGATCATTCTTCATTTGATTAAAATCATCCAATATTGGTTGAGAGCCTTTAATTAAACTATGAGAATGTATAATTGACTGTGTATCATAATTATATAACTTAGAATTAATTGAATTCTTAATTAATGGTTGATATTGCAGTAAGTCATCTTCAATAGAGATACCATGGTCTGTTTTAATAGAAAATGATATATTTTCTTTGATATCGTCTTTTAAATGAAGGAGAAAATCATTTGTAATGAGAGATATATCGTTACTCCTGTCAAGTAAATCGTTTACAGCATTTAGAAAATCTATTTTAAATGAAAATAATTTGGATTTTAAATAATCTTCGATATGTTGATTTACTTGTAAAAGAGTGTTCGGAATTGTTATAACTTGAGGTGATGGTGGATTTTCTTGTGTATTTGTTTGAATCGGTGCAATTTGTAATTCAGGTTTTTCGATATTAGTCGGAATATTGTTCAATATTTCATCGATATCAATTTTTCTACTTATAAATGGTTTTCTTCGTTTCGTATTTGTATTAGATATCTTTGGTGACGATTTTTGTTTTGGAATATTGGAAATTAAAATAGATTCTGGAGGAGAGTTTGTCTTTTGATCACTAGTGAAGCTATTTTCTGCGAGTATTTCATCTAATTCATCACTATTTATGCTCTCCTCCTGTTGATTTTCGTTCATCAAATTTCAATAAATTATTTGATAAAATTTTCTTTCAAAATTATTTATCAACTGAAAAGTAATTTTATCTCCAATGATTTACAACTGTTTCAATATCTTTTTTTTTTTGAAAGACAATATGAAGTTTTTGGTGGAAACAAACGTATTTTATATTGTAATGCAAGAACGATAAATGCAATATATGCTAATTTATATACATGGCTCTAAAAATTAAACTCTTGAATCATCATACGAGCTCTATTTTTCTCAATTTGAAATGGAAGCTTCCAATAAGCAATCTATCTCCTTTCTTTGTTTTATTATATGGTATTTCGAAGTTATGGATTATAATATTTGAGATATTATATCAAAATCTTCCAAATTTGAGTTGATTCAAAGTAATTATACCCAATATTTATATAAATGAAGCAAAGTAAGCTCAATGTAAGATTGCCAAATAAATCCTATTTGTAAAGATAATGAAACTGATCTAGAACAGTTTAACTATTCACGCCTGTAAAAATAAGTATAGGAAATTTTTTGACTTTTTTTTGTTTTTTGACTCATAATAATTTTCGACAATGAAAGCTATCCATTTCTCACCTACTAAAGTGTTTAATTGCGGGTCTTTAGTCAAAGATAGCCAAGAAGAGTTTGAAATTATCTACAATCAAACAAAAACATTGAAGATGAAGAAATTTGAAGCAATTTTGCTTTCAAATTTAATCTATAGCATAATTTCAACAGATAACTCTTGTTCTTCATATCAATTACAATGCCATCTTGATGATGAAATAATCACAAGTTTCTTTGCTCAAATTTCATCAACAAATTTCGATATATCCTTAGACAAAGCCGACCGATACCTTATTATTGCTAAAGAATTAGACATGCCAGAAGTCATTGAAGCAATTAATTTCAACGCTGCCATGATTTCGATTCAAGAACTTGATTTACCACTTGTTTTCTATGATTATAAGAGTCTCTTACAATCTCTTGCCAAAAATATCAACCTTGTTCCATTAAAATGGCTTAATTCCATTGCAACTCATTTCTTAGTTGATATTTACGAACAATACCCACAATTTGAGAACTGGAACACCTATACAAACACCATAATAAAGCACCATCTTCCTGTCTACTACCTCAATGATTTACCAATCCAACAGTTAGATATTCCAACTATTGAAAACCTCCTTAACTACTTGATTGAGAACAATACGCAAGAATGGATAACCATGATTTCTATGGAACTTGCTAGAATGGCCCAAGATCTCAAAGGCGAAATTGCAAAATTGTCAGATATCATTAAAAACGGTGTTACTTTTGATAAAGAAATTGATTGCATGTTCATCAAGTCAGGACGTGATAGTATTTGCGGTGAATTCTGGAAATGCCTTCAATGTTGCCAAGGAGACAGAGTTATTTGCACTGCTTGTAAAAACAGGTGCCATGCCGGCCATCCTGTTGTTCGTTGCTCGATTGATAGAGGATATTGCGATTGCGGTGCTGGAAAACTTGATTGCAAGTGTCAATGCATGGGAAGGACGAATTTAATCAAGAGTAGTAGTATGATAGGACGGGTTTAGTGACTTTTTTTGTTACATCTATATATAGACGATGCATTAAAATATATTTATTTATAAATCATTTAAAAAATTAACATTAATTTTAAAATAATTTATTTTTTTATCTTTTATAAAAGAAGCTATATATAGATGATGTCAGATATTCCGCGATTAATTAAACATCATTTAAATCCTGAATGGGTTAAACTTCAATTTAAAAATGAAGATTGTGAATTATTAAATGAATATGAAAGCCAAAATAAGCTAATGAGGTATAAATATAATGATAAAGAATATTTAATTTCATGGAATCAATGGAGTCATAATCAAAGACCTCATAAACGAGAAGAAGAAATTGAAAATAATGAAATGGAAATCATTGATGACATTAAAGAGGATGGAATTCCTAAATTTTGTAGAAAAACCTTTAGAACTAAGTTAGGAGCATATAAATGTAGAGTATTAAATCCTGAATATCTTAAACATCAATTTAAAAAGGAAGACTGTGAATTATTAAACGTTAATGAATATGAAAATGCTAAATCAAAACTGAGATATAAATATATTGGAAGTGATGAAAGGTGTAAAGATAAAGATAAAGTTTATTCAGTTTCATATAATAACTGGCACACGTTAGGGATAAGAAAACATTTAGGAGATTATGGGAAATGTTCTGAATTCTTTAAATCTAGTATATACGAGAGAGTAAAAGAAATTAGAAATAATGATTTTCATGAATAAAAAATAAACTTTAAAAATTCACGTCTTACATTTTTGAATAATTTATTTTTTTAATTCGTAAGAAATGAGTGAATCAAAATTCGTGACTGTGAATCAATTAATGGATAAACTTTCACCAATTCTCACCCAGGTTAAACAAGTAGACGTTTATTTTGATGATTGCGTACAAAGTTTATTTTATAAAGGTAAGTTTAATATTAAACCTATTGCTTTTGCATTTGATGGTAAATTAATCGAAAATTCAAAAATTTGGGAATTAATTCCGGATATTGAATTTATAACAAATATTAAGGATAAATGGTTTAAACAACAAAACCACCTCACTAAAGTTCTTTGTAGATTAATGATTAAAACTGAGGAAAAAGAATTTAACGGGTTTAAATATCATCCGTGTAAAATTTTAGAACTTGGTAACGAAAAACTTCAGAAAAAATTAAACGCAAGACTATCAAAAGATAAAGTTGAAAGAGTAAATAAACTCGCTAAAGGTAATGGTAATGATGAAGATGAATTTGATGAGTTCAACATTGAACTTTAAGAAACTAATGATTATTTGAATTTATGATATCAATTATCTGGTTTATTCTTTCTTCAATCTCTTCTATTCTTTTTGTTAAATCATCAATTTTCATTAATGAGGTGATTCTTGATTGAGGAATAGATTTCAAACTAACCACTCCTTTTATTTTTGAAATTTTGAATCCATCAACTTTAAACATTTTATTCAATTTACATGTTGTCAATTCTTCAAATAATTTTTTATTATTAGCATAATAGTCATTAAATTCTTCAACAGATGAAAAAATTTTTATTTCAGTAATTGGTTTAACAACGTTTATTTTTTGTTGAACATTTTCACTTTCATTTATTTCTTCCTCCTCTGTTTCATTTATTTTTAAAAATCGGTTTCATTTATCATTAAATAAAAATTAGAATATAAGTGATGAAATATATTTTAATTAATATTAAATCAGAAATGGCGGCAGGATTCTTTAAAAAATTATGGGATGGAATTAAGAAAGCTGCGGTTGGGTTTATAAAAAGATTATTAAACCCGTTGCAAACTTTTTGGCACCAGTAGCGAAAACGGCAGGAACTATCATAGGTGGAGTATTAGGTACTAAAGCAAGTAATCCGGCGATGGGAGCACAAGCAGGTAACGCAGTTGGTGGAATTGCTGAAGGAATACTTAATAAAATAGGAGGTAGATAGTGGAAAAATAAATATGAGATCCTATGGATCATCTCGCCGCTTAGCGGCTTAAAATTATTTTTATCTTAGTATCGGTTGTAGTCTTTGATAAACTTTTCTCCTTTATTTAAAACTTCTCTTATTGGGGCAGCTTTTGGTGTTATTGATTCAGCAACGTCACTAATTGCTTCTTTATTCTTAAATATCCAATTTGCCCCCTTCTTCAATGTTTCCCAAACTTTACTCGCTCCTCTTTTACTTTATTCCCCAAGTTTCTTAAATATACCTGCAGCCATAGTTGATTATTTCATTAAAATTAAAAATTCATTTTCATCTTTTAATTTTGATTTTTTATTTATTAATAAATGACGACTAACTATTTGGTGCCAAACACTAAACCGATTAATGGAAATGTGTTTCATTCATTCGAAAAGATAAATGAAATATTCGCAAAGAATGACGGTAGAAGATATTATAGAGAACTTGAAAGTTCATGCAATGACTCTGATGCTCCATATTTTGATGATAAACAAACTCGTTTAAGAATTACAAATCCGGCTCATGATGTGAACCAATTAGGTGACACATATATTAGTTAGTATACAAGTCTTGGGTATGGTGGCACTGCGTTCCACCTTACCCAATACTTGTGAATTTGACACTTTACAAAACCGTTAACGTATATTTTACAACATGAACGCAAAAACTAACTTAACCTTAAATATTTACAAAGCCGCCAACAATTTCACCTCACTATCGTTCTCACTAACAACTTCACTAATGTTCTCATAAATTTTCCTCAATATCTTCATCATCAGTGTTAACCCTATTGTAGTCATACTTGAAGCCATAAACTTTCTCTAACTTCTTAACGTACAATTTACATAACTTACCTTCGTCATCGTATGGTTTAATGATATAACTATTTCTATCTTTATAAACAGTCAATGAAAAGTCAACTGGTCTCGGATGTATTTGAAAGAACATGTTATGCTCAGGAAGGAAGAATAAATGTTTAAATGTATGTTTGTTATATGTTTTGATTTGTATGAGTTGCTTTTGTTCTGTCATTACATCCAAATAAAATAAAAATAATTTTAAAAAATAAAATAAAAAATAAATGATCTCACCACCCTCACACGTATGAAAACATAGCACAAAAATAAATTTAGGTGAAGTGGTGAGATCTAACCCGATTTCTAACCTCATTTCTACCCTGTTGAATTCATTGCTTTATTCCTCACTGTCGTCTGCTTTCTCCAACTCTTCTAACTTCTTCTTAAGTTCAGCAATGTTGTCCTCATGAAGTTTAATCTTTCTCAAAATTCCTTCTTTATCTAATGGTTGCTTTATCTTTCTAAACTGAACTCTACCATCCTTCATAGTATGAATGTAAAAACCTTCTGGAATAATTCCTGATTTAATGTATTCTACCAAAAACTTTTGTTTCATTGCTTCAGTGACTTTAGTCGTCATTTCAATCAAATAAAAATTTTAATATTAAATAAAAATAACGTTATTTTTTCAGTAAGGAAACGCAGGAGTTTTACGATTTATTTGTGGTGTAGGTTCTGGTTTAAATGTTGGAGTCGGTTTTGGAGTTGACTTTTGAACAGGAGTTTGTAATTCCATAGGTTCAGGAGTCATTGAAGGTGTTGTTTGTGAAGGCGTTGGTTTTGGCGATGGTGTCGGAGTTTGTTTAACTTCAGCTACTTCAGTATTATTTACAACATTTGCTTTATTTCTTTTCAACATCATTACTGCTCCTGCTGTAGCTAGCAAACCTAGTGGGAGACCATATTTTATATAAGGACTTGACCAAATGCTATTTTTGACAGGAGCTGGTGGAACACCTAACCTTGGTGAGACTGCTCTTTGCCATTGTGCAGCTCGTAAGAAATATTCAATAGGTGCTCCATAATCGTTTGGTAAAGTTTGTTTCATAGATGGTGAAGGTTCACGAGAGCTTGATGAAGAACTCATTTATAAGCTTTAAAAATAAACGTTCATCCTTTATTCCTCACTGTCGTCCGTAGCTAAGTTATAGTCATCTAATCTTATTATGGGGATGCCATTAGCACGCACCTGAATGGCAAAGCAACAATCCCTCATAAATCCAATAAGTGGCTTTGGTACGTTTTCAGTTGCTAGTTCAATAGGTCCTTTAACAGACAATTTGTATGTTATTGGAGCAGTAGATGTTTGACCTTGCTGGAAGCAAAAGTCCACTTCTGTTGGAAAACCACATAAGAAATGTGTGTTGTCATAGCTATCCCATTTATGTTCCACACTACCATCATCCACCAATGACCTCATAACATCTTCATTAAATCCAATCATATCATTGTTTGTATTGCAAGCGTTCGCAACCATTTCATAAAATACAGGTCCATATGATTTTTCAGGTTCTGCAGGCATATTTCCATAAGCTCCCATGGAAAGCTGAAGATATTTAAACTTAGGGTTCTCAAAATTAACATAATAGTTGTCTTTCTTTCTAAATAGTGCCCAAATACTTTTAACATTAATAGGCGTATAAGCTGCTGTAAATGTTGCACTTGAACTATCTGTATTCTTTGAGAATGAACCGTCCATAGGAATCCAATCCATAACTTTAACAGGAAAACATAAAGCCTCGTTTGTATAATGTTCTACAAGTTCTGTATAAATGTTAGGGTCTAAAGAGAATGACTTTGGATGAATGAAACATTCATTAAAATCCATCTTTGTTCGAAATAGTTGCTGGGTTACAGTTGTAATAGTAACTGTTCCACTAGCTTCTACTGCCTTCGTTATCATAGTGAATGGTTCATTCCATGGAACAAATTTATTTGTCGGTGGATTTGAATCTGAAGCAAATGCAACTTTAAGAGTTGGATTGAAAGCAATGATATCATTTACAGATATAGATGTGCATTGTAAGGCGTCGCTACTGAACTTTACTTTAAGCTGAATGTTTCCTGCAAAAGCTGGAATAAATCGAATAGCTTCTAATGGAAGGAATCTTCTAACAGGAATTCTTAAACGAAGCTTAAAATCAAATGATTTTCCTGCTGTAATTGGACCACTAACAATTTGTCCTGTTCTGCATGTTCCCGAATGACTCCATACATCTTCATGTCGAGTCTTTGAGAAAACATCTACTTTCTTTATTTGTTCGGTAGTTTGTGAGTTTGAAGTTATATATGCTTCTTCTCTTGCGTTGTCTTGAGAATATACGATACGACCATTTGCAAGGATTTGATATCCAGCAACTGCATAGAAAGCGTCATCGAAACCAATCCAAAATCCTGGTGGGTTTGTTTTATTGGAACCTGAACCAATTTCTTTATCTACAATAAATTGACCTTCCATTTTATACGTAATGAATGTATTGTAAAGGTCCAACATATTTTCACCAGGAGGTGAGAGATTGAATGTTACCCATGTGTTATCTTTAGCAGTTCCAGGTTGTGATGGAATCTTTGCGTCAGAATATTTTCTATTAGTGTCACCAATTTGAACTGCATTGTCTATGATATCGAAATATGAGCGAATCTGATGAATATGCTCTGCTGGAGTAAATTCGTTTAGCTGTTCGTTCTGCATGTATTTACTTCAGATAAAAATATCTATTTACTTCATTATTCTCACTCTTCTTCTTGGCATTCGTGGTGGAAGTTGTTTCTTGACATTTTCAATGAACTGTACATTCTCTTTTGTCTCAACTTCTTTCACTGGCGGGTCAGGGTTCTTTGACTCGGTTTGTTTTTCAATGAAATTCACGAACTTTGCAATAAGCTCTTGGTTCGTTATTGAAAGTACATCTGGCTTCTTTTCTTCTGGTTCTTTTGGTGGCTCAGTTTGAACAGAAGGTTTTATATGGGCTTCGTGGACTTCACCCTTGCCATGCACCTTAATGTTGTCGCTTTCTGCATTCGCTAATGGAACCTTTCTTTTTCTTACATATATTTTACCATCTTTACTCTGACTTACGTAATAGAAAGGATGTTGTATTCCTCTGGCGTCATTTAATATAATAGACTCTCGTTCTGATTTTGACAAGCTCATTTTACATCGGTTAAAGTTTTAATTTTGTTTTTTATCTGCAGTCAAATGACTCAGACAAGTCCTACGGACAAGACCCAAGGGGTCATAGATGTTGAAGCATTGAAGAAAGAAATTCGCGAGCAAATTTTATCCGAACTGAAGGAACAAAAACAAGAACAAAAGCCAGAGAGACCAAAGAGAAAACTTAGTGAAAAACAACTAGCTGCATTAGCTGCTGGAAGACAGAAGAACCCACGTTTGCTCGCGAAGAAAGCTAGAGAAGAAGCTGAAGCAAAAGCTAAAGAAGCTGAAGTGAAGAAAGAGTAAATGGTTTATTTTTATTGGAACTAAATGTATAGACAAATACCTTTATCTGTTGCGTTCAGTAGTGAAAACCCTGACGTCAAAATAAAGGGGAACAGAGTAACGTTTAAGTTTCCAACAGACTGGATTGTGAACATAAATGAAGAGAAGTACATTGGCATAACATCTATGTATATAACACGTGCATTTAGGAAAGTTGACTTTATACTTCAAGTCGAGATAGAAAATGACGAACAGTCTTTAAGCGCCCAAAACATTCACATATACAAATACTTTAAAGACGATACAACATTGTTGCAATGTATGATTTCATTTAATGAAATGTTCGAGAAAAAGTTTAACATTGAAGTACAAACTTTACAGCCTTTACGTGAGTTTCTTGCACAACTGAAAGAAGAAGGTAGTCAGCCACAACTTATAGACTTTCATTATGAATTTAATGAAAATGAAGATGGAACTCATGACTGTCAGTTTGTTGTATTCTCACCATTCAATGAAGTAGCTAAAGAGAAAGAAAATCCATTACGTATAAGATTTCAAATCTCTGAACCAAGTGATGATTTCAAGAATGTTTTCAATTATGATGCAATGCTTCCGAGGAAAAATGAATTTTCAAAGATTGTAACACCTGGCATTTGGGATAGAAAGCAAGCTATATTATATTCAAACTTAAGTAAGGGAGTTGAAAATGAGTTCATTGGTCATACAAGAACTACACCACTTCCTAACCCTAAATACTATAAATTAACTGGCTTCAATCGTGAGTTTTGGATAGACATGTTCTCCACTCATGACCATAACTGCCCAGTGTTCTTACCTCCAGACCATAAGGACTGTCTCTACATTGAAGCACAACTCTTAAACTCTACCATCGCAGTATTGTAAATGACCACATGGGCTTCGCCCTTGCCGCTAGCGGCTTATTTTTATCATGAATGACCTCATTGCTGACAAAAATAAATGACCTCATTCATGACCTCATTGCTGACCTCAAAAATAAATGACCTCAGAACTTCAACTTACGAATAAAGCTTGTTTTAGTCGTTATTGAGAAGTTAAACTTTTCAGCAAAGCAAGGACTAGAAGACTTACATAAGTCAAATCCAATCTCTTGACCGTCATAAAGTGCTTTATAAAGTTTCATGACACTGAACTCAGAGTCTTTGTCAAATTTTCCTTGCGGAACCATTAAACCTTTATCTTCATTGTAATAGCATTGTATAGCTTCAGGAAACATTTCATTAGCGGTTAAAGCAATAACATCTTGCTTCACGCCTTTCATTCTGCAGTGAAATGCAACTTCATTTAAATCGTTAGTGAGTAAGTCTATGTAAGTCTTCTTTCCACAAAATATTGACTTGTATGCTAAACTTTGTTTTCCAGGTGTTATTTCTGCGAAGTCACTATGAAACTGACCAAGGTTTTTACCAATAAGTTCTCTACCGTATCTCTTCTTAAATTCATGAGCTAAACGTGGTATGTCTTCATTGTAAATGTGCATCGAATCTGTATCCTGATAAAATGCTTTTAATCCTAAGTCTTCAATCGTGCAAAACACTTCATTCATAATACGTTTTGACATAGACAGAATGTTAACACCAAGTGGACAGAAGTTAAAGTGTCTGCAAATGCTTTTCGTTAGCTTGAAAATAGTTTTATCTGAACCATCCAAACCTTCGAACTTCACTATATGGTTGTAGTTTCTGATGGCATATCTTATAGCATCTTTGTCATCTACTATGGTTATTTTTGACTCAATAGGAGATAGAATAGTTTTGCCATAAATACTGTTCAGAATGAGCTTTATATTTTCTTGCAAAGGATTTCCTTCTTTCTTATACTTTAACCTTAACTCAAACAACTTCTTTACTTCATCTCTTATTCTAATATCTCTGTTTCCATCGTAGTAATATCCTTGCAACACTTCACATTTGACACCTTGATATTTTATAAGGTCTTGTAATGTTATATGGTCAACATACATTAAACAGCAAGTGTTTGAACTTCTGGGAACGTTAAGTTCTGGATTTAGTTCAGGGTCACAAACTATTAAAGGAAAGTGTCTATGTATTCCAATCTCTGTTATCTTAATGAGAACAAAGAAGCCAGACATAAACTTTTCACCAATGGGTTCCTTTTGGTCGTCATCGAATAAATGTCTCATGAGATACTCTGTGCTTAACATCTCATCCTTCAATACTTTTGGAATTCCTTCTAAAGTATAAAGTCTTGCTATAGCTGATGGATATAATGAAACAGCGTCGAAGTCAGCAATGAGTTTCTTTTTGCTCTTTTGTTTAATGTTATCTGACAACATACATCTTCCACCTTGAATGCATCTTGAAATAAATTCTCTTGGTTTATTTGAGAGGTCATAAAGATTTCCATTCGGGAAGTACACTCTGTTCTCAAACAATTTGTTAGCAATAGAACAAATACTAACGTAGTCATAAACGTTTAAATCAAACTCTTTCAATAAGTCATTGCGGAACTTTACAAAACCTTCTCTTAAAATTCTTACATCTTGTTTGCAGTAAAACGTGCTATATTTTTCTAAGTCGAAGTGGTTTTCATCTATTCTGCAACCTTTGATGGAATCTATGTTCTTCATGAACGTTTCAATATCTTTTACAAACTTACATGCTTCAGAAATGACACCAGTTCTGTTGTCATTTGCTAACAAAACACTGCTGTAGTAGTTGTATGGAAATACTTCTTTCGGTCCTGTTTGTAAGTTAAACATAGCAGGAAATAGTTTAAGCTTCTTATTTATAACACTGTAAGAGTCTTTTATAATAATTGCCCTTCCTTTATATAAACCAGTTATTTGCATTGTTCGTGAACCTTTAATGATGGGAGTTCCTTTCACTTCTGTCATGTGTCTTAAGATGAAGTTTATATCATAGCTGAGGTTATGGAAATATATTAAACTCTTGTCAGGAAGTCGCTCCAAAAATTCTGTTGCACAGTTTTGACCCCATATGCTTTCACTCACTGAACCATCTTCACTGTCATAACAGATGTTAAAAGCTTTATGAAAGCCATCGGTACTACACTCAAAGTCAGCAAAGAAAACATGCTCAGGAATGAACTTGCACTTATTTTTATTTACTTCTTTTGACTCTGCTTTCTTCTTCAGTTGTACACAATACTTTGGAGCATATGTCAAATCTTTAAATGGTGCAAGGTTCTGTTTATATAAGTCAGTCGTATATGTGAAAAGTTCTCCATAAGAAATAGGTTCGAAATATTTGCACTCCCACAATGTTTTCATAACATCCCATAGCGGTGTAGTTCTATCCATGCGAACAATGTATTTATCATCTCTCATTGTATATATTTTCATCTGTTTTTCAATGTTCATTCCACCACACTCCTTCAAGATTTCTATATAGTTGCGAATGAAATATGTTGTCATTGGTAATCTTTCGTTTAGCATGTAGTGGTCTTCAACAAGAAGTAAGTCAATAGTTCGAACAGTTTTACATTCTTTTGGTATGTATCTCTTTATTTCATTATGTCTTGAGTCATTGAAATAACCAATGGTAACATTGAATGCTATACCTGTTGAATCGGAAATTTCTTGTACTTTACTTTGAGGAAAGTCTCTAACACGAATGACTTCTCTCATGTGGTCAATAGTTTCTTCATTTACTCCAGCCTGAATGCAAGCATAAACGAAACAATTGTCCTCTGTCATAAGTGTTGCAGTTCTTTTGTTCAGTTCATTGAAGATTTGGTAGCGTTCAAGATTTATAGGTAATGTGCAAAGATACTTCCAGAACTGACCGCTTCTCTTCTTATAAAACTTCTTTTCACCAAGGATTTCATTCCAGAAGTCATCTATATCTTGTTTATCTCCTGTTTGTTTAAGTCTGTTCAATAATCTTTTCTGTCTTTCTGTCAGTGTGCTTTCATCTCTATATGGTCTCTTTTTTGGTTTGCCTTTCTTTACATCTGACATCGTTAAGCCTTCATATTCAGTTAAATCATACATCTTTATTTCAGTAAGATTCTTTATGTTTGTCAAGAAGAAGTCATAGTGCATTTCAACAATACCTGCAGCATTTGCTTCTATCTCTGATATAAAGTTCTCCTTCAAGAGCTGATGTAGTAATGTTCCAATATTATTGAGGTTTAACGTAGAACATTCATACTTTCCACCAAGTTTATAACATACCATCCATCTTTGTTGGGAGTTTATTTTAATCTTCTCTAAGAGTCTCATGAAAACCTTACCGAAATGTTTGTGTAAGTAGTCTCTGTTTGGTTCATCTAAAGCTTCGATGTTAAAGTCAATGAGTCTATTGCCTGACTTCACATTTCTCTTCCTATTCTCTTCATCTTTCTTTAACCATCTCTCACCTTCTTTTGGTTTGTCGTCAATGGAACGAATGACATCGTTAGCTTTGCGAACTTGTTCTATAGCGCTCTTAAACATCTCTCTTCTCTGTTGTTTCAGTGTGTCGTCTCTCTTTCGTGTTTCACCAACGTTTGCATTTGTTATGTCAAACATCTCTTGACGAACATCATGCGAAAGAGCTTTACGAGTATGACCAACGTTTGCATTTGTTATGTCAAACATTTCTCTTCTTACTTCATGAGGTACTGAACGTCTATGATATAAGTCAATAGCAACGTCATTTAAAGGAAATGCTCTTGCATGGACTTCGTCCTCGCCGCGTTGCGGCTTTATGAACTCATGAATTCTATCATAACTTATTGCACCATTATAGTCATTGAGGATGTCAGCGAGTGCTTTTTTGTTTGTTGCGTAATGCTTTGCTACTTCTATGTTAGCTTCTGTAAGAAGTTGTTTTATTTCCGAGTGTTCTAACTTAGACAACTTCCGATACATCTTTAGTAGGAAATAAAAAAATATTTTTGAAAAAATTAGATTAGATTTTTTAAAGTTATTTTTCAAAATAATTTAATATTTTTATTTTAATGAAACACATGCAAGATTGCAAGTTCTTTTCATACAATGCTCTCGCTACTGCCATCAAGAATGAGTTCAATAATGCTTCAAATGTTAATGTTATCTTTAACAAGAAGTTTGTGAAAGAATCTAAGTTTGGTCAGTATGTCAGACCATTAGCTATCGTCATTGACCGCAAACGTTATACTTCACAAGAGTTAGCAGTAGTTTTGAAACAAAAGAGTTTCTTCGTGAATGTCAAAGATACTCATTATACTGTTATAAAGAACTCTAATATTGACTTCTTCAGTATTGCTTTAAATCTTTCCGAACAGAAAGAATATAAGAAGGGTGAAACAAATGTGAAATATTATCCTTCATCTCTGAAGACAATAACGAACAAAGATGTTATACAGAAATTCTTACCAAAGGTTGAAGAAGCTTCAATTGACATTGACGAAGGAAGTGAAATGGTTGAAGAAATTGACCCTGAAGTTATTTAAGCAAAAATATATTTTTGAATAACTGAAAGTGTCACCACGTCACCATGTGCTACCAGGTTAATTAACTTCTTTTAAAAATGATGACAACATGACATTTTGACAACAGTCCAGGAAATAAATTTTATCGTTAATGTTTACGTTAATGTTTTTCATTAAATTTTGACAAAGTGCAAATCTTCACTTCGTCAAAAAAAGTTAATGTTTTTCATTGAAATCGGTAAGTTTTCATTCTTCCTCTTTGAAGTTGTCGAAATATTCTGTTATCTTTTCTTTCAGTAATGTTAAGTCTTCTTTAAATGTAAGTATTGTGCAACCTTTGATGTCATAGTGTGTTTGAGGAAGAGTATTTTTGACAATTTCCTTTATTTGCTCATTCGGTGTCATTGAAATCGGTAAGTTTTCACGATAGAACCAGTTTCTGTCAGATTTATATATCTTAGCTAAGTCATAAAAGCTCTTGTTGTTTCTTCTCACTAAATGCAACATAACCATATCTCTATCTTCTTCTTTCTCCAACTCTTCAGCGTAAATCATATACTTATAGCTTTTTTCCTTTCCTTTTGGTACTGAACGTGGTATTCTTTTCTGTATGCTTTTGTCTTTGGATTCAATGACTTCATCTTTTGCTTGAAGTTTCTTTTCCATCTCTCCACGTTCTGCTTTATATAGTTCATCTAACATCATGAAAATATAACAAGCATAACGAGGTGAAGCCCACATTGCTACAGCATTTACTAAAAGTCTATGAACATAATAACCTTTCAAACCAGGAGCCAAATTCTTGCGATTTTCGTACGGAATCTCTTCCCTCGGTTTTCCGAGGGAAGCAATCATATGAGGAAATTCTTCTAAAAGTTCTTTTGCCTGTTGGTTTTCAAACCAATGATATGCTTGCTTTGTAGAAAGAAGAGCATTCAAAATACTTTGCATTTGGTACATGTCATCTTTGACTGAACGAATAAGACGTAACTGTTTGTTATACTGTATGTACTCGTATTCTTCATTTATGGCTTCATGAACGATAGCAATTGTTGTGTTCTCTGATGTTGACATTACTGTCTTTACATACAAAATAAAAAAATAAATAAAAATAAAACTAACTTTATTTTTCTGAGATAAACACTATTTCTTCACAACATTAAATTTTATCCTGTATGAAATGACTTTAAAAAGATTATTGACTGACTTCGAATACTATCTCATTGACGCACTGACAGACCCTCAAAACTGTGTTGAAAGTTCTTTAAGCTTTAAGATTGAAGGTACGACGCATTTTGTCTTCACTTACGTATTGAAAGAATATGACCGTTATCATAACGAAGTGAATCAAACACTAATAAAATTTGTAGATAAAAAATTGGTTAACAATGAATATTTTAAACGTGAAGACCCAAACACTGCTGGAGATGATGAAGAATACAGACAAGTTATTGAAAAAAATAACGCAAGATTAGATGCAATAGAAAAGAAGTTTAATGAATGTCTTACAAACACGTATGAATATCTTATGCGGTGGGAAGCTAGATGGAAATAAATTTACGTCAAATATGCAATTTATAAAATCTTATGTCGACAGGCTACGTAGCACAGTGGTCTAAGGTGGTGTTATGGAGGGGTCAGAGTCTGTGGTTCGAACCGCGACAGCGCCGTATTTTCTTATTTTCTTTGTTTGTCTTGTTTGTCGTGATCGTGAATAAAAAGTGTCATAAAAGTGCTCTATCTTCCACGTGAATAAATAAAAAATTTACTTTATTTCTTCTTTATTTCTTTGTTCCCGTGGAAGAAGGGTTTTGCTGTTTTTCTCAGCCGAAATCAATGATTTTTTCATTTTTGGAATCCTTAGCGAATGGGGAATCTTTTCTCTCGTGGAAGCTTTGACCAAAAATATATTTCATTTTCAGCATTATTTTTTTGCATTTTGACACGAAGTGAAGATTTGCACTTCGTCAAAATGTGATGTCATGTTGTCATCATTTTTCAGAGATGTTAATTAACCGAGTGACACCTTCAGTTCTTCAAAATAATTAATTATTGAATAACCTAAAAACATTAACGTAAACATATATTTTTGGTCGTTTATGATAAAAATAAATGGTTCATTTACTCACAATATTTTTGTACAAAACGACCCCAAACTTTTAACTTCTTTTCTGCAGCTTCTAATGCTATCTTAGCGAGTTCATATTCTCTAAATTCTCTCTTTAAATCTTCTTGTTCCCATTGGTCTAGTTCGTATGAAGAATCTCTATAACCATAACATATCTCACGTTCATGTTCTAATTGTTTTTCACACGTTTTTCTAACTTCTTCTTCAAACAAATGTTTAGCATTCTCTACTGTATCTTCGAGTTCTTCTTCATCTAATTTCTCATGAACTTTCTTGTCTATGGAGTCCATAATTTTTCCAACTGCTATGCAATATTTTGGAGAAGTCCACATTGCTATATAGTTTATAAGTCTTGGGTCTACATACGTTCCTCTAACCTGTTTGATTTCATCAGGAATTCCTGCATGAATTTTGTATAAAAAGCAACCGCCGGAATTCAGACGGTTGCTATATTCTTCACAAAATGCCTTATAATACTCTTCCCAGGACTTATTTTCCAACAACTTTCTAAAGTCTTTCCTAAACTGCTGACACATATTTGTTGCATTAATGTAACCATCCTTGTCTCTACGTAAGACTTCAATACCGTTATAAGTGCCTTTTGTGAATGTTTCGCCATTAGATTTGTTAGTGAATGTTTTTGCTTCGACTGACATTACTGTCTTTACATACAAAATAAAAAAATAAATAAAAATAAAACTAACTTTATTTTTTCTATCTTAAGGAAATTCATGAAAATTCGTGAGGGTGAAAAAAGAGGTGAAAAAACGGGTGAGATCTCACCTCTTCACCTAAAATATATTTTTGGTGTAAATTTATGACAAAAATAAATGGTACCATTAATGATATCATGACTGTTCTCGTTCATGTCTGATTTACATCTAATGAAAAAGTTTAGAAGAATTTTCTTATTCTTTCTGGTATATTTTTGTCTTTCCAGTACTCCCGCTCTAATGGTCCCAGATGTGTTGGCTTTGACTCTCTCAAGTTCTTAGATGGTATAACAGCTTCAACGCCTCCTTCATATCTTACTTTATAAGTGTCATCGTTTATGTTATAGCCAAGTATTTCAATAACCACTCCTCGCTTTGCTTCGTCAATGGTTTCAGCAAGTTTGCCATTACTACTTTTCAACTAATTTGTGACGAGGGTAAAACGCAATAGAGTCGTCAGCAGCTTTTATAAGATATCCATTACCTTGCGTAGAGTCTACGATATAATAGTTTCTACTTAACCTTAAACGTTTCTTTGTCAACGGTTTGTCGTCAAGAACTACACGAACTTTTGTACCAGGAATGAGGGTAAATTGTGTTGAATTTCTGATATTTTGTGTTTGGCTTCGTTTCTTTTGTATATACTTTTCTTCTTGTTGTTGTGTCATTGAATTTGGTGTATGTCCTGTTGTAAAATGTGTTGAGGAATTATATACTTCGAGAAAATGTTTCATTGTTTCTTCGGTAAAGTCTCGCTCTTGATTTAAATCTCTGAGCGTTCTTATGAAGCGATTAATGATACCGAGTATGTTATGGTTATGGTCTTCAGTAGTGTAGTGAGTTATGTTATGCTTAATGAGAAAATCTGTGATTTCATTGCTGAGGTATGCACTGTCTTGGTCTGATGTTAAAGTACTTGGGCTATGTTCTGCTACAAACTTTTGTAAAACTCTTAAACACTTCACGAGTTCCTTTATTCCTCATTGGATATGCATATGCTTTGCGAGTGTTAACATTAATGAAGATGAGGAATGGTTATGTCCTCCTTTTCTGCTTTGAATGAGAGTGTCAAATTGGTATGCGTCAGGAGTGTTGGAGTAAATTGGTAAAAAGTAGTCGTAAGGGTTTATTTTTGTTTGATGTACAACATTTTTGTCAAAGAACCTTTTCACTTCAGCTCTGTTAGTAAATCCCCAACTCTTTGCAGCTTCATTGAACTTCTTAAATGACCTCCATGGATGTTGTTCGAATACTTCTTTCAAGCTCATTTATGTAAAGTTAAAGATTTTATTCTAGGCTCAAGCGCGTTCATTGAACGCGGTACCATGCGAATATAGTCACAAATGGTGGCATATAATCTGCACCCGAGCCTGTTGGATTTGTTGTGAAAGTATGTGAATGATTTCCTCCTGGTTCAGTTGGTCGAAAAGTCTTTTTTGCTGCATTGTTATAAGATGGAGATAAAACGTCATTGCCAGCTTCATACTCTGAGTTGTATAATGGGTGGTCTCTTAATGAGTGGCTATGGTCGCCAGAAAAGTTTGTAGTTCCTGTATGAGTGTGCGGTGGAAGGTTTGCTTCAGTAATTTTCTTCGAACCTCCTGTTTGCTTTGAATATCTAGCACAGTATAAGAATTTATCTACAATCTGTTCCCACGTACCGAAACCCAGAACTGTTGCTGGATTTATTGAGTTCATTGACGTATAAATAGAACCTATAGGATATAATGTTTGAAGTATTTCTGTCTTTAATGTTTGAAGCTCTGTTTTGTCAGCTTTCTTATCTAACATTGCTGGTAGTTCATATGCTTCAAAGTTTCTGGCATGATCTTCAATATTCCTGCAACTCTTATCTAAATTGTTAAGAGTATCTTTTACGCTTGTACTTGGATTTTCTAATGGTGCACTTGAACCAAGGTCAAAGTTCAATATTATGTCGTCTGCTCTAACAGTAGTGAAGGATTTATGTGTATGGTTCTTGTCAGCTTTACTGTCTAACATTGCTGGTAGTTCATGGGTTTCAAAGTTTCTGGCATGACCTTCAATGTTCATACATTTACTATTTAAGGAGTTTAGTGTATCTTTTACGCTTGTACTTGGATTTTCTAATGGTGCACTTGAACCAAGGGTATAGTTCAATATTATGTCGTCTGCTCTAACAATAGTGAAGGATTTATGTGTATGGTTCTTGTCAGCTTTACTATTTAATGTAGCTTGAAGTTCATTTATATCGGAGATGTTGTGTTTATGAGATTTCAAAACTTTGTTCATTGCTTCGAGTTCAACTTTGTCAGCTTTACTTTTAATAGCATCTTCAAACGTTATTTTTGACTTAACTCTCAAAGTAAATCTTGGTTCAACTAATACACCTTTAACAGAGAAAGTAGAGGCATAAATTTCATCGTTATAACTAAATGCTTCTGGTGCTTTACCCGTGTCATACTGTACAGTACAGCTTATGTCATAACCTTTAGCACGAATGTATTTATATCTTCTTTCATTAACATCTTCCGTCTTCACTTCATCACTTCGTGTTAAATATCCATGGTAGTCCGTTATAATCTGTTCGTCTGAAGTTATATAATGAACGTGGTTCTTGACTTTATCACTCAGAGCTAAAAGCTCATTTTTGTTTGCTTTTTCGGCTAATTTCTCATTAACATCATTCACTTCTAATTCAACTCTTCCGCCAGAACTCTTATTATCATTAATCTTTTTCATTAATTCGGTAATTACGTCATAAAGACTATATTCTGTTTTCGGTTTTGTAAATAATGAGTCAAAATTTCTTTTCATCATTACATCGCTGACATTAATGATATCACCAATTCCTTTTTCATTTATTCTCTTCATTAATTCTGCAATAATGACGAATATATAATCTGTTAATTTATTCTCTTCATCGAGGGTTATAGAATGTTTTGAAATTGAATCATTAACTCCTCTAAATAAATCAATAACTTCAGGATACACGTTTTTAATGTCTCGAATAACCCGACCAGTATCCTGTTGTTCATGTTCTTCGTTCCCGTCGTTACGTGGTTTTATATCTCTAACCATCATCAACGCAGCCATAACCGGAGGGTTTGTTGCTACCTGTTCGAAAATCTGACCGTTATGTATGGTATATCTAAATAATTTCTTTGTGTTTGTTAAAACATTTGAAACAAGTCTTTTAAAACCATCTACAAAATTTCCTGTTTCACCTAATGTTCTTGCAGCATTTACAAGCTCACCCATGCCCGCTTTTGACCCCAAAAACGTCCATATTGCATTTATTTCACTCTGTATAGTTGTCCATTCAGCAAAATTAATTCCTGCATTCGCTAAGCTGAAAATGAAATTCAGTGGATCGAACTTAATTCCACCTTCTTTTTCAATTTCAACGAACTCACTAACATGAGATTTTAAATATTCTTTCGTTAAAATTGTTTTCCCTGATGTTATGTCATTAACGAAACTATCACCGTCAAAAGTTAACGAATTCAATTTCGTCGTTGATGCTTTTATTTCATACACCGCTTTATTGATAGTTTTTGGCTCACCTTCTTTAGAAGCATATGAAACATTAATGAATGAATTATATGTATTCATGAATGAGTTAAAATCAATGATTTTCATTAATGACGCCTTTAATGATTCATTTACTGTCGAATCCCTTAAAGCAATTAATGAACTGTCATTTATGAAAGGTACACTGCAAACCGTCGAGTTTGGATCAAATGCTGTAGTTGGTGCAGGAATATTAATGATATAAGTCATTAAATCATTAAGTGACGTAAATAATGTTGTCGTTTTTGATTTAATTTCTTTAGCATCTGTTATATATGGTAATTTCATTTCTGTAGTTTCTGAATTAAAGATATTCGCTAAAATGTTTTGTAAACTGTTTTGAACAGCTGTGTAAACCGTTGAATCCGGAACTCTTACGATTTCACCGTCCTTAATAAAAGGCATTGCACATGGTGTAGTGCTTGGATCGAATCTTTTTGGGTTATGATTCAACATATATTCTAATGCTTCATGAACAGACTTATATACTGTTGTGTCGTTCTTCATGACAACTTCACCATTTACAATGAATGGCATAGTGCATGGAGTTAAAATAGGGTCAAACTTTTCATAGTCCTTCCATGTTATGTATTTCTCGGTATTTCCATCACTGATAACAATATATTTGTCAGTAAGTGTGAGAGAGTATTGACCAAAATATAAACGTTTAGCTCTGTCAGCTTCATACGCATATGCAGCTATACTCATATTTTAATGAGAATAAAATGTTGTTCTATTTGCAAAGTACAGACCCAAACGAATACGGGACAGTAAAACTACAAACAAACTTAGGTCTACAGAATGAGCCACTTGCATTCAGAATGGTTGACTTCAATACTATCGCTTCATTCGTTATAACTGATGAAACAGATTTCATGGAGCTTGAAATAGATGGAAAGAAGCACGAAATAAGATTTCACAATAATGTAGAATATAAGATGGAAACATTAGCTGGAGTGTTAAATGCTCTCATAAATACTACAATAAACAAGGATAACGAAGAAAACTTAATGAATGTTAAACTTATTGCAGGAGTTTTGAAGTTCAGTTATGCGAAGGAGTTTAAGATACCAAGAATGAGTCATAGAGTACAACTTCTTTTGGGAGCATACCATATGACATTTCCTTTGAAAAGTGTTGACAAAACGATTGAGATGAAATCTGTTCCATATGTATGTTATGGTAATTGTTTGTACGTTGAGTCAAAAATAGCTAATGTCACAGGTATTTCAGGAGTTAATAGTAAAGGTTCAGTAGAATATAAATCCTTCTGTTATGCAGTCAATTCAATGTTCATTCCAAACGTTCCTGTCATAGCAACTTATTTAGGTAAATGGGTTCGCATTAGTCCTCATAATTTGAAAGACATGCAATTCAGACTTGTTGACTTTCAAGGAGAGCCTGTAGAACTGAAGGCCCCAGTGCGAATGACTGTTGAAGTTGACTTTTTAGAAAATATTAAATGCAACAGCTTACAAGAGAACTCAGAGCTAAAAATATAAAGTATGAATGTTATGTATTAGGTCATGAACTTTGGTTGTTGCTGTTTGATGAAACAAATGAGTTAGTTATGTCAGTCAAGAGAACAGAAAAATATTGTGTTAGTGAAAACTGCACCAAGTCAATAAGATTAGGTTTGCATTATGAAGATGAGTTCGATACTGTTGAAGAAGTTTTGGATAGATATTACAAATTGCTAACTTGAAATTTTTTTTGACTGACGGCGCAAAGCGCCAAGATGGGCTCAAAGAGCCCTCCTGACTGCTTTAATTTACTAAAACATATTTCAAACAAAGTTTATATTCTGTTGAAAGTTTTGTATATTCGTTCGAATATTTATACTTAAACTCAACTCCTGTAGTTCCTGGTGTTTCAATGATGCGGATGTTACCTATTTTCATGAATGGTGGCGTTTGACCACAGCATTCGATTTCAGGGTCGAGATAGTCAATGACACATTGCTTTCCTGTTATTCGTGATATAATATTTTCAAGGTCCTCCTTTGTTAGAATTATTTGGTTCTTACTTATAAGATTTGTCAAAAGCTTCTTATCGTCTTTGAGTAAAATTGTTTGGTATAACTGAAGAAGGTAATGGTCTACGTTATCTGAAGGCTTTGTTTGAACATTTGTGTAAGGGTTGTCGTTGGCTTCTCTTGAAAGAATTTGGTCCAGTGGTGGATACTCTAACTTAACATCTGATGTAGCGTTAGCGTTTGAAGCTGTGTTTAAATTCACCGACTTAAGTTCTGGTTCTTTTTCTTTCAAACACTCTGAACTATAGTTCTTTATGACAATATTGTTTGTCGTTCGTGAGTCAACATTTGATGTTGGTTCAATTGGAACATTAACGGCACCAGCTAAGATGGATTTGCTTCTCATTTCATATAGAATAAAAACCTTTTATATGTATGAAATGAACAATATACTCGACAAGGGTTTGAATGTAAAGCTAACGAATGAAAATATTGTTGAATTCACTGAGACAGGAGCTGTGTATAAAGATGTAGAACTACTGAACAAAAGAGCAAAGGGAAGAAGCAGGAACATGAACAAAGGGTGGAAGCCTATAAAAATTTATGTCAATGATGGCTCAGGAGGTTCAAACATAAAGTATGCAGAAAGTTATAGAGTTTATGCTCTCAAAGGTGAAAAGCCTTCATTTAAGAACAGCTATTCTAACGCATATCCTCAAAAGCTAACGGATGGGGAAGTGGATGATATGAATGACAGCAAAAATATTAACAGAAATGGCGACAGAGATGCATGGAATTTGTTTACCATCAGTCAATTGAAGGTTAAACTTTAAAACAATGTTGGTCGTTCCCATGGAATATTTTTGACTTTAATGGTATTAGTCATGATATGAATCTCAAGGTATGAACGAGGAGAGATGAGAGACTTATATGCTTCCCAAATTTCTTCAAAAGGTAATGTTATACCTGACTGTTTCCAAATGAGTTCAATGTCATAGCGTGAGAAACCTTGAAAGATAACGAAGTCAGTTATGAGACGTTTTATGTTTAAAGCTAAAAACCTCCATGTTTGCATAAGTATTGCTACAGTTAAGTGGTAATGTCTGACTTTAGTAATGATGTTAGCTAATGGTGAGTCTGGTTTTGACACTAAACCTTTTCCGGCGAAGTCGTCACAAACTAATAAAGTGTTTGATGGATATTTTTTGAAGGGGTATTTTGAAAGTTTTGACAGAATGTAGTTTGTAAGTCGTTTCATATCGTAAACTCCTGAGTACTGACGTAAGTGGTGTTTGTTAATAATTCTTTCCATCTCCTCAGAAGTCTTTTGCATTCCTGACTGTATAAATTCAACGATGGCATAATATTTCCTCTTACGTCGAATGTAACGTTGAAGAAATTCAATGAGTTCACTGTCTGGAACTTTAACGACAGAGGCTTGAACTTTTGACATAAATGTTTTCGCTGTTGAGTCCATAGAGTCTGAAGTTGCTGATATAATGATTTGGTCATAATATGAGTCATTTCCTAAACGTTCTGTTATAAGAATATGACGAATGAGGTTAAATGTCTTACCTGAACCCATCTTTCCACAATAGAAATACACACCATTTGAACAGAACTCATAGTCCTTGCTGAAAGGAAGAATGAGAGAAGAGTTAAGTTTGTCTGTAGTTTCATTCATGTCTTCATCTACGTCATGTATTAAATGCTTCATTTTATCTCCATTAAAAATGCAAGTCAGAAATATTCAGAACATAGCACCGAGTCTAACTGACAAGAGTATAAAGATATACTATGAACATGTTATGATGAAACCAACCAAAATTCAAGAAAGTCAGTATACTTATGAATATCCAAGACACTGGGTAGAGTATGTAGGAGGTGAGAAAGCTATTGAAATCAGACAGGTTCGAAGTATTCCAGCAGGAAGAACAATATTATTGAAGAACTTTAATGTTTTGAGATATAATGATGAAACAAAGAAGCAAGATAGTTTCCCTGTTGCTGTGTATGTGAACTTAGATACAGGAGATGACATGAAAGTTTTTAATACAAAGCTTCAAACGGTAGTGAGAGAACAACTGACTGTGGAAGGGCATCCATTACCTTCAGAAGTTACCATAGCATATAATTTTGAAACAAACTCAATAGATTTTAAAGTCATCTCTGCAAAGAAGTCAGGTTTTACATTTAATGAAGCAGATGTATATTCGAATGAAAACTTCAAAGCTATTGCATGGTTAGATAATGACGATTGCTTTAAGAAAATATTTAAATACAGTGACTCAACGATGTCAATAGATGACCTTCGTGGAATGTTACCATCGACGTTTACAGTAGAAGGTTCAGCAGGATTGCTTACAAGATTGTCAATTGGTGGTATTTGGTCTCGTGAGAACATTGTTATAAAATCCAGTATAAGTGAATTTGCTGAAGAATCTATATTATGTCTTTCAAACTACATGTATTCGCCGCCGAAGCATTATAGTATAACAAACTTTGTCAGTAAGTTTAACATAAGACTTGTCGAACCTTCTTCAATGAAAGATGTTGTGCTACCTAAAGATGGAAAGGATGGACTCATTATTGAGATGATTTTAATTGCATATTAAATGAGCTTGTTCTTAAAGGTCGTTCATGATGAAATAACTGTTGTAGAAGATGTTAGCAATTGTTCAGACATTTTGAAGCGAATAGATGAGATAAGAAAGAAGTTAGATAGACCGCAAAGCGGTGAGGGTGAAGCCCGTGAGAATGTTTATGTTTCATTGACTTTCTCCAGTAACGAGAACTTTTATGAGATAATATTGAAGAGAGATGATTTTAATATGGGGTAAATGGTAGCTTGGGCAGCTTTAGGCGCAATGGGAACAAAAGCATTAGCATTTGGAGCAAAAGCACTTGGAGCTTATGACGCAGTAAATAAAATGAGTGGAGGAAGGGTTTCAAAGACATTAGATGCAAATAAAGGAAAGATTGGAGGCTGGGTTGCAAAGAAGTTAAGATTAAATAAAATAGGGCTCATAAATAAAGCATCCAATTTGGTTGCGACTGAGTCAGAAAATGCTTTAGGAAAGGACGATTAGTTTGCAAAACACGTAAAAGACTTTAATGACCAGATGAAAGGTGAAACAATGCATTTAAATAGAGTCGATGGAACTAAAGAAGATGTTTCTTCTCCACCAGTAGTTCTTCCGTATGGTCCCTATGGAATGTATGGAAACCCTTACGAAAGACCATTTGACCCATTGACTGGTGGAAGTAACTGGTATCATTACGGACGAAGAAGAAAGACAGTCAAGTTGGAGACAGACGTGAAGAAAGCAACTAAAAAGAAACCAAGGAAGAGAGTTATAAAGCAATGAATTCAACAGGGTAGAAATGAGGTTAGAAATCGGGTTAGATCTCACCACTTCACCTAAATTTATTTTTGTGCTATGTTTTCATACGTGTGAGAGTGGTGAGATCATTTATTTTTTATTTTATTTTTTAAAATTATTTTTATTTTATTTGGATGTAATGACAGAACAAAAGCAACTCATACAAATCAAAACATATAACAAACATACATTTAAACATTTATTCTTCCTTCCTGAGCATAACATGTTCTTTCAAATACATCCGAGACCAGTTGACTTTTCATTGACTGTTTATAAAGATAGAAATAGTTATATCATTAAACCATACGATGACGAAGGTAAGTTATGTAAATTGTACGTTAAGAAGTTAGAGAAAGTTTATGGCTTCAAGTATGACTACAATAGGGTTAACACTGATGATGAAGATATTGAGGAAAATTTATGAGAACATTAGTGAAGTTGTTAGTGAGAACGATAGTGAGGTGAAATTGTTGGCGGCTTTGTAAATATTTAAGGTTAAGTTAGTTTTTGCGTTCATGTTGTAAAATATACGTTAACGGTTTTGTAAAGTGTCAAATTCACAAGTATTGGGTAAGGTGGAACGCAGTGCCACCATACCCAAGACTTGTATACTAACTATATTAAACGCAAAGTTAAAGCAACTCTAGTTTCAAATAAAGCTTTCACATGTGATGCCGCTTTTAAATGCATGCGTTTATTCGTCGGTTACAAATCATCAAATCAAAGCTTTAAACAATTAGAAGTAGAAACCGAAAGAGGTGATGCCGGTTATCTTCAGATGGATTGCGCCCGTGAATCTTTCGCATTTGCAACATATAAACCAAAATCAGAAAGGAAAGTTAAAAAGTTTGTTCATTCGTTATATAATAATGTTCAAAAATATGATAACTCAGTATGTGGTAAATATATTGACCCTTCAGAAGTTTTCAAGAAAGCAAATGAAGAAGTTGATGTCACTTTTGATATGATTATTCCGGTAAATGATTTGTTAGCATTTCAGGCGTTCGATGATTATCCTAAATCATTTGGTGATATCATTCTTAAATATTATGTTTTCAGGGATACTTTAGTATTTTGTCAGGTTGACCCGTTAAGAGTTGCTGATTTACAAAATTACGTTTATGAAAAGATAACTGATGAAAATTATGAAAAGATTATGAATCATGTTTATAAATATGATCGCAAATTCCAACAAATCGGACTTCCTGCCAAATTAATTACAAGCTTAGCCGCTACATCTGCTGACGCAACAGTTGATGACGTTATTATTTCATGCACAAAGATGGAAGTTTTAGAGGATAAATGCATTACACCAGGATACGGTTTAATTGAAGAATCAGTTAAAGCAATACCACGTTTATTCAGTAAGGAAGATCCATTCATGATTCCAGCTCAACATATTGACGTTCGTTCACTAAATGGAGGTTGCATCACTCCTGAAGGTATCAGCTCAGATTTCTCATACGCTCTTCATAATGTTACAGATGTTGTTATGTAAGACATTATAGATTAATATAGGGTGTCCAAAGGTGTGTTTAGCACAAACCTGAATACTGCGAATAGAAATAAACAAGTTACATATATATAAAGTTTATTTAAATATAATCACCATTGGATTCAATCACGCGTTCGCAGCGATCGATCCAGGCTTGAAAGACACGCTTTAAATCATCATGAGAAAATTGCTCAAATTGCTCTCTTACAAAATTTTCAAGATCATCTGGACTCGCGAATTCGCGTCCTTCAGCTCTCTTTTTTAGCGTGCCGAATAAATAAAAGTCAGAGGGTGCAATATCAGGTGAATAAATTGGGTTTGGAACAACTTTGACATTGTTTTCCAACAAGTAATTCATTACCTTATGACTTTTGTGAACTCTTGAATTATCAAAATGAATTGCAAACTTTTGTTTTTGTTGTTTGGATTTCTCAAACTCATCAGAATTGATAATTTGAGTAAGAACATTGTCAATTAGATACTGAGCATTCATCGTATTAGGTTTTTGAAGAATATCAATTGCGATGATGCCATTCACGCCCCAAAAAACCGACAACATCATCATTGGTGTGTCAATTTTTTTCTTCGGGAATGTTTGCGGATTTTCATCCTTCGGGATCCACATGATTTTGGCTTCTGTTGCATATTGAAACCAAGACTCGTCCCCTGTTACTAAAAAGCGAAACTTCTTGGATTGATACGCACCCAATATAGAGAGGAGCTCTTTCGAAGATTGGACTCTAGATTTTTTTTGAACTGAATTAAGGTTGTGCGGAACCCAACGTGTATACGCTAGTTTGTAGTTCAAATAATTGTGCAGATAATAACTGACTGTTGTACGTGGTATCTTTGTCATCTCCTCTATCCTTCTGAGTGATGCTCTTGGGTCTTCATCTAGCGCTTGAAGAATTGCTTTGATTTTTCTTTGATCCGGCGATTTTTTGTCAATTTTTATGATGGGCGCCTTTTTGTTCATGAAGTGATACATCCTAACATGATACGTTACAGTGGAATAGCTAGGAGCATCCATACCGAAGCATTTTACCAATGTCTCGTAGATTTTTTACAGTCTTTGCATTTTTTTGCAAGAGCGAGGATGTTTTCTTTATGATTCATTAAAAAAATGAAAAAAATCCCGCCAAAATTTCCCGCGAAACCGCCTCTTGTCTCAAAATTCATTTTATATCCCGGCATGGCGCCAAAATACAACATACTCATCATATACATATATTCATATTTTTTATTATATATTTATAATCAGCATATATCTCCTTTAATAGTCTCATATAGAGCGCTGTGCTAAACGCACCTTTGGACACCCTATATTAGGTCTATTAATTACAATGAACCAGCTAAAAATCAACTTCAAGAACAAATACAGGGAATAATAGATTCAAAACTTCCAGCAAAAAAAAGTTTAAATATATTTTTTTATTCGAATATAAATGAGAAGACGTTTCACTAGTCAAAAGAACACTAACGCAAAAGCAGAGATTACGGTTGGTTATAACGTAAATGATGATAAATCACGAATTATTCAAAATGCTAAAGTTAATGTTAGCCCTGAATTAACAAGGTCAGCAACTCAACCAAATTTATTAACTCGTGACTTACCGAAAAAGGAGGAGGAGCAAAATAAAGAAGATGGAGACCCAATCATTTTATCTGAACCTGGTAAAGAACCTGTTGAAATTCCCACTTATCCAACATACCCCCCACCTCTTTCATCAAACATCGAGAACCCATATAAAATAGACATTAATTCTGAATTAATGAAAATTTACCGTGATATAATAATTAATAATTATGATTCAATAATAAATTTAATTGATCAATCCGGTTTAATTATTTTACCTTATGAATCATTAATTCACATTATCGCCATTCTTTGTGATGTTCAAGATTCAGACGTTAAGATTCAATTTTTCATAGATGATGAGGTTTCATGCTGCGGAACAGTTGCAAAAATAAATCCTATAAAGGATATTAGCACAATTAAGATATCAAAGAACGGAACAACAACTGAACTTCATTTAACATATAATGATATTTATAATAAAATAGTTGATGAATATAAAATATCACTTGAAAAATTCTTTGTTAAGGCTATTTAATATTCAAGCATTAACATTATCGAATAATAATCCTTTGAATCATAATCAATAATAATTGACCTTTCACCAGTTTCTATCGTTTGTTTTATTTCTTTTTGTTCCCCACTATCCGGATCGGTCATTGTAATTGTTTTTGTTATAGTATCAGCTTTATCTTTAACTTCAATCTTTTTTCCATCGGGATATTTAAACCAAAATTCCAAAAATTCGATATTGTCAATCTGTTCATATTTTAATCTATCGATTACATTTTTAATACCATCTGAAAATCTTATGAAATGGTCATTATATGGGTTTGATTGAACTAAATTTGAATGAAGTGAAATATAACCTGTTGATGAATATGACACTGACTCATATTTTCTGAAAACACTAAAATTTATAACATGAATGAATTTCTTATTCGTTGAATTTATGAATTCTTGAGGTAATCTTATTCTAGTTTTATTTATCACTGGAAAATAACGCTTTACCATATTTTTAATCGTAATAAAAAATGTCAATTATCAATATTATTTCGAATAATAACTGTGAATTAAATTTAACAGTTAGCGGAATTTATAATGTTACTCTCGTTTCTGTGAGTGGTAAATTTAATCCCATTCTTTTAGACCCTTCAGATTATATATCATTTATTAAAGATGACCATGAGCCGCATAGCGGCGAGGTCGTAGACCTTGAAAAAACGTATGATATGTATATAAATAATGTGATAGCGAAATGGGATATTAACATGATTTTAAGTTATTTAAATGAATCATTTATCGTATGGTATGAAGAAAATTTTAAATCAAAACCTGATAAACTTTTTGAACTTGATGAAATAAATAACCTTATTAAATTTCCGCTGAAAATTAAATTTTGTACTCCTCATCTTCGTTCATTGTTGGGGATATTAAATTTTGAAAAAGATGTTGGGGATGTTTTGTATTCTGACACTGGTTCCAATTTCATTTTAATCAAATGTGATAAAGTTAATACCCCAATGAGATTTTCACATCAAACATTAGACCCTAACTCATACCCATCAATACAAAACATTTTATCCATCAACTTAAACACATTTTCTTTATCATATCCGTTTCAATTATCCGGGAATTCATTTATTCTTTATTCAAAAGATTTATCAAATATTAAATTTAGAATAACTGACCTATTTGATTGTGATTTAGAATTTATGAATGAAATATTATGGCAATTTCAAATAGAGAAAATAGCTGATGAGATAACGGATTAAATATTTATTTTTAAATCGTATTGCATGATTAAACAACAGCAACTTAAGGCGCAAAGCGCCCAGGTCCTTCAGACCATTACATACGCCACATATGCATATAATTCAAAGACGGCAGAACAAACGCAAAGGTTGAAATATGGAGATTTGGAGATAGTATTGAAAAATGACCATTTCAAATTTGTTTGCAAAGGTGGTGCAGTGATATCAAATATAAAAGAAATTTTATTTATGAATTCAAAAATTAAAGGTATAACGGATGATATAACATCAATTCCACCAGAAGAACAGAGATATTACGCATTAAATGCATTTCCTAAAGTTTTGAAGATTGGAAGATTTAATTTAAATGAGGAATTCATAGAAGGTTTCCTAAATGACATAATGAAGAAGGTGGATAAGGAATATGTGGATAGTGAGTTAATGAAGAAAGCAGATAAGGAATACGTTAATACTGAATTAAATAAGAAGGCAAATTTGGTTTATGTTGATGAAAAAGATAATGAAATTAAAGAAAAGGTTGAATGGTATCATGAATGGACATTGGAGACTTTTAAAGTTAAAGCTGATACAGAATGGGTTTCAGGATGTTTAGACCTTAAAGCAGATAAAACTTATGTTAACGATGATTAGAGAAGAAAGCAGATAAGGAAAAAGTTATTTCATTCATTAATACTGAGTTAGCAAGAGAAAGCTGATATATCATTTGTTAATGAAGAAATAAAACAATCAGAGGTCTATTTTACTCCACCATTTTTAAATTTTATGAAATCATCAGATAAAACCTTTGATATAGATTCTTTTGAATGGATATGTTTGATGGAGTGACCACGTATTTATTTTATACAGCTGGAGTGCTTTATTATTTTAAAACAAATGATTTTAAAACTATGAATCATTTACTCCATCTGTTTGGAATCCTGATACACGAAAGCCAATCATTAATCCAAGAATTTTATATGTTGAATATAATAACGGTAAATTTATGGGAATGATAACGGTTGGAGATGATTTTTGCCCTTGTTATTCATTCGATTGTATCCAATGGTTCAAATGTAATTTAAATCAAGATGCTAAATTTAAATATCCAAATAATCCTATTAGATGTGTTAATAATAAATGGGTACTAATTTATGAAGTCAATCAAATTTTCATTAGTGAGGATGGGATAAATTATTATATGTTTAGTATGATGTCATCAGATTTGGAAATTGATTATACAAGTAAATGGTATTACATTAACAGCATGTATTTTATCCTACAGAATGATAAAATTTATAGATCATATTCAATACCATTTGGTCGTTTTGAACAAATTTTTCAAGCTGATGGAGACATTGAGGCTTTATGTTATGCTTCAAATGTTTGTGTTCTTGTTTCAGGTGGTATGGTCTATTCATATCCTGTAAGTTATAACAGACATATTTATTTATCACAAGATTTTTCACAGGATCCAGAGAAAACACCAAGTTGGGAATTGGTTTATTCATTCACTCCAAAATTTACTCGAAATTATAGATTTACTAATTTATTTTATATTGATGGGTATTTCATTGCTTTTGGATGTGGTGATTTAGTAAATATCAGTAGTGATGGTAGAACTTGGTCTGAAATCACAAAATTTCAAGATGTTAGAAAAGCAATTTTCAAAAATAATACGTTAATATTGATGACAAGACCAGTTTTAAATTCTCGCCCAGTTTCAATATTATATAATAAATTCAATATTCATAATGGATTAAATACAATTCTTGAGATGATTTACCCCATTGGTTCAATATATACATCAATGAATTCAACAAATCCAGCTGATGTATTCGGTTTCGGTACATGGCAACAAATAACCGATCGTTTCCTCTATTGTGCTAATAGTTCAAAACAAACCGGTGGAAGTAAAAAGATTACTGGCGAAAATTTACCTGCTCATAGTCATTATGTTAATTTAAACACTCAAGACTCGGGCTGGCATAGTCATACTTATACTAATTCGTTTGAATATCCTGATGGAAATAATGGATTTCCTGATGGATGGTCTGATAGAGACGCTAGCAGGGGTAAATATTGGTACGGTAATAAAAATAGATGGAATGAAGGATATACTTCAAACGGTTCAGGTACACATTCACATAACGTTTCAGGATATACACAAACGACAGGAAGAGGTACAGATTACATGCCACCTTATATGACAGTTTATGCATGGTTTCGCGTTCAATGAACGCTCAATGTTTGTTTCACAAACTTTAGAACGGCATAATTTAAATTTTTATTTTAGTATAAATGAAGATTCTACCATATGGTGTTATTGGAAGAGATAAAGATGGAAACCCAATATTTGATCCAAAGTTAAAATTAAAGCTACTTGAAACCAAAACAGAATGAAAAAGAGAAAAATGAGAAATGAGAAAATGAGAAAGAAAAAAATTTAAATTATGCAATTTTATTTTTATCATAAATGACAAAATTAATTAAGCCAACTATTTCTAAATTAATGATACCAATGAAATCATTTCATGGAGTACTTATCCCAGGTTCTTCACAATTAGCCGGGGCAAGTGTTGTGGCTCAAGGTGGAACATTAGCGAATCCATTCAAATTAACTAAAGATGAACTTAATAAAATGATGATAAAATAACTGATAACAAAATTTTATTTTTATATAAATGGATACCCCACAAGCTCAAAATTTACCACGAATCATAACAAGGGAGGAAATGATAAAAATGATGCAAGAACGAATTAAAAACAACAAACCACGAAAACCGAGAAGATGCGGTTATGCAGTAATGATGGAAAGAAGAACCCAGAAGGGTTCGGCGTCTCGAAGAGACGTTGTCGAAGAGGAATAAAAATTAAATTTGGATTGAGTTTAAAAATTCATCTTTATTAAATTCATCTCTTCCAATCAATTTATTTATTCTATTAAATTCTTTTTTTTTGCTTCACTCAGTTTAAGGATTGAACGGTAAGTTTCTAATTTTTCGATTATTTCTTTCCTCTCTTTATCGTTTTCAATTACTTTAGTTTTATGGGCATCAGCCCCCATTGCGGCTTCTTTTTGTAATAGCATATTTTTGATTTAATTCTGTTTAGTTTCTTTTTATATTCATTCACTCTGAATCTTAATTGGGACTCTTGGCTGCTTTGTTGTCACTCATTTCTTACGAAATAAAAAAATTAAATATTATTTAAATATAATGGAGTAATAAAATAAATCGGAATTTCTATTAATTTATTGTCAACTTCAACTAATGCATTGCCGTTAATATATCTAACAAATTCAGCTATTGTGTCAAATCTTCGTCTTCTTTTTGTCATTGATTTATCAGTTTTTCCATAATCGAGATGAATCAAAACTTTATCCCCTTGTTTAAAATTCATGAGCCCCGAATTAATTTGTTCACGTTTAACATCATTTAACCTTTCCATTTGCTTTCTAATATATTCCCATTCTTTTGAAATATCATTTTTCATTTCCACTGGTTTCATGTTTATAGTTCTATGCCATGTATTATTGTAATAATATACTAACTGCTGTATGATGGAGTCATGATTTCCATCCCAGTATATCTGACCGTTAACCCCTAACGCATCTCTAAGAGTTCTCATTACCGCATCAACTATTTTATTATGAAACGTATATGGAGAAGATGAGAAGTAAAAATTAATTTGTGGGAAATAATGAGCATAGCTGCCTGAAATCCTTTATCACCATCACCCCTGATATTATCTACTCTTTCATGATCTAGTAAGTATTGAATAGCTCTTCTTGTTTCCTGTTCTGTCTTCCCTTTCACTGGAATGCAATATAAATATCTAGTGTTAATGTTAATGGCAAATAAATAAGTAACGTTTCCTTTTGAATATTCCAGATGATCGATTTCGTATGAATATGGATATGGTGCAAATGAAGGGCGACTAAATTTTTCCTTTAACGGTTGAATTTTCGGGTCAATTGGTTTATTTAATATCTTGAAATCCTTTTTAAAATCTTTTTGTTTCTTTGGTGATTGAAATGGATATAATAAAGTGAATGATGAAGGATTAACTGAAGGAGGAGGTACTACCGTTGGAGGTTTTGGTGTTGTAAGTGGTTTAATTTTATCCGCTTTGATTTTGGATGATGAAGTTTTGGATTTCATTCCTCCCTTCATTAATTCTGGATGTATTCTATTCATTTGTTTTAAATATGCTGTATATAAAGGTTTGATATACTTTCCCGCTTCGAGTTTATGTTGAAGGATGAATTCCAAAAGTTGATCTTCATTTAAAAGTCGGGCTGAATATGGTTTAACTAATGAATCATAAATTAAAGCTTGTGCATCATTTATGGTCTGAAGGACCTGGGCGTTTTGCACCTTTAGCTGTTGAACATTTGCTACTTTAGAGCTCGGCTTTTTCTTCTTTTGTTTTTGTTCCTTTGGCTTTTGCGGCTCAGGATTATATAATTTATATAATTCATCAATATCTTCTTCTGTTAATACTTTATTTTTGAAATCTTTCAACTGTTTAAGTTGTGATTTAGTTTTTCCCTTTGTATATTCATTATTTTTAATTTTGTCTTTAATTTCAGAAATTATTTTATCATGATATTTCAAAATTTCATTTTTATAATACGGATAATAATAATCCATATCATCACCCGTTATATTGTTATTATGTTTTTGGAGATATGATTTTAATTCATAATAATTAAGAAAATTTTGATTAAGTACTAAATTATCAATTAAATTTTCTAAATCTGCGTTATCCATTTATATAAAAATAAAATAAATGTTTTAAGGGTGCCCACCTCTTTGAATCATAGTATCAAAACCATTATTTACATATTGAATCGCATTATTAACGGTTCCTCCTTCTAAAACGGTATCAAATGGTGGAGTCCAGATTTCCTGATGATGATCATAAAATCCAGCAAAATTAACCGTATTATTAGGTAAAATATGAATCTCGGCGGTATATCTTCTATCTAAATTTGGATGCCTTATATGTATACCATTACTACCCGGATAAAATCTCAAACCTTGATTTTGTTGACGCATCAAATTATTGAAATTTCTTTCTTCAGGGGTGAATGTTCTTCTCCGTTGATGCTGTGGTGGTGGTCGTTGTTGCGGCTGTTGATGCTGTGGTGGGATTTGAAAAATTCGTTGTGGTTGATTATTTGGAATCTGAAAGTTAAAACCATTTGGTATAAATCGATTTGGTTCCTTTTGTCTCTTCTGTGGCATTTCATTAAAAATAAAATTTTAAATTGTATTAAATAAATGGCATACAACATCCATTTTCACAACATACAGCCTTAGTGTGTGCTCCTGTTAATGCAGTCTTACCGATTGTTAAGCGAGTCATTGACCCGTTTTTAAGTTGTAAATTCATATTCTGACCATCGAAAATAACTTTATCATTTATTATATCCAAATAATTTTTAGGCGTTAATTGTTTATTTTGCCTTAAACTAACACCTTTCATTTTTTGTGCAATCTTTTTAAAATCACTTCCATCAATTGAACCGTTGAATGATGTATAACACTTAGGACATAAAGCAACCATGTTATCACCTTGTTTCTCAATTGCTAAACCCAATAATTTTTTTCATGTGCTTTTTCTTCAGCTTTATTCTTTAATTTAGGTTTAAATTTCTCATCAAAACAGAAGAAATCAAATGGTGCGAATTTGAAAATGTTTTTATCATAAAATTTTTATCGGTAACAATTGCTTGAAATGCTTGAGTGTTAGGAAGACTTGGATCGCCAGCGATTGCCCAATAAGATGAATCAGTATCACCTTCAATGAAATGAAAACGATTAACATTCATGCATTTATACATAAAATCATAAATGAAAACCAAATACCAGTATTTAGCATTATCTAAAGTGAAGAATGCCTCTTGTAAACATGTATCACATCTATAAAATCTATCTTTAAGCATCACTTGATATGTATCTTCACCTATTTCTCTTATGTTTTTTAAACTTATTTGACATACATGCAACGCGTGCCTCTGTGCATTCATTATTTTAGTCTTTGCGTAATTTTGTGGATTCATTGCATCGTAACCATATGATCCATTAAGTGAAATTTTGCAAAATAAACTTTTTCCTTTATTTCCTTCTAATTCAGCCTTTTGTCTTTCATTCATAAATTTGTTCGCAAATTCATTAAAACAAGTGTTTTTCGTAAATGTTAAAATTGATTGAATGTCATCGATGATAAAATGAAATCTGTCTATTAGATACCATAGATAATAAGAAGAAAATGGTTGATATTGGTTGTGTGTTGATGCTAATTGAGTTAATTTTCTCTGTTTCTGGTCAACTGGTAGATTGTTTGATTTCATGTAATTATACATAAAACTGCCAATTGTTTTTTCATCTGTGATAATATCTAAGTTTCTTATTATCGGTAAAAAGTTTATGTAATCATTAATGTATTTTTCATCAATGTGACCCTTTACTTCAGCCACGAATAAAGTATTTTTCTTCTTAATTATTCCCAGTGCTTTTGCTTTCTTTGTTGCTGTATCACAAATGATAACACCATTCAATCTTCCCGGCATATACATTTTATGGTCAGTATATTGAATGAAATCATGAGGATTAGATGAAAATGATGAAGGATATAATGAATTAAAATCAACACCAACGAAATGAGTCATAATGTTGGTGGTGTCCTCATTTGATACAGTTTTAGTTTCTGGATTATATGAAAGTTTATTAATGCGTGTGATTCCTTTAAGATTAACACGATGTTGAACATTTGATAAACCACCAGTAATTCCATTACGGAGAATGTGATAAGCTTCAACCGAATCTAAAGTCATTGGTAAATTATTTTTTAATGCATAATTTCTTAAATTGATTCTTAAACGTTGAACATCTTCATCTTTATTTGATTTTACGACATTGCAATAACAACACATTAACTGACAATTTTCTTTGGTATGTGGTTTTTCATTATCGATTCTATCTAATGTTGGTTTATTTGCATATGTAAACGCTTTACCACACATTTTGCATTTAGATGAAAGGATTAAATCGTGATAGTATTGAAAATCATCCATTGAAACATTATTTTTAGTATCCCTTTCTGCTTTTTCATCTTGTTTCTTATATGATTCAATTTTATATTTCCAATACTTTTTCGTTAATTCAAAACTTGATTCTATCTCTTCCTCAGGATATTTTTCATTAGGATTAAAGTCTTTATATGCTAAAGCGTAACGAATCATTGAAGCATTCGATGATAAAGAAAGATTATGAAGCATGTCAATTTTATAAACAAATGTTTCTTCAATAATTTTATCGATTGGGTCAATCATAATTTCAACATCTTTATTGCAATAATGAATAAAATATTCTAATCTATTCTTAAAGTTTTTAGCATCATTGAGATATATTTGATAATCACTATCTGATATAGTTTCTTGAGTTAATGTTGAATAAAATGAATCTTGAGTGAATGGTTCCACTTTATATAATTCTTCTTCGTAATTCTCCCATGTGATGAATTGATAAGGGAAAAAGGATTTAACACGTGATTTATTGTTTCCGAAATCTTGAGTGAATTGGTCTAATGTCCCACCCGCTATATAATTTCTGATGTCAATAAATCTCAATTCATATGGAACGTTTGTTTTCTTTACAATGATTTGCTTAAATTGTGAAGATGAACCCAGCATTGATTTTATTTTCCATTTTGCAGTGTTTAAATCACGAAGAATTAAATTTAAATCAAACTTTCCCGAATTAAAACCTATGATATTCACTTTATTGAATTCCTCATCTAGAAGTTCTTTAAATGCTTCCTTCTGTTTTTCATTTAATGTATGGGACAAAGTCCCCGCCGTTTGCGGCTTCATTAATTCTTCATATTGTTCAATATTTGATTCAACAACTAATGAACAGGTTGAAAATAAAAAATTCAATCCAGTCAGAAATAAAAGAATCACTCGAAGTTAAGCAAAAATTCCTCGTATATGTTTTATCGTTTAATTTAACCGTTGATGATACCATGAATGGTTTTAAGTAAGCGTTCAAAGTTGCACACTCAGAAAGTTGTAATTCTTCTTTAGTCTCTAATGTTTCAAAGTCAAAAGTAATATAATATCTTGTCGGTTTATAATATTCCTGCAAATTGTGAGCTAATAACCACTGATATATCTTCTGTTTCGTAATATGTGGTGCATATGGTTGCTGTGTCTTTTGCAATTGAACGTCTTGAATTAATCTCCCATTATTTCTTTACATTTCTCACAATGCTTTAAAAATCTTCTTTGGTTTTTCCTTTCTGGATCATCACGGATAGAATAAACTTCTTCTTTACAATATGGACAAACTTTATAGCCGGTGAGTGCTTCAACGTCTGTTATTCTGTCAGCGTGAAGTTTTCCACATGGACTCTGTGTTAATAAAATATTTACTGTTTCAAATTCTGGATCTATCATTATTGATTCCACTAATGGAAAGTCTACCTTATTTATGTCCACGTCTTCTGGTTGAGGATCACAATAATAGAAATCAATATTAACATTTAACATTCTCGCTAATCTCTCACTTTCTGATGAAATGTCAAACCCTTCATATGCATCTATTGCTTCATTTAAATAGCTTCTACGAGTTTTAGGATTAACACCATCAGGAATGTTATAGAAGTGTTTAAATAACCTTCTACCTTCTGCTCTAATTTGATTATCATTCATTTTAGCTGTTCCGTTTTTGTTCATTTATGTAAGAATAAAAAATTAAAAAATAAATAAAAATAAAGTTTATTTTTTAAAGCCCATAAAATGAATTAAGAACACATAAATTTTTATCATCTGCGACGTGACGAATACATTTTAATTTACTCAAGAATGCGTACCCTGATACATTAAATCTAATTCCTGTCTTATTTAATTTCACAACTTTGAAAAGGAATGTATGAATAGCTATAAAATGATGAGAAGATGTTTTATGGGTTGCTTCCATTTTTTCTGAAATAAATGAATAAATATAATGTTTATAAGTTTTCATATCTTTTATGTTCTTAATAACGAATGGTATAGACCTTTCCACTTCGTCTTCCTTCGGTGCTGTTCTTTCATATGAAACATTATTGGTATCTTCAATAATGAAACCACAATCACACAAAATTTTATAGGTTCCAATGGTTTCTTTTGATATTTTATCTAATAAATCAAAAACTTTATCAACACCTGTGCATTTATTTAAATAATAATTTGTGTAAATATCATGATCTTCTTTCTTAATCGTATTAGTTGCATATGTCACGTTTTTAAGAGCTTTTTTGAATTTTTCGGAATCTAAAGGTGGTGAAAGTAGGATACAGGGGTATTCTTCATTATCAATAAATTGTAACTTATGTTTACGAATAAATTTAGTACCTTCTTCTGAAAGTGTTTCGTCTATTTCACCATCTAATAAATTTTGTGTTGATTCTGAGACATAATTTTTATATCTTTCTTCATGAGATTTCTGTACTTCTGATTCTGAAGCTGGGATATTCATTAAGGATGGGCACTCATAGGCTCCTGACAGCATAAAAATGTTATTATCTCACAATATAAAAGGAATCATAGGAATCTACAACTATATCTATATTGTTGGAAGACTTCTTAATGTATCATCCATATAAGTTATATCAATAACTCCATTATGTTATATGATTGTAATCATATTTTCGTTTCATGTTCAAAAACATTAAAATCATACTAACTATATGAGTATTATATTTAGGAAGCTGATATATAGATATGATAAAATGCTAGGTTTTGTGATTAAGAATATATACTTATCTTTTAGAAAATAATACTTTTATAAAAAATTATATCTTATATAATCTAAAAATTTTGGACAATTAAAAAACATTAATTAAAAATAGAAGGTGAAAGTGTTTATTCAAAGAAGGTGCAAGATTATGATGTTTTGAGGGTGAAATAAATTTAATAATTATTTATGTGATTTAAGAGTAATACGATCATCGGTAGCTTGAAGACCTCTCTTTATAGCTCTTAATGCCGCAAACTTTTTTTGAACTTGCTTTGAATTTTTGAATGCTTTGATTAAATCTTTTGTTGTATCATACATTCTGAAATATCTGTTCATCATTTCTGGCATTGTTGGTAAATTTAACCTGTATCTTATTGCTACAATCGTTTCAAACATACTTTCATTGAAATGCAATATTGTGACTGCCATCCTAATTGGCCAAGAAGCATGCCAATTAATATTTTTATTAGCAAGCATTGCTTTGATATGGTTTATCGATTCAACTACTTGAGTTGAATGAATCTTTTTTACCATATCAAAGATTTTTACGGTATCTTCGAGGAATTTTTTAAGTGTTTTTATAGCAGTTTTATTTTTTGCATATTTCCATGGTTTAATCATCTTGCATTTTTCAGGATCTGGACAAAATTTATGATTTCCGGCATAATGTTTAGCGGAATTCAACCATAAAAACTTCTTTGTTTTAATTGACATATGTGTGTCATTGAGAAGTTGCCTAAGCCAACGCAATAAATTCTTTGAAATGCTAGATAAGATTCTGAATTCTGGCAGTTTGAGCTTTTTCTGTATATTGTTAAGAAAATGTCCAGGATCTCTGTATTCTCTGATACCTTTGAACGTATTTTTGATTGTAGAAACAATTTTGACATCGCCATCATGCACAAAAAAATTTACACGTTTTTCATTATTCCAACGCTTCAGCATTCTTTTTAAGCCTTCAAATTCCATTTCATTTGATTTTCCGTTGAAATTACCTTTGAAATTTTTAAAAGATTTAGATATCACTTCCCAATCTACAATTTTTTTGAGTTTCTCTTCTACAAATTGTACATAGCAAAACATTGCATTTCTTCTCTGACTCCAAGAACCGTCAAACAAAAGTCCCGAACATTTTCTCATTCGAGATTTCCAATAATTAACAGATTCTCTGGCAACTTCTATGATAACACGACCAACCTTTTCTTGGACTCGATGAAATGTAGCTTCTGACGGAACTTTGATGTTATTCAGCATGAATTGAAATTCTGATTGGCAAAATGTAGCGCCGCTCAATAATACAGATAGCACAAATTCAACAGTGTTGACGACATATGGCTCTACCCTATTTTTCGCGCTTTGAACTAAGTTCTTTATACGCTTTGCAACTGCTTTTGTTCGCCGCGGCATGAAAAATGAAGAATAACTTGACGGTTTCTTGAACAAATGGTCGCACATTCAAATATTGTGATGTACGATCAGGATAAAAGAATGATGTTGCCGTGAATTTAGAAAATAGCAAAATTTCAATTTACGCAATCGAGATATAACTTGATCGTTTGAGCGATAACCATGGCACCCATAGTATTAATGAAAGTACTCATACTTACAATTATTTTCTCCCATAGGAATATTGTTCAATATACTTCACCTATAGAGGAAATCTCGAAATAAAATCGAATTTTTTCAAAAATTACAAAAATCAATTTTTTACAAAGATGTTCGAAAAATAACATTATATACGCATCAAATCAAAGCATTATATGGAGCATTATAATTCTATATATGATTGTCCATCTTGCTGTTGTGCTATTTTTTTTAAACAATAATTTCATTGTTGAAATTAAATTTGCAATTTCAGTAAAAATTGCTACCCATCATTTTGAATATAATTGAATTAATACATTTATTGTAAGAATATTATATACCAAATATTAGACTTCCACATGAATCCTGGTATGATATTATAAGTATTGCAAAATTAGAAAAAAATATGCTCATGATATACTAAAATTCATGTTTCAAGGTTAACTTATAAATAAAATAAGTTCGAGAAATGCATCACTAAATATTTGAGCTTGTGCACTATAATGCTTTATAATAGTCTTCACTGTTTTTAATATATTGACTTTGCTAGACTTGATTTTTTTCATCACCCTAATGAGTGCCCATCCTTAAACCCTCAACTTCATTTTCATTATATTTTTCAACTTCTCTTAATTCCTTAATTTTTTCATCTATTTCATCTCTTATTTTTTTCAGTCTTTCAATTTCATTGTATTCATCATCTTTAATCCGTTCTTCATAATATTCAGGGAAAACATCAGGTTCTTTAGGTTTTTCTTCTTCAGATGTGGGATATAAGAAATTTATAACATCATCTTTATTCATTTTTCCATCATAATCTAAATCATTTAATAACTCGGCAAATTTTTGACAATTTCTTAAATAATATTTATTAACTTCATAACCTACCTCCTCTAATATATCCTTTATTTCCTCGTTTGTGAATCCTAATTTTTTAACGTTGTTAGTTTTGACGCTCATTTCATACAAAATAAAAAAATAAAATAATAAACATAACTAAGTTTTAATTTTTCGTAAGAAGTTTATTTTATTTTTATATATAAATCATTCTTAAGGTCAAACAGACTTCTTATTTTTATATGAATTCCATCCTCTTTAATGTCATCAATGATTTCCATTTCATTATTTTCAATTTCTTCTTCTCGTTTATGAGGTCTTTGATTATGACTCCATTGATTCCATGAAATTAAATATCTTTGCATCAATTGTTTTGTGAAATTTTAATAAAAAAGGATTTGTTTTTTTAATAAATAAGAATTATTTAACTATAAATAAAATCAGTTACTGCAAAGAATTTCTCAATATCACCATTATTAGTTTAATAATATTGAATAAAAACATGATACAATAGGAAATAATAGCGCGTTATATGTCTTATATATAATCTGTTAGAATGCTAAATTATTCATTCATGAAATTGAATATTTCGCTCAAAGATGAAGATATTAAACTATATAACATAATTCTATAGGAAATAATAGCAAACCATATATTGTTTTCACTTTTTTGATAGATAGTTGAAGTGTGTATGCATGAAATTGAATATTCTTCTTAAAGTTGAAGAATAATATCTGTTATATGTACTTTAATATGTGAATATCTATTAAGTTCCAGATGCTGGGAATAATTTTGTGTATATTGTTCACTATACCTCAAAATGAACAATAAAATTCAATAATCAATTAGCTTCTAAAAAAAAGATAAGATAAAACCAGCATATGACATGTAGCTGGATATAAAACGCTCTCTCTAACTCCCTACTTTTTTTTATGGCTCCACCCCCTAAATATTTCTCAAAAAAAAATGAAGCGCTTGCCTCCAGAACAAATTGAAGAACAGTTTGTCAATGCTGTTTATGACAAGATTGCTCCTCATTTTGACTATACAAGATATAAACCATGGCCAGGAGTCAAAAAATTTGTAGAAGGATTACCTGATTATTCAACATTAATTGACGTTGGATGCGGTAATGGTAGAAATATTGGTATCAATCCAAAAGTATATGATGTTGGTACTGACTTCTCATTGTCTTTAATTAAAATTGCAAAATCCAAGAATAAAAGCGTATTCTGCGCAGATGCCCTAAAACTTCCAGTAAAATCCGATTACTTTGACAATGCTATATGCATTGCTGTAATTCATCATTTCGCTTCTGAAGAAAGAAGAATCCAATGCATGAAAGAAATTTGCAGAATAATTAAAGTTGGTGGTACTGCCTTTGTTACAGCATGGGCAACAAAACAAAAGAATAAAATTATTGATGAACCAGATCAAATGGTAAAATGGCATGTCCGCAAAGAATATGACGCCGAACAGAAGGAATACGATAGATTTTATCACTTCTTCCAGGAGGATGAATTTCAGCGTATTGTCGACAAGATTCCAAATCTTAAATTAATTTCTCAAAGCTGGGAAGCAGATAACTGGGAAGTTGTTGTCAAAAAAGTCTCAGAATAATTACATCTTTGATAGATTTTTTAAAAAATAGAGTAAATTGTATGAAATTTTATTTTCCATCGAATTTATTGAGTAAGAAAGTATTTTGGGTTCATTGTACCACTTTAATAATGATATTAATTTAATATTCTGCTTTAATTACGAGAAAAATCTAATTTTCCATTTCAAAAGCTTTAATAATCTTTATATAAATAGTTCATAATCTGTTTAGTAGCAATAAAACAGCTTATTTTATCTTTCCCATGATTTTTAAACAAAAATAAAAACGAAATTTTAATTGGCCGAGGGGCGTTCTGCAATACCGTTTTGGAAGCAATTATTCTACAATATAAGCATTACGCATTTATAATTAGTAATAAAAAATTTTCATTAGCAATTTTAATAACTCTGATAAACTTTATTCAAACAAGGATTTGGCTCTGCTCAAAAGAAATTGGTGATGAAGGCTCCATTTCTGCATTATTTACATCGTTAACGATTGGTTCTTTAAATGGATTTGGGAATTTTTGGAATGTAACCATATTGAAAAATGGTAATATAACCCGAGGAATGAACTCTTTTTCTTCCCGTATAAGTTTTGGAGTTGTTATGACTTTATTCTGTTGTTCAAATGGTAACGTATGATGAGGAGAAATATTTCTACCTTCCTTTATAATTCTGCCTTTCTCGTCCAGCTCATAGTACTTCTCAGTTCCTTCACTAGAGTATGTAATCCATTTTGCTTTTGTATGTGATGTTGGACGACCTCGGCGCATATTAAAATGAAATTCAGCCCTTTGTAAAAACAAATAGAAAAAATTGAAATTAAAATTTTTTAGATGACCCTACAAAATTTATGTTATATATTGATTGAAGATATAATGCAGATCTTAAATTAATTAAAACCTTGTATTAAAACAAATCTGTTGTTTAAATTGAAATAAATTTGCAAACTGATATATTTGATTGACAGTGGTAATTAAGTGCAGATGTAGAAACTATCAAAAAAATTTGAATGGATTCGGGTTCTTAAAAAATTAATGGTAATATATGCAATAGATCGATAATGGAATATAATATTTTGATAATGCAAAAATTTAAAAAGGCTAATAGTTTTATTCATTATGATTTGAATTTATTGAAATTAAAAACTTTATCTCAATTTGAAAGCAAAATCGTTTATTATTTTTACACTAAAAAAACTCATCTAAGGTATGATATGGTTATTATTTTTATCATATAAAAAAATTGAATAAATCCTCCAACATAACAGTCGATTATATTATATTTAATAGAATATGCAAATTAAGCAGTATCATAAAAGGCCATAAACTTTCAATAATTGAATTTTGAGGGTAATTCAATTTTCAGAATAATAAGATTTGCGCTATAGATAGTATATTGATAGTTATATTATTTTAATAAACACTTGAATTTTGATTGTTATTGCAATTTCTTTCTCAAACCACTTTTCAATTTTGGTTTCAATTTTTTGAGAAACCTTTTTATTGATATTTGTCGTTAAATGATTTCATTTTACATCATGAATTATTTTAAAAATCCAGTGTAAAATTGCTGATTGATTTTCATCAAAAGTGACAGTCTGATTTGGTTGTTATTATCCATGGAAAAATTATTAGATAGTGAATTAAATTTTTCTCATATTCACCTCGATTTTTGCTCTTCAAAATTAAAACGGTTAATTATCCAAAATTCTACTATACTATCCTATTATATTTATAATCTTGTTTAAATTTTCTTTCTTTTAAAAAATCCATTCATTTTTTTTCTTTGAATTTGGTTCATTCGGTCTCCTTTTCCATGCTTATACATTTAATAGTCTAGATATACCAGATACATTTTTTCTTATTCCCGATCACAATTACTGTGTAAGTCTTCATCGAATAATATATAAAATTGAAATTCATGTATTCTAATATGTTTGATCATCTTTATGGTGCATCTGGCTTCATTCTTATTGTATCCTTTTGAAAATTAATCCAAAAACAAATTCATCATGAACAACAAATCGGAAATTTGGATGTCAGTGAGATTATTCGTTTATAAAAAATCTTACATTTGCTTTCATTGTTCCTTTTTGGACAAAATCCTATAATTTTGAAATTTTATTCCAAATCCTTGATAATATATAGTATTTGTACCTTAGATTTTTAAATTATCTTAGTATGTTCTATGCCGTGTAAATCATTCTGAGATACTGACCGGAATATAAAGAATCAAAGACAATTGATTCACAACCGGAGGGCATTATGCGCAAATTTTTGTTTCAGTGAATAATCTCAATCAATTAGTTAATAATTCGAATTCCAATCAAGAATAAAATAAATTTTTCATGTCCGAGCCTGAGCCTAAAACAGAACAAACAGTTACTCTTCTTCCTCAGTACGAAGATATCAATGCTGAAAATGATGTCATGTTTACTCTTAATGATACTAAAGGATTATCCCTTAAACTAGGAGGAAAAGGCAAATTTGATGTTAATTACTCAATTGGTGGAGCTTTAAGACCAACCAAAGTAGCAATTGTTCCGCAAGTGAATGGAGAATTTTCAATTTTATCTCTTCCAATTCGTTCTTTATATCTTAGTTTACTAAAAAGCTTTCCAAAATGCAGTATTACTTCAACATTATCAAGCGATATGGTTGACTTATCTGCTATTGTAAATCCAACTCCATTTGCAATTGGAAAAGCTGGATTTTTAACTAATTTTCAAATGTGGAATGCTTATGCATTTGCAATTTTCCGTCAACCATGGTCAAATTATTGTGTAAGCTTTTCTACATCAGAATTGAAGAAGCCTGAACTTCAATCTGCATCAGCAGTCATTGGTCACCCGAATATAAACTTTGGAATTCAATATACTCCACAAGATCCTGCTGCAAAGCTTTCATTAATGTGTTATGCAAACATAAAATCTTACAAATTCCATATGGCATCAAATATTATGAATTATAAAGCAAGACTTGTCAAAACCATCAATCCACAGCTCTCAGTTGGTCTTCAAGTGAGAGTTAATCGTATGCCAGCATTTGTTGCTGCAGATTTATCATGGATTTACACAAACAAAGATACTCAAGTCCATTCAATCATTTCTACAAACGGTGATGTGTTCTCAGAGCTTTCAAGAAAGCTGAATGAAAAAGTGGCTTTAAACGTTAATTGTTGCCTCAATCACTTAGAAGCAGATTATAGTTTCGGAATTGATCTTTCTATCAACCAATAAAATATATTAAAGCAATCATGTTTAATATCAAATACATTCAATCTTATTTTTTATATATTTTTCATAATTTTTTAATTTTATTGATTAATAAAGCTATATTGTTATCGATTTGATTCTCTTTCGAACCAGGCATAATATTTCATAGAATTAAATAAAGGCAAAATGAAGAAATTAAGTTAATTCATTGTTATTCAATATTGGAAGCGCTATTATTACTTACTAACCCAGTATACCATTTCTATATAGTCCCTTTTAATATTTATTGAAGTTCAGATTTGATTCCATTTCGAAAGTTGATAATTTTCACAAACATTAATAGACTTTTTAAAATGGGAAACATAGCTATTAACAATACTGCAAAAATTGATCTCAGAGGAATCAATTGCGGTTAGCAATTGAGAATAACTACTAAAAAGTGCCAAGGCCATAATGTTTCTCTTTATTCAGCAAATCGCTTGTGCGGAAAAATACCGTGAAGCCTCTTGCTATATTGATAACAATGGTAATCCATCAATACAGTTCGATAAAATAGATAAGAATGCTGTTGCTTGGGCCAATTTCAACGATTCAATTCATGAAGCTGGCTGGTACAAGCTTCACCTTCACGGCCGTGAAGGAGCTCCAGATGCAGATATAATGAAATGCGCTGGCTATATTGAAGGCGCTCTTTCCTATAATAGTATTTTCAATCATTATGCACTTATTCGTGAAATCAAAGGATACCCATCTGGTGTCAGAACCTATCCACCACAAGTTAAAGAATACATGAGCAACAATCTTCAATATGTTAGAGAATCTGTTGATGCTTATCCAGAGTCCGTTTACTGGCAGGAAATTGGTTTAATCATGAACCAATTCGACGGCCTTGTTGCTGGTTACAAGTATGCATGCGATCTTGATCACAATGAGACAGCCCAGATGGATGAATTCGATCATTGGTTCTTCCAGTCCGCTGGCGACATGTTTGATATTGCCCACCTCTTCCCAGATGATGTTGCTCCAGCCAGAGAGTTCATCAACGAGCACTGCAGTGGTCTTATCCGTTTGACAGATGATTACAGAGATGTTTACTTCTCACATGATGCCTGGTCCGACTATCGTGAACTTCATGGCCAGCTCAAGGAGTACGACCTTCCGATCAAGGCATTCAAGGCCCACAAACTTGTTATGTCCACACGTATCGGCAAACTTGCCTCCTACGATGATTTCTACATGGCAGACACCGGCCTCTTTGTTCTCGAGACCACCCTCAACAACTACAACGACGATCTCTACAAGGTTTGCACACCAAAGTCCCTCTTCACCTGGATCCGTGCTGTCCATGCCACATGGACATCCACAAGTGGCAAGGAGTGGACAGAGACATTTATCAAGCACAACTCCGGTACATATAACAACCAGTACGTCGTTGTTGATTCCAAGAAATTAACCCGCTTCCAGAAGCCCGACAAGGATCTTATCTGGATCATCGAGCAGTTCCCAGGTGTCTACCGCAGTTCCGATGTTACAGATTACCTTGTTGAGCACGGATACTTCCCATCTGTCAACTGCCCATACCACGAAGACCTTTACAACCTCGCCGGCTATCCAGAGCTTGTAGCCTCTCTCGGCATCTACGGCGACTACAGATCTAACTACAAGTCCCCACGTTACCTCATTATGCAACGCGATGTCTGGAGGATCAAGACATTCGAAGATTTCAAGAAATTCATGCGTTACAACCAGTGGAAGCGCGATAACTACTCACAAGGCGATCCAGCCCAACAGATTGCTTCTAGATACGATCTTCGTCCAGCTGAAGGAACACCATACGGAGACAGGAACAATTTCGGCGATCTCGATACAAAGGTTCTCAGATTAACTGAGGCCGTAACAAATATGAGAATGCACGCCCTTGCTTCTCCACCATGCGATGCCGAATTTAACCCACCGTGGGAGTTCGGACAAAAGGACTTCAAAGTTAATTACTACGGTTTACCAACACGTTGGAACTTCACTTGGGTTGACTTCCAGGCTGAAGGATACGATATCTGCGCTGCTGGTAACAAGAACATGTCAAAGTGCTTGGAAATCAACGAAATGTGCGGATACTGCCAGTACTCAGAGGTCTGCACTGCTGGTGATAAGACAGGACCTTGGTTCGGAGTCAAATGCGAAGACGGTTGGAAACTTAATGAACCACTCCAGCCATGGGCTAAGGCTGTAATTATCCCAACATCATTAATAATATTCGCAGCTTCATTCGCAATTTTAGCAATTCACTTTATTAATAAGAAGAAGACCTTACTTCCGAAATAATTTATTTTTTGGAAGATGTCTTAGTCAATCTCTAAAGTATCTTAAAAATTTAAGTATAATTTATTATATCAAAAAATAATAAAACAATTTTTTCTACTAATTCCATAAATCTCTTATTGTTTTTACTAGATTTACTTAGTTTTGGATTGTTTTCATCGAAATTTCAATACGAATAAAAACAATTTTTTTATCAATATAGTGTGATAATCAAGAAAAGATATATATTATCATTTTTACATTAAATGTCTGAACTGTCGAATGTCGAAATCGTAAATTTATGAAATCTTAAAATAAAATTCGTGTTATGTTGACTATTTTCTAGAATATTTAAATTATTCATATGATGTACTTTTATTTTATATAATTAAAATCTTAATTAATGCAATATTAAAAGAAATTTTTTTCAAAATTTGAACATAATTGGAAAATGCATAGTGAGCCTGAAAGCTTATGTATATGTATGGCGATATTAGTGACTAATATTGATAATTGTAAAAACTAAACGTTCAATGAATTTTTATATTTCGATCAGCAATTTATATTTTAGGATATGTGCCTAACAAATGTCTAATTCTTCCATTCAAAATAAAAATAATTTTCTGAGGAACTAAAAAGTACCGTATTTTTTCTCAATGATTATTGGAGGTGCTAGAAGGAAAACATTGAATATAAATCTGCAGCCGGAAGAGGTTGCAGTACCTGCTCCAGAGACTAACGAACAGACTATTTTGGATTACATCGCAAATCGTGACTACAGTGGCGCTGCAACTTTCATTGACTTCCTTCACAAAGAGCTTAACCAGCCATATACAAAAGAAATGCAACTATGGCACGGATACAGTCTTTTCCACTCCGGTCAGTACGAAGATGCCATTGATATTTACGAAAATCTTTTGAAAAGCGATCCAGATGATACGACTGTCAATCTTTATATATCATCCTGTGAATTCTATCTTCAAGATTACGAAGTAGCTCGTGATTATGCTAATAAAGGCCCTTCATGCGATTATAAAACAAGATTATTGTTCCATATCGCTCAGCAGACTAATGATGACGATGCATTATACAAAACACACTCTCAGCTTTTGGGCACACTCGAAAATCAACTCTCTCTTGCAGCCATTCATTACATTCGTTCTCATTATCAAGAAGCCATTGATATTTACACAAAACTTCTCGCAGAACATCCAGACTACATTGCGTTAAACGTATATATAGCCATGTGCCAGTTCAAACTAGATCAACATCAGGAAGCAAACGATACAGTTGATCAATATCTACAAGTGAACTCGGATTCAGCTGTTGCTCTTAACCTCAAGAGCTGTGCCTACCTTAAATTATACGATCCCAGTACTGCAGAATCCCAATTACTTCAAATCCGCAAATTCAGTTCAGCAACATATGGATTTGTTGATTCCTTGATAAACCACAACCTCTGTATATTCCATGATGGTGACGATGGCTTCACATTTCTTCCCAAACTTGTTGGAATTATTCCACAAGCGCAGCAGAACCTCGCCATATTATATCTCAGGGAATCCAACTCTACAGAGGCCTATAATATATTACAAGATTTCCAACCCCTCGATCTCAGTGAAAATCTCTTAAAAGCAACTGTTGATTTTGCATATGGCCAATTAACAGGCGATGCGAACTTAATTACATCATCGAACGAGGTATTCAAAGAATACGGCAACCTTGATGAAATCAAGGATACAATCCAAGGACGTCAAGTTCTTTCAACAAATAAATTCATCGAACAAGAATGGGATGCAGCGCTTAAAGTACTGCAATCTATCGAAGAATACCTTAAAGAAAACGACGAATTTAACTACAATAAGGCTATGATCCTTGCACAACTCAGTAGATGGGCAGAAGCCGAAAGGTTCTTCCTTCTCGTTAAGAATCCAGCATATTTACGCGAATTATACTACACATCGTGGCTCTGTATGTGTTATATAATGAACAGAAAGCCGGAAAAGGCTTGGGAATTATATACTCAATGTACAGTGGCAGAAGATGCTAAAACATTACTACAAATCATTTCCTCGGAATGTTATACACAAGGAATGTTTTATTTCGCCATGAAAGCGTATTCAATTCTCGCCGGATACGAAATGAACGAAGAAATGAAACAAGGAATGATTGCAAGCGCTGTAGGAGTGTTTAGAAACATCTTGTCTAGAAAAGAAGAGCCAGATAAGATTAACGAAATTTACGACTGTTTGATGCAGGAGAAAGATGCTGAACAAGTCCTTCAAACAATTCAGAATTACGTGGAAACTTCTGGTGAATTTGATACAACTCAGCAGTAATGCGAGTTAAAAATTTTTTTTATCTTCATTTGTGTTAAGTAATAAAATGTGTATCGCTCTTTAATCCTTTTCTCTATAAATCTTTGGATTTTTTTTTATAATGTTCAATAATTCTAAATGTTGTTTATTTATTTGACCTTAAAGCTATCTGCATAGTATTAATTGGATAAGTATTGGTGCATGTAAACTTATGGAAGTTCAAATCTTAGTACAAAAGAAAAAAATATAGCATAATGCGTTATAATATCGTATTGTAGCCATTGTTTTATATATTTGTATTTGTTTTCGGATATACTAAAGCAAATGCCCATATTACCAAAGAATTCAACTTTGGAAATTATAAATATCAATATATTAGTATCAAAAATGATTTTTAGAGGTAAAAATTGCAATATTAGATAAAATAAAATCATTTTTATTTTCCAAAATTTCTTAAAAATCCTAAAATTGATGTGAAATTCAACAATATTTCATATTATTTTAAATTTTTTGAATTTTTTTTGGAAATTCGAAAATCATAATATTGACTTATTCCCATAATTATAAAGTAACTTTAGTGAGACATACTATTTACAATGCAAATTTTTGTATTTCAATGAATTTTATTGAATTTTGTGATCCAATTTCATTAAGATTGTAATTAATACCAAATTTTACACATTATAGCGATTCAATTTTATGATATAGTTGGCTTGTTCCATACAAATCTTAGTAATTATTATCATATTTGGTGAATTAGAGCAAATATTATTTCTTATCAAATTTCTTTCAAAATTTTATCAAACCTCATATAGGTTTTGTCATATTCATATCAGGTTGTTCATTAAAAAGTGTCAAAAACTTTTTATGAATAATAAGAATAATTATTTGAAGTGCTCACAAATGTAAATGAGACAGCTATTTATCAGATAAAGTGCAATATAAAGAAAGTAATCTCAGTCGATGTCAATTAACAAGTAGAATTTTATTGAGTTTATTTTAAGTAAATCAATAAAAAGAGCTGTGGTGTCTAAACTCGTAGCAATGTGTATTGTACCTATGTTCAATTTTAGTTAGAATTCAGCAAATCCGAATGGTTTGTATGTATTTCGTTAAAAGTAAGAAGTAAAGTTAAGCAATAGAAAGGCTTATGTAAACGACAACAAAGACACGTAAATTATGAAGTCATTAACGTATATAATCTTCAAAAAAAATCAAAAACAAGAAACTGATCTGAAAAGGAGAATTACTAATGGCCAAACAGCATATTTTGCTTCTATACAAGTCCAATTCCACTCTTTCTTGCTAATTAATCCAAATTCTTTTGATGTCGAAAAAAATTATGAAATTCGATCTAAAAAAGTGCCGAAAAGGTGACGTCATACCTGAATGGATACTTTAATTCCCGTTCTCAACAAGCTTCAGGATGTCTTCCAAAGGGTTGGTCATGACAGTATCGATCTTCCACAGATTGTCGTCGTTGGTTGCCAATCATGCGGTAAATCATCCGTTCTCGAATCCTTAGTTCAGAAGGATTTCCTTCCTCGTGGTTCCGGCATTGTCACAAGAAGGCCTCTTGTTCTCCAGCTTGTTCACAATGATGGAGATCAAAAACCAAAAGAATTCGCAGTTTTCAATCATAAACCAGATGAAATCTTTACCAATTTCGATAAAGTTCGCCAAGAAATTGAGGATGAAACAGATCGTCTCTGCGGTTCTAACAAAGGTGTTACAGATGCTCCAATCAATCTTCGCGTTACTTCGCCAAATGTATTAAACTTGACACTTGTCGATCTTCCAGGTCTTACGAAGGTTGCTGTAGAAGGACAAGCAGCCGACCTTCCACAACAAATCAGAAACATGGTTATGAGCTACATCACAAAAGAAAACGCGATTATTCTTGCCATTACCCCAGCAAATACAGATCTTGCCAACTCAGATTCACTTCTTATTGCTCGTGAAGTAGATCCAAAGGGTACACGTACAATTGGCGTTATTACAAAACTCGATATCATGGACAAAGGAACGAATGCCCGCGATGTCCTCCTCAACAAAGTATATCCTCTCAACCTCGGCTACATTGGTGTCGTTAACAGATCTCAAAAAGATATCGACGATGGCAAACCAATGGAAAAGGTTATCGAGAGCGAGCACCGCTTCTTCTTAACTACACCAGAGTATCGTGACCTTGCCGAAACATGCGGCTACAAGTACTTGGCTACTACATTGAATGGCATTCTGATGCGCCATATCAAATCAAAACTTCCATCGGTCCACAACGAAATCAATGAACTTCTCCGCCGTAAGGAACATGAACTGATCGGTTACGGTGATGTATTCGGCAACTCCAAGGAAGAAAAACAATTATTCCTTTACAAGATGCTCGAAGGTTACTTATCCATCTACCAAGGCCTTCTTCTCGGTACATCCGACGATCTTCGTACGAACGGTCTCGACGGTGGCCAGTATCTTATGGATTATCTCATTAATGATCTTCCGAAACGCCTCGACGAGATCCCATCGGCCAAGACCATGCCACGCGAGAAAGTTATCGCCATGATTGAAGCCAACTCCGGCCTCCAAAGAGCGTTATTCTTCCCAGAAGCCACTTTCTACCGTCTTATCAGAGATTACATCGAGATGATGCGCGCTCCATCAACAGAAGCCGCCGAAATCGTTCACCACAGAATGATGGAGCTTCATACAAAAGTTATTCTTCCAGAATTAGACCGTTTCCCAAGAGTTAAGGCTCTTCTCAGCCAGTCCATCGCTGATATAGCCAAGGAGACCCTCGAAGAATGCCTTGTTTATGTCAATCAGATTATTGATATCCAAAGTTGCTACATTAACTCCGAACACAAGTCATTTATGGAGAGAACACAAGCACAGTTACAGAGCGGATCTCTTGATAACAACGTTGACTTCCTTCTCGAACTTGTCGACAGATACGTTGATATTTGCAAGAGAGAGATCGCAGATGTCATTCCAAAGACTGTCCACAGAATCCTCATCAAGAAGTCTACAGAGGTCATGCGCCAGGAGCTCTTTAAGAGACTTGTCACTGACCCAGATTTGGCTGAAGACCCAGATGTTGCCGCAAGAAGAGCCAAGTGCGTCGCACTCATCAAGGCCCTCAAGGAGGCTTCATCAATCCTCAACGAGGTCCGTATGGCTCATGTCTAGAAAGAGTTGAAATAAATAATCTTACTTTTCTCATATATTTTTTTAATTCTCATTCTATTCAAATTTGTGGCTTTAATTCAAAATTGGACCAAGAATTCGTGACAAGAATACACAAATTATTCAATTTTCTAGGGGAGTTTTATGACATTGATTTTTAAACTATGAAAAAGCGTTTATTTGCTTTTACTATTAAGTATTTCATTCATTTTCATTCTAACATTAACTATTTTCTTATGCTGAGCTCTTTTTAAATTACACAAACTTAATTTTAAGGGCTTTAGAATTGATGAATAGTTTTTGCATGACATTAAAGTTTTACACATTACAATGAATAAGATTTTGCAAGCCCTTATAGCAATATAGCAATAAAGGGTATAATATTCTTTTCTTTATTTTTGTTCTTGTCTTAAGTCAAAGAAGGTACGAATCACAATTTTTTGGCATGCGATGACTCATAATTTTATACAGTTTGAATTCTTTGACAAATTTCAATTTGATAAAGCCTTTAAAACAGTTAAAAAAGAGATACGATTTAATATTTTTATTAATACCTTTGTTTATTAAAATAACTTATTTTAGAAAACGTTTTATGTCGCTTGTTGCAACCATAACTGGAGTGTATCCTTCATTATTCTTTACTTCTTTTTTAGCTCCAACAGAGACAAGATACTGAACAACTTCAGAATGACCAATCCATGATGATAAATGAAGCGGAGTATTTCCAAAATTATTCTTTGCTTCTTTATCAGCACCAACAGAGATAAGATATTTAACAACTTCAAGATGACCATGTTCTGATGCAACACAAAGTGGAGTATATCCTCTATTATTCTTTGCTTCTTTATCAGCTTTATTGGAGATAAGATATTTAACAACTTCAAGTTTACCATTTTGTGATGCCCAAATTAGAGGAGTATCTCCTCTTTTATTCTTTACTTCTTTATTAGCTCCAACAGAGATAAGATATTTAACAACTTCAAGATGACCTTCTTTTGATGCCCGAATGAGTGGAGTATATCCATAATCATCTTTTGCTTCTTTATCAGCTTTATTAGAGATAAGATATTTAACAACATCAAGTTTACCATTTTCTGATGCCCAAATTAGAGGAGTATATCCATCATTATTCTTTGCTTCTTTATTAGCTTTATTAGAGATAAGATATTTAACAACTTCAAGATGACCATTCTTTGATGCAAAAATAAGTGGAGTATATCCATTATTATTCTTTGCTTCTTTATCAGCTTTATTAGAGATAAGATATTTAACAACTTCAAGATGACCATTCTTTGATGCAAAAATAAGTGGAGTATATCCATTATTATTCTTTGCTTCTTTATCAGCTCCAATAGAGATAAGATATTTTACAACTTCAGGTTTATCATTTCCTGATGCAAAAATAAGTGGAGTATATCCATTTTTACTCCTCGATTCTTTATCACAACCAGATTCTATGAGAGATTTAACAAGTTTGAGATTTCGTTTTTCACATGCTACATGAAGGACATTCTTTTCATCATCATCATCTTTTTTAGGAGCTATCTTTTTCCAAAGTCCTTCTTCACATGCTTTTGAAATCATTTTTTGATTTCCTTGAGATGAAAGTTCAACAAAGAAATTGTAGATACTTTCGAAATCTTCTGATTTCTTAAGTTCTGAAATTTTATATAGAATTTCTTTCTGAGCGCTACTTAACCCATTATAATTGTGAAAACTTTCCATTTCATCGAGTTTCCTCTTTAATGTGTTGTTTTCTTCATTAATTTGATTGAGTTGAGATTGAAGAGATTTTATTTTGTTGTCACTTTTTTGCTTTTGATTTTGAATTTCATTAAGCTCTGTTTGAAGTTTTTGGATTTTATCTGTAGATTCAGACATTTCTTTCGATTTCTGATCTAAAAAAACAACAATACCATTAAGTATTCCGAATTTCATGTACTTTTTGATTGATTTCAGTGTTGAAATAACATCTTCCAAGCTTTGAATACAAATATTAGAATTTCGAGTACAAGTATATAATTTATTTGCTTTGATAGTATTATGTTAGATTTGAATTTTTCATGATCTTTTTGATGTCTTCTATTTCAAAAACATCAAAGAAATTACCTTCTTTAATATAGTCAATGATATGAGCAGCAATGTATTCATAATTCTGTATGATACCTTCACTCATCGAGACGTCGCAACTTTAGAGATTATAAATTACACGAAAAATTATTATTTGATTGGGTTTAAATTACAATGACATTAATATATTCTTTATTAAAAATCATAAAATCCATAATAACGGTAATATTATTGAAATTATGGATTTTTAAGATAATTTTAAAGATTAAAGTCTCAATGTTTTCACATTCATGTCTACTGCTCTGCCGTTTTGAAAGATTGGCATACATAACCTCGATTTTCAACTTTCTTGTTTTATGTACGACATTCTTGTATTATGGTTGAAGACTCATTATAATTTTACTTCAAGGTTTAAAATTCTTTGGTTTGATTTGATCTTGAGTTAAATTGTTATAATTTTCTTCTTCACGCCAATAAATCTCCAAAAGTGACAGTAACATAATAGAAAATGATGCAAAACCAGCCAATGATGATGAATCAAATGCAACAACAAATACCACCGCAAATGATGCCTCAAGTTATGTCACAAACAAATATGCCACCAAATGTTCCTCAGCCAGTTCCACAAAATCAAATGCCCACAGCAATGCAACAGCCAATGAATCCATCAATGAACCCAATGATGCAACAGCAGATGCCAATCAACCCAATGATGCAAGGTCACCCTCCTTACATGCCAAGTCAACCTCCTGTTCCTGAAGAGGAAGCTGAGTTGGAAAAAACACCGGCAATGGATGAAGCTTATTCAAAAATGACAGATGACCAAAAGAAACGCTTCGATTCTTTACGTTCTCAGGATAACCATTTACCTTATAAGAAATTGGGTGAAATTATGAAGAAATATGCTCCAGAAAATACAACTATTTCAGACGAGACGCTTAAACTCGTTCGTTGGGCTGGAAAACTTTTCATTGCAGAATTGGTCGAAACAGCTACAAATATTCAAGATGATGGTAAACCTCTAACACCAGAATCTATCATGCTGGCATTTAATAAGCTCCAAGATGATGGAAAATTACCCGGATATTCAGAAGGTGTTAAAAGAGGCTTCCTTAAATAATTCCGGCAAGTCGTTTGAATTATAATATGTATGTTCTGTTTAAACTAAAGATTTCTTAGAGTTTTATTGTATTTTTTTTAATTTTCAATTTTCTTTTAGATTTTTTTTAAAACTCTACTTAAATACCTTTCTATTTTCATTGAGGTATTTCTATACATTGCATTCTTCAATCTAATTAAAGAAATAATTGAACATTTATTTCTTGTTTTGTCTTCAAATTATCAATTTAATTATAAGTTGGACGCAGTTGAAGCTTATTTTATATTTTATCAGCATGTAATAGCAAATTTTATCTCATTATTTTATATAGAGAAAATAATTATATAATTAAGACAGTAGGATGTAATTATTATATCAGAAATACTCAAAGGCTATAAGTATTGTCTTAAAAAGGGGATAAAGTCAATTCAAAAAAGTTCATTTTTGAAAATTTGACGTTAGCATTGTAGTAAATCAAAACTAACAAAAATGTAGAGAGTGTAAAATACAGGTATTGTTTATTTCTCTGTTTCTTCTTGGCGGCGTGTAGCATCATGAAGAATGTTCAAATCTATTTCATCTTTTGGAAGCTCTATATAAAGAACAGATGTTCCGCGAATATAAGCTGTTGAAAGTGTTGAAACCATATTTAAATTTCCAGCGTCTTTAGTCTCTGTATTGATAAGCTTAATATTATAGAAGTGATCAATTGATTGGAGAGTACCTTCGATAACAATTCCATTTTTAACATGAACTGTGATTCTTTTACCCTGAAGGGTACGGAAAACATGCAAGAAAAGCATTTTTTTAATTTGAAAAACTCTGTTCGGCAATTGACTTTACAATAATCGTAATAAAATTAGAGCGAAAAAAAAATGGATTCATCTGCTTTAGCCCAAACAACAGATGATAACATTTCTGCACATATGCTTAAAGGTAATTATGAAATAGCTATCATATTATTGGACCAATTACGAAAAGAAACAAAAGTTTTGTCTCATAGTAACGAGATTAAATATATAAACTGCCTTTATCATATGCATAGATATCTAGAAGCACTTGAAAACATCAAAAGAATCAATGAGTCCGGTAAATTTATTAAAGAATTGCATTTTATGAAAGGAGTTTGTTTATATAAACTTAATAAGTACATGGATGCTGAAAAAATATTCCTGCAGCACACAGCATGGGCCAGATGGATAAATAAAACCAATTTTCAACTTGCAGTCGAAATGGATGCAGCACAATTTATCGAATTAGGGGAACCAATTCAACATAATTTACTTTCAAACACTAAAAACGAATGGTACCAATCAAATGATTATATTACTAATACTATTTTTGTTAAAGGATTAACAAAAAATCAAGTTTCAGTTACATTTTATCCATTTTCTGTTGATGTCATCATTAGAGCATCAAACAAAGAAACATTAACAAAATCTTTCGAGCTCTATGGCGAAATCATTCCAAAAGAATGCGAAACAAAAGTTACTCCGATTAAAATTGAATTAAAGATGAAAAAGAAAGTTCACGGCAATTGGCCAACTAGAGATGCAGATTTGGAAGTCGGGCTACACATGGATGATCAAGCTTTGTTTAATTCTCTGACAGAAATAGAAGATATACCTGATACTGATGCTCTGAAAGCATTTGAACAGAAACAGACGGAAACAACAGGAATTATTCCTGCTCCACCAAGTATTGTTTGATTTTTATTGTTTTTTTGTTTTAATATAGATTGTTTTATTAAAATTGTTTATTTACATAGGAATTATACATCTTTTTCAAAAATAATTTATCGAATTTGGTCTAAGGAATCTTTATTATTATACTTATTTTACGTGAATTAATACTCATTAGCCTTTGAGGATGCAATTTTCCCATATATATATTTTCATTTAATATCTTTGACCCGATTAAGAGTTATTCCTTATTTGTTACATCAATTCACCTTGGGATTACAAATAATTTTGGCTAATCGAATATTTTTTTTTAAATCGATATTAAATTGCAAAGAAGCATTCTCAATTATCTTTTTATCCAGCAAAAATAACATATACTCATTTTTTACACAATCTGATTCAATGAACAAATCCCATTTGATCAATATCTCAATGAAGCTAATATTTGCAAGCAAATTATAGCAAGATTAAAATCAAATTGATTTTTCTCAATACTGATCTAAACTATGTTAATGTTAATAAGATCTTGATCCAAATAGAGATAAAATACGGTAATATTGATACAAAACTCCTATTTTCTAGTTGAAAACAATAAAACATCGAGTTATGTCGGAAGAACCTTACCGGCAGATTATTTTATTCATAATTCCGCATTTTTCGATCTACATAATCGCGCAATTTGTATATCATCCAATTCATCTCAAACGAAGCTTCTTGCACAGCAGTGTACATTTACTAAATGTACTTATTCCTCTTATAATGGAGAATCAATTTATTTTGGCACAAAAGGTGCATGCGCTTTAACAAAGGTATGCGCTACAGAAGCTTTAACTACAGGGACAGCAAACGGAGGAGTTTTTTCGTATCAAGAAGTTTCTAAAGAAGATCCTCCGATAAATTTAATCGATTTAAGCACAATCTTTAATTGTGGTACATCAAGCTCCGGTAACAATATGATTGGTTTTGTAAATGGAAATATTACTCTCACTAATACAAACGAAAGTCAAAATACGATCTACATTGATCCTTTTTATCAAGTCAACAATGGAACAGCGATACAAATTAAGTTCTGTGAGTTCGAAAATTCAACAACAAATTACCATACAATGACTATTGATCATACTGCTGGAACTTTGAATAGTTGTAATCTTGTAAAATGTAAATTGACAGAAAATCAAGGAATAATTTATATTGTTTCTAGTTCATCAATAACACTTACAAATTGGACAATCTTAAATCACCAAAGCACTTCTTATTTTTGTATAGCGGAATCTTCTTCCTTAACGCTTATAAAATGTGCTATAGATTGTGACTTAAACGCGTATATTACTCAAGGAAGCGGTCCTAACAATTATAATACAAATCAAGTAGGAAAATCATCCTTCATCAATACAATGCCGTTATTAGATTATCAATCCTGCTTGAATCCTAATTTTTATAAAGTTCAAAATAAAGTTTGTATAAGTGGAAAATTCGGCAATTATAATTATATGTCCACTTCGTATGCATCTGTTTTGATAACAACATAAAAATTATTATATTTTTTGCTGCTATTTTTTTACTATTTATTTCTCAGCGGCCATATAAAGTAGAAAAAATGAACTCAGGTCCATCCTTTTAGAATAACAATTGTCGTGATATTAATTTCATATCAACACTAAATTAGCTTGGTATGACAAATCAATAGCTTGAAATCATAGGTGCCTTTGGAGCGTTATTGATCCTCTTACAATAAATTTGTCTTTTGGAAAGTTTTGCGCGGATTCAATGAAATCTGAGTACATGAAGCGGCAAACTATGATACATGTCCCATTGTTTCAAGCAATCCAACTATAGTATCTGAAAGCCATCAAAATATGCCTTTGGATCTGCAATTATCGCATTTTTCTTTCACATCACTTTTTCATTTGATATTTTTCAAATAAAACGACCTAAATTTATCTATTTAAACTTGCTTATGATTTGGTGTATAATGGTACCAATAACTACGAGTTCTATCCATATGTTATCAATTTAACAGCTGGCCGATGGAAAATCGCGTGCTGGGGAGCTAATGGTGCTACAGAAAAAGGTCGCAATGCACAGAAAGGGTATGGCGGATATACTAGTGGAGATTTATTTCTTGAAGATAATTTAACTGTTTACGTCCATGTTGGCGCAAAAGGTGTAAATGGTCAGAATCAACCAGCCTACGGTGGTGGTGGCCCGGCAGCAAATGGTGGTGGTGGTGCATCAGATGTCAGATTACTTCCTGGTCCTTACTTTAGTCTAAACGGGTTAAAAAGTCGTATCATGGTGGCTGGAGGAAGTGGTAGCCAGGCTCGCAATGACATTGCGGGATCGGGTGGTGGCCTAAAAGGACTTGATGCTGCTGGAAAAGGAGGAACGCAAATGTCTGGTGGCAAGGGTCGGGTTTCAGGAACTTTCGGCATGGGAGGTGGAAGTTTTGATGAAGCTTCTGGCGGTGGTGGCGGTTATTTTGGTGGTGGTTCCTTCTCATACGGATTTGGAAATTCTGGCGGTGGTGGAAGTTCGTATATAAGTGGATATAAAGGTTGTATTTCTGTAGCCGAAGATTATACAAATGATAATCCTAAGTTCTCGACAGAAGAGGGTCAATCAATCCATTATTCTGGAATCAAATTCCAAAACCCAGAAATGATAGATGGAAAGGGTATAATGCCATCTCCTAACGTTACTAATCCTATTGCCGAATATGGTCATGACGGAAATGGACACGTCATTATTTGGAAATATATCTGGTATGAAAAGTATTATATAGATAACCTCGAAGCTGTACCACTTATTATTCGCGTTAAATGCTCGATGCCATACTTATTTGGAGCAAAATTTGATAATGCATTTTATTATTCCGTCATTTCATTATCTATATAAACAATTAAAATTATTTTCATACATTTTTTAATAATTTATAATTTGAGAATTGATGTACTTTTGACAATCTGACACAAATTCAAAATTCTGACAACTCTAGAAATTTGACACTAAGGGTACCCTTACACCAATATGATTTTAAGTCAATATTCATTGATAACTGGTGTGCAAAGTATTAAAATTTTGCCTTAATTACTAAAATATTTAAACTAAATTTATCTTTTCTTTCATCCCTAATTGTAATAAATCTAGATTAGGGAAGAAAATGCATTGACATAAAAGTATAAAGTATGTGAATTTAACATAACAATCAATATTTAATAAACAAAATAAATAAAAAATAATTACATATCAAATATAATATTCTTTGGGACAATTTTTGGTTTGGTTACATGTGGAACTGCTCTTGCGTATGCCTGTAAGCCATGAGGTGCAGGAGCAGCTGGAATTTCAGGTAAATCATCATAACTTTTCATATGTTGTTCTCTCATTTGTTCCGATCTGATTCTTGCGAGTTTTGCTTCTCTTAGAAGCTGTACAGACCTTGGAGTCTTACTTACTAATGGTTTTGGCTGTGGAACGGTTACAGAAACAGATTCTTTATCATCACCAATTTCTTTAATCTCTTTCTTCGGTTTTGCAACTTTTTTAGGCAAATTTTTCTTTTCGCTTTCTTCGATTTTCTTCAATTTCTCTTGTATTGCAATTTTTCTTTTATTACTTGCAACTGTTTCATCTGTTCCTATTGGTGAAATGGAGCCTTCAACTTTAAGTACTTCTTCATATAATTTTTGTTGTTCTGCATCATCCAAACAAGGATATAACTGCATCCATCCAGTTGTTTTAGAAATTTCGTATTCTTTTTGTTCATCATACAAACTTTTATTTTCATCCTTTCCTTTTCCTGTAATTCTGTTCTGTGTTCTTATTCTCTCCTGCTCTATTACAATCTTCTTGAAATTAGGGTTCAAGTCCATTATCTTCATTGCTCCTGAAATGACGTTGTCTTTAAGAGTTTTGTCGAAAGGAGAGTCGCATTGCAAAGAAGGAGAATGATTAACTTCTAATAACCATGGTTTGTTCTTCTTGTCAATCAATATATCGTAGCCCATGATCTCGAAACATCTGCTTTTCCCATCATCAACTCTAAACGCTGTTTTAACGCTGTGTTTGATGTAAGAATAAACAGCTAAAATTGTCAAAACAATTAATTGATGCATGTCTTTGAGAAGTTTATCAGTATCAACTCCTTCACTTTTCATTTCGTGAAGCACGGAGCTAAAAGATCTCTTGAATCCATCATTAGAAGCATCATCATCTGTTGGTTGCTCGAATTTTGAGTTCTTCTTGTTAACGGAATAATTCGTTAAATGTCTGTAAATTTGGTCAAGATTTCCTTGGCGAGGTTTTTTATATGGTTCTGTACAGAATCTCGCCATTCCTTCATTAAAGGTATATATCCTTAATGGAGAGACAGATGACACTAGAACATATATTCTCAAGTCAAACTTGTATCCATCAATCAGATGTGAATTTATGTACTGTTGAGCAATAGATGTTTCAGTGATATCTAAAACATCATCTGGGTTTTGGATCAAATATATGCCTTTTCCTTGCGCTCCTAAATCAGGCTTGATAATGAATGTTCTGTCTTTGAGAGGAGCATTCATCATGTATTGTTGGAGGTCTAATGATTGAGCTGGAACTGCAAAAGAAAGTGGATGAAAAGTGTAAATTTTTGGAAAATATTTTTGAATGCGTTCAATGTTCCTTGCGAGTTCTACTTTGCGGGAAATAACATATGTACCTGGTATATGATTGATAAATTGCCATGGCTGTAAAGAAAGACACAAATCAACAGATACATTGTTATCATACCAAAATAATATTGTTTTGTCTTCGTTATCTGTTGTTTTCCAGCCCATCTTCTTTGTGTTGCGTGTAATTGATGGATAACATGTATTTTCGACATTAACGAAAACAGTTTTTTGTGGTTTCTTTTTCAGAGTCTTTTTGACATCAGATCTAGCAGTATCCTTATCAGAGTTGCTCTTCTTAACAGGTTTTTCTTCTTTATCTATGGATTTGATGCTCTTTTTGGAATCAATTTTCTTTAATTTTGATGGAGTTTCTCTTTTTGGTTTTGGAATAAAAGATTCTTCTTTTGCAGGCTCATTTTCTTGTTTGGTCTCTTGTTTCTTTGGTTCTTGTGGCTTATTTTGATTTGATTTTTTGCCTTTGATCTGTTGAATGAAATCATGGATAGCTGATACATCAACACCTTGAATACTTTCAATAGAGTCTTGTAATTCCTGCAAAACAGTTGAAATCACTGGCCTTTCTTGAGGATTTGGATTACAACACGATTGAATGATTTCACTAATCTGAGATGGAACGGAATCAGGTATTTCTAGTTCAGATTCTTCTTCAGTGTAAGATTCAACAATATCTTCGAATTCATCTTGACCAACGAATAATAACAGAATTAACATTCCAAAAGAGTAAATATCGCCTGGTAGAGTCTTCTTTGTAGTTCCTGTAAGCTCTGGAGCTTTCCATGTTGTCTCAAAATAACTTGGAACCAAATTTTTGACTTTTTCCTCATTAAAGAAGTTCTCAAACGATAAATTAGCAAGATACGGCCAATAATCTCCACCATAAACTACACTTTCTGCATTGATATTACCATGTGCAATATTTAGTCCATGAATATGATCCAAAGCAAAGGCAACACCTATTAATGATCGTATTTTAGTTGTTAAGTTCCAGTTTTCAAGTGCATTCTCATCATCTTCGATCTCAAGAATCTCTGAAAGCTTTAGTCCAGTATAACAATCGTAGACAATAGCTGGCTTATCGCAATTGTATGAATTTGATATTGTAAAACCTTCAAAAGGCAAAATGGTTGGATATTTTGATGAAGATAAATTTTGAACTTCTTTGAAAAACAATGACGAATTTGACTTTTGTGAAAGATCAGTGTTTATGGTTTGTACAAGATACTGCGATCTATCCGAATTTTTATTTTTCATTTTGCTAATATTTCCAAGCGGAGTTTCTAGAACCAAAATTTGTGGCGAAAATGCTTCCACTGGAAGGAGGTAATGAATTAGAACAGCTGGAGGGGCAATTGTCTTTTTGCTCTCAGCTGCTAAATCTTCATTCATTTCCAACGTTTTTTGAAACGTACACATTTTATTCAAACATTCTCTTATACATACACATAATATAATTTTAACAGTAATTTCCATTTTCGTTATAACTGTGAAATAAATTTTGATTGCAATATTGCTCAATCCGTCGAAACCATGAAAACATTAATTCACTGATTTTGCAGATTACAAAAATCTAAAAACATATCATATTAAGAGATAAATTTATCAAAATGAATTTGATTTTGCTATATTTTATCATGTATACGAGAAACATAATTGGATTTTTCTATGTTAAATATGTCCCACTTAAAATTATACTCAAAATGCGACCTTATTACAAACTTTTTTCTCAATTATAAAAGTTTCTTCACAAAATTGTGATGACATATAATTTATTGAATGCATTAAGAAACTTATCAGTAAAGAGTAAAACATTAACCAGAAGTCCCTGCTCAAAGCCAACTGAACTATACAAACTACATCTAGGAGTGCATAAACTTTCTGTAAGCAAAAAGAAGATAATGTTAGAAGGGGAAAAATTAGAATTAATTTTTTCGTAGAAAATCTATTTTTATTGCATTATATTTATTATTGATCAGTTTATAAAAATAAAATCCAAAAATAAAGAGAAACAAAAAATATAAAAATTATATCATATCAAAATCTTATTCAGCTGTGAGTATTCTTAACTCGTTTTCTTGTGGGATTCCTGAGAAAACAACTGTCTTTTCAACAGCTGTCAGCTCAGTTGCGTTCTGAGTTTCGAAATTAACAGCAAAAACAGCTCCACCTTTAGCAACTACAACAGCGTTTGTACCGCTTGCAAGGAAGTGGATACCAGCAATAAATTTGAGGGGTAGAACAACTAAAGCCTTGTTTTCTCCAGTTCCGATATCGCATAAATGGAGAGAACCATCGAAATAAGCGAGATTCTTTCCATCAGGTGATATAGCAACAGCGGATGGTGGCTGTGAGGCAATAAACAATCTTTTTGTCTCCGCTGTTCTTACATCCCATAATCTGATGGTAGAATCGAGAGACGCTGATGCAACATAGCTGCAGTTTGGATGGAAACAGATTGCAATGATAGATTTCGTATGGCCAACGAAAGCTCTGAATACTGAGCAATTATCTGAACGGAAAAGACGAACAGTACCATCCTGGTAACCCAAAGCAAACACTCCTCCAATCGGTGCAAAGCAGGAGGACCAAATTGGACACATAACGTCTGAAAGTAATCTTGATCCATTTTTAGACCAAACTCTGCAAACTCCGCTTACATCAGCAGTAACACATAAGCTTCCTGTTGATGAAGCGCATATTGTAGTAATAGGAGCTGCATGTCTGTAGAGTATTTTTGAAATATGCTTTTCAGTTTCTAGGCAAACGACATTATTTCCATCAAGAACAGCATAAATATATGGAGCACTCTTAGGAATAACAGCAAGATTGCAGCCAGGAATTGTTCCAGAGATAATTGACAATTCACTGTGTTTGTCTGGTGAAATAAACCTAATTTCTGAGAATTTCTGTACATCTCTCTTAATTCTGATGGTAATTGAATCGGTTAATAATGCTCTAAGTTGAGAATTATATTGTTCATTAATAAAATCAACTAAAACATTGGCTGTTTTCTCGTCACAGTATAAGATGAAATGCTGCATGTTAAAAATACTTGCATATCGTTCGTAAAATTCTTCGTTTTCTACAAATTGTGTAACTTCTTGTAAATATTCTTGAGGAATTGTTGAAAGATATTTTTCGACGAACTCTTTGCATTTATCTGTCTCCTCGTAACGCCTGAAATAGATAACTAGCTGGCAAAAAAGCGGATAAAGAACGGAGCGAAGAGCAGTTAATCCTTTGTTTTTATTCATAAAGTCAAGATAAGTCTGATAGACTTCACCAGGGATTAACTCTCTTCTACCTCCAAAAGAATAAGTAAACGTTATAGGACTTGATTCGAGATATTGTGTTGATTGCAACATTTCTTCGATAGTTTCGCCATGAGGAACTGTTGTACTATAATTAAATGTAGATGAAAATGAATTGACCGCATCAATCGCTAAATTATCATTCATTTCACAAAAAAATATTTTTTTCTCGATTTTTTTGTCACGTAAATTTACAAATTTCCTTGCCACTAACATTTACCAATTTTGCCATGGCAAATTGCCAACATTCAAAATCTTCATGTTTTTCTCTTTATTTTTTGCTCATGGTTCAATGTTTTTCGGAAAAGTTATAAGTAATGACTGTTTCAGAGGCTGCAAAGATGCTAATGAACTGTATCCTCCAGAGTTTTTTAATTTTGATTTCGAATTTCATTTCGATAACTTCACACTTAACGAATCAAATCAATTTCTTGGTAGCGGCCACTTTTCTACAGTATACAAAGCTACATTTCCTAATGGAACAGAAGTAGCAATTAAAAATTTACTTCAATTTAATAAAAGAATGTTAGGCAAGGAATTTAACACATTACGTGCATTGAACGATGTTCCAAATGTTCTCAAAATATACGGAATCATTGGAAATGAAACAAATCCAGCAATTGTTTATTCATATCATTCTTCTACACCATCAGGCTACAATGGCAATATTACACTTGATGATTTCAGATGGTGGCTTAAGACCACATTAGAAACACTTGCTAATATTCACGAACATGGTGTTATTCATCGTGATTTAAGATTAGCGAATATTTTGGCAGATTTCGAACATAGAAAGTTAGCAATTGTCGATTTCGGATTATCCGACTTTTACAGAAAAGGAAGACCCTTAAATCCTCGAGTTGGCTGTGTTCATATCAAAGCTCCCGAATTAGTTGCGAATATTTCAACTTACGGATGCGCAATTGATATTTGGTCACTTGGACTTTCATGTTTAGACATAATGATCAGATTGAAAGGCCATTGGGATCAAAAAGGAGAGAAAAATACAATTGAAGCATTCATTAAAGCATACGGAAGCCATGCATGGAACAAATTTGCTGGAAAATACAATCCATCAATAGGAACAACTAGGAAAGTTGAAGGAAGCTTCTACGAACTCGGAATGCCAGGAAATAATCACTTATTAACTCCAGAAACAATGGACCTTGTTTCTAAGATGCTTGAATTAGATCCAGAGAATAGAGTAACGGCTAGAGAAGCTCTGAAACATAAATTCTTCCAAACATAATTTTTTTGTAATCTCATAATATTGTAAATAAACAGAAAATATCTTTAAAATGAACCATATAACCATGTTTTTCTAGATTTGACAACTTTTATAAATGATAGATCGGAGATTTTTCAAAATTCGCAGCTTAGTCTTTACTATTACACCCTTCGACAATAATCCATGCATAAAAAGTATTTGTCTCATTATCATTTATCATTCATTAATAATAAATCTAATTCAATCATTCAATTTGCTTTTTAAACTTTTGCTATGAATGAATACACATATTTTTGAATTTTATGAAAAAACAACATCATAACACTGATAATTTTCTTGAATTCGGAAATAAAAATATCAAATTTAGAAATAAACCTTGTCATTCATACGGACATTTTATTAGACACAAGTAGTTGATTATAAAATATCAGTAATTTAGGTTATATTTTACAAACGAAGTAAAAGAAAACGGAGCCTCTGAATTTTTTTGAGATTTGTACGTTTTAAACATCGGATGACGCAGCGAGTTACCAGGCAGATGTTCGAGCGCCGTTACGAGCAGAGGGCACGTGACGAAGCTATGTATTCTATATATCAAAGCAAAATAAAAGCCGAGCAAAAAGATAGAGTTCAACAAGAAACGGATGAGAGATCTGCTCTCCGTCGCAAGGCAGCAAGACAGCGCGTTGCAGATGAAGAATTTGCAATGGCTGAAAAGATATACAATCAACAACAAGCGTATGAAACAAGGATGCGTGAAATGCAAGAGCAAGATGCAATTGCACAGGCTTTAGCAGAACAAACCCAAGCAGAAATTCGTGACCAGAAATATCGTGCACTTCTTCGCGAAAATGATGCAGAAATTCGTGAGCTTAAGTCTAAATTACAAACAGCACTTATCACACAGACACGTGACAAGCAAATTAAAGAAGCCGACAAGCGCCGCAAGGAGGAAGAGCAAGAGCGTATTGAAGAAGAGCAGCAAATGATGCGTAATTACCGTAGAGAAGAAGCAGCCCGTGTAATGGAAGAAGAAGCCAAGCACGCAAACTCCCTTGCAACAAGAGCATTCATTCAAGAACAGCTCAGAGATAAAGAACGCCGCAGACAATTACTCGAAGTTGCTGAGCGCAAACGCGATGAACAGCAAGTCAACGAAATCGTTGCCAGAGTACAGCGCGAAGATGCAGAACGCGAAGCAGCTTACCGCCAGAAGCAGGCCCACAACTTCCGCGAGATGCAGGACTTCATGGCCGCACGCCAGGCGATGAAAGAACGCGAGCGCCGCGAACAAGAAGAGGAAGACCGCAAGATTGCGGAGTTCTCGATGAATGTCGACGAGCGTCTCCGCCGTGCACAGGAAGAACAGAAGCGCCGCGATGTAGCACGCGAAGCTATCGGACAGAGAATTGCAAGAGACATCCAAGCGAAGCAGAAAGAAGACGAAGAATACGAACAGTTGTGTCTCGATCTCGCCGAACAACAAGAATTGCAGCGCCTTCAGGACAGGGAGCGCGCGGAAGCCGAGAAGATCAGGAAACAGATCGAGGACTGCAAGGTCTTCATGGAACAGTCTCTCAAGGCGAAGGCTGCCGAAAGAGAGCGCACAAGAATCGAGGAACTCAAACTCAAACAACAGATGGTCGAAGAACAGAAGCGCTTGAACGAACTCGCAGCTGTCGAACAGGAGAACGCAAGGATCAAGAACGAGAAGTACAGAAGAGAGCTCACAAGACAGATGCTTCAGAAGAGAGAGATGTACGAGGCAGCTCGCGCTCAGGAGCTCAAGAAGTTACAGCTCGAACAGGAGAGAGAAAACGAACGTCAGAGAATATTGAACGAGGAAAGAAGAAAACTCGTTATCAATCATATCTTGTCTATGGGTGCAGATGCTGTCAAGTACCTCCCTCAAGGTGTTCTTAAGGAGGAGGACCTCGACTACCTTCCAGAAGAATACAGAATTGCAATTCTTAACACAAAGGTCTAAGTTTTTTTTATGATTATTTCTTGCTTGAAAAATAAAATGAATGATTTTTATTATAAACGGTTGACTGAATAGAAATTTCATTTAGATCTATGCAGAGTGTGAAGTTTACTAAGTCTAAGTTACTCTACATTGATAATGAAAGAAGATGAATTGAATTACATTTTCTTCTTACTAATATTTCTCTTCAGTTTTTTTTTTAATTTTTTTATATATTACCTATCCAAGATATAAAGGCATTCCCTCCGCCTTATCTATTGCAATGATATTGGTACCATGATTAATGAGAAATTCTACTGCTTCTTTACTATTCATAATTATTCTAGAGGTTGGATGATATGTTCAGAGTTTCAATAACAATCCAATTATCACGTAATATTATTCTCGGGGTTCAGAACGAAATATTAATTCGCGCACAATGAGTATATTGATAAATTTCATGCGATGTGATTTAAGTATTCAAATTTTTAGCTTTATGTCAACTCTTTGATTTTGAATTTTTATTTTTTCAAATGAATATATGAAACACATTACCAATTCCATGCCCTCATGATCAACCAACAGTAGATCTTTTATATTGTTCAGTATTGCCAAATTTGAGAGATCTGAATTCCAAATAAAAATCGGGTAGATTTTTTCTGAAAAAAGGTGACAGCGCTCTGCGTATCATGGATGATTATTTAAAGCAGATACTTGCATCAGCTGTTCCACTTAATGAATCATTAAAATCATCAGATTTAATGAGCTCAAGTAAGATGGTGCAGTCAAAAATCATCGATTTGTTTAGATTTACGTCGGTTCAATTGGCTCCATCATTTCTTACAAAGATATTAGGTTTTATTGAGGAAGACGCACAATCTGCTGATAAAAGAAAGCGACATGCATCAGCAATTTGCCTCACTGCCATTATTGCATTATATCCTTTTGATCATCAAGTGCCATTATTCTCTCCAATCATTGATAAATTACTCAAACCGGGCTATAAACCACTGGTTCAAGTCGGAGCATCTGTGGCTGGACGTATTGCACGTATAAATGGTCCAAATCGAGATAAATATTTATCAATTCTTGTGCATAAATCACAAACATATTTAGAAAGATTCGATAATCCTGATGAAAGATACGCTGCGGCCGTTATTTGGCACGAATTAGCACACGTTGCGCCAGAATTGTTTTATAGATTAGGAACGAATTTTGCAAATGTAGTTTGCAACGCATTACTGAATCATGACCAACAAATCAACGAAATTCTTACAGAAACTATTGAATATTTATTCACATCAGAGTCAGCATCCATAGGAACAAACTTTTTAATAGAAACACACAACATTCTTATGTTCACAACAATCAAGAACTTCAGCGAAGTACATAATGCCGAAGAAATCATCGGATCAATGCAAATTTTAATGGTTTTACTAAAATTACAACCAACAATCTCAAAACGTAATGCGAAGAATCTGTTATACCCACAGTGCCAAAAATTGATAAGTTCTCCTAACACGGAGATCGCTTTCTTTGCTTTAGAAACAATTTTTCAAATGGCGAGGTTAGAAGTCATAGAAATCACTCACGAAGAACACACAAACATATTTAATATACTCGCAAGCTGGGGATTCAAACAACCAGAAGAAACTCTTTATTTAATCCAAGATATGATTGAAATTTTCAAACGTTTCGATACAAAGAGCTGCCAACAATTATTACAGCTTATTAACATATTTAATGAGAAACTTCCACCATCTATTGGCCCTCCTGCAGCTTTTGAAATCACAATAACCGCAATTGCTTCTTTTCCTAATTTCAATGCTAACATTTCAGCTTTTATTACCAATGTTAGACGTATTCTTGAAAAATCACAAGTTCCGCTCCAAATACATCGTCTTTTGGCCGCATTAAACAAATCAATTCCACAATGGTCATCAACATTCAACATGTTCAAGCAACAGATACTTGATATCATCAGGCAAGAGCTTACACATCAATCCACGCTTACAGATCGTCTTGTCATTGTTTTACATGCATTATATGAACTTCCTGCCGTAGAAACACATGACGCGATTGATTTAGCGAGTTTGATTGAGAAACTGATGGTTTCCAAAGACATTGACGTGAGAAGATTAGTTGTAGGAGCCATTGTCCACTTGTTCAAGTCATCAGAAGGAAATTTACCATTGAGATTGATGATAAGAATGGTAAAATTTGCAATTGACGATTCCTCGAGATTTGTTCGACTTTATTCCGTGAAATCCTTCATTCCTGAGACATATCCTTATATATCACAACAGGAAGTATTCCCTACTTTCTGTAGATTCTTGAATGACGAGTTTGTTGAAGTTCGACAAACAGCTTTAAACGTCATCAAACAATTACCAATATTTAATTTCACTGTTGTCAGAAATATGATGTTATCATCATTAAAACAAATGAATCCGAATCTTTCCATCATTGTTCCGTCAACAATGCCCGTATGGATTGTTTTCCCACAGATTCTTGAAGCATCAAAACCTTTCTTGCATTTGTATGCTGAAGGAATTTTCGAAACAATTTCTGATATGTTGAGAAAAAGATTTACTCTTTATAAAGATCAAACATTGATTTTTGCAAACTCAACAATTCTCAGAGAAGTTGATACATCATTGATACAATCCATACAATCCCTTTATTTAATTTGCCCTGACATTGTTCCTCTTCAACCAATCATTACTATTTTAAGAGATATGTTCGAATTGCCTGTCCATCCATGGACAAAAATCGTTGGTATGAAATCCCTTAAAGTTCTTGCAGAAAGCGGAGTTTCTTTCGGTGACATGTTGATGCCAACTTTGTTGGATATTTTGCAAAATAACAATAACTCGAAATTATTAATAAAAACACTGAAAGTTATTGGTTGTTTGGGTAAAAACAAAGTGGAATTCATGAACCATAAGAAGCAAAACATATTTAGATCTTCTATTACTAATATCTCAATTTTCAAGAACTATTTCATACAAAGAATTTATCCTTATTTATTCAAAATTTTCCATTCAATTTCGATCATTTCTGTTCAAGAATCCGCATTCAGGTGTATGCTGCAGATATTCCATGAAGAACCATCAATTATACCTGACATGCTTCCAGAAATGGTAAATCATGTTTTGCCATTCATCAAATCGATGAAAGGTGAAAAATTATCAACATTTTTGAATCTTTTGGGACAAATGATCAGTGATTCAGGAATCCACATCATGAAGTTCATTGACACTGTTTACGATGTTATTAAAGAACACTGGCTCGAAGAATGTACTAATGAATGCTCCAAGAATTTGTCATTTATTGTGAAATCAACGGGTGGACAATGCGATTCTATTTTGACATTAGTTATTTCTAATGCTTTTCTTTTATTGAAATCGAGAAGTAATGATAATTGCGTTTTTGAATTGTTTTCTTTATTGAAGACTATTGTTATTTACTCCATCCCTTACAGGCAAACAATTATAGCTGGTATTGTTGACCTTCTAAACACCCCAGAAATGAGTATAAGTGTCATGGACAGTTGTTTCGATTTGATCGAATACATTTTGACGGAAATGCATCCAGAAAGTTTGTTGAGCCCTATCAGACGTTGTCTTGAAGTTATTTCAGTGAGAAGCCAGATGAGATGGCGTGATAGAGCAAGCTATTTGCTGGCAATCATGAAAGAGAACCAAAGATCAAGTTGTACGGCACCTTTTGTTCCTCAAGTTCAACAAAAAATTGTTAATTTTTCAAAGATTACTATTGAAACATTCAAAGCAGCTTTGAAGTCATTGGCAGGCCACATCAAAGCAACACCAATAGAGATATCACAGAGCTTCGAGATCTTCAAACAACAGCTTATAAAATTGTCACCAATCGCTCCAATTCGTTGTACAAAATGTTTGGAAGTTCGACCGAGTTTTCTTTTCCCATTCGCTTTCTTCGCGAGTTATATGAGTTTCGATGAATCTGAGTACAAATTAATCTCAAAGAGATTGTACGAGATCATGAAACTTCCAAATCTCCCTGATGATGTCTTGTTACAGCTTTTAAATCTTATAGAATTTGCTGTTTTAAGTCGTATTGATTTAGGTATTGATACAAAGTTTTTGATCGAAAAAAGTATCAAATTACAAAGATACGACATTGCATTTTCCATCATCGAAAGCATTCCTTTGGTCAAGAATACACCAATCACTCCAGATTTACTTCAGGATTTGAGTATAACTAATTATGCCATTGGAAGAAAAACTGATGCTTATGAGATTGCAAAAAGAGTTCCTAAACTCGAAATATCAGCAGCGATGATGCTTGAAGACTGGACTAAAGCATTAGAGTTGATATCATCTGAGAAAGAACCAGATCGATATGTTACAGAAACAGTTGAATGTCTTGCAGAAGTTGAAAAATGGGAAGACATTTTACTTTATTCTGATAAATTCGATCAACAAAGTTTAGCCAACCAAGCGAAGATTTCTCGTTTCTTCTGGACAGCAGAAATGAACTGCGGTGACAAGAAGAAATCTCTTGAGTATGTTTATAGAACAGGTGGCTACAACACAGAAGATTGCATCCAAAAAGCAATTTTATTCATCAATCTCGGTGATTTTGATTCTGCGAAAGAAACAATTCATCTTGGCTGGAGATATCTAACAGCAAATGTCCAGAACATCGCACGTAACAATAAATCGATGTTCGAAAAGAAACTTTTCTTGGCAGAACAGCTCCATCAACTCCAAGAAGTTCTTGATTGCCACCGTGACAAAAATTATGTTTCAAAATTCCGTAAAAATTGGTCTGACAAATTACCACAAATGCGTGATGATTATGAGCGTCAGAACCAACTCTTCCAGATTGTCAGACTGATTCCAGATGCTATCGATCTCGATGATTTCGCTATCAACATCCTTTCATCAACATTGTACGCGAAGAAACAAGATGAAGCAATGAGATTGGCCAATTTATTTTTCCCTGACAAAAATTCGCAATCATCCAAATATTCAAAGATCATGTTGTTAGATTCCAAAGAAAGACTTGAAACGGGTCTTAAATCATTGGATGAATTCGATGGATACTTCCGTAAGCGTTTGGAGAACCAAGTCGGAAAGGATTTGTTCCAACAAGCAACATCTATTGAACAACTCAAAGAAGCAGAAACACATTTGTTAAAAGGTGACAGAAATTATGACAAAATCACTGATACTCAGATTATTTTAGCCAATGCGACAGGCAGTGAAGATATCGCGATAAGTGCAATCAAAGCAATCAAAACACGAGTTACAACTAAAACTAAAGCTCGTAAATTGTATTTGATGCATTTGATTTCATTGATTTTGAAGTTTTGCGAATCAGAATCTGTTTGTAACTCAATTTCTGATGTCTTTGAATCCTTAGATTCATCAATTGCTGTTTTAGTTGCTTCATTTATTTTGACATTGATCACAAACAAAAACAAACGTGTTTCTGAAACAGCAGTTAAAATTATTCATCACGCAATGCAAAGTTTGGATGAAATTTTCTTCTTCAATTTGAATAGGGAACTTCAAAATCATCCAGACAATGAACTTTTGGAAGATTTAACAGATGACATCAAAAGATATCATTCAATCACATTCTCACACATCAATTTGATATCATCTGGTTTAATTAAAATGGCACACAACATGTGGGGCGCGACTATCAGATTACTCAGTGAATTTGTTGAATCTAAATCAATAGAAACAATTAATAAAATTGTCCAAGTTGTTTCAGTTCCTAATTATTGCCACATTGAATCCGATTTTAAGAAATATTTCGGAAAAAGACTTTCAACATTTACTGAAGAAATAATCAACAGAGGTCATGTTGAAGAGCAAGATTTCGAACACGCTGAAGAACTCCTTTTATCCATGTCTCAGATGCAGGATTCTATTCGTGTAATTCCTATTTCAAGTTTCAATCAACAACTTGAAAGAAAAACTACATGGCAAGTTGGTATTCCATTCTCTAAAGCAATTGAAGGCGAAGTCAAGCTTACAAAGTTCTTCCACAGTGTCCAGAACTTGGAGAATGGCCTCATTGTTTCAATGGTTGGTTCCGACGGCCGAAAATATTCATTTTTCCTTCGAAGAACAAAGGAAAACATTTTCTTGTCCGACGAATTCGTATCTCTTTTGAGTGCGACATCTCCACGATTGCAATCTCTCAAGAAACGGTGCAATCTCATGATCGCCAAAGATGTTTCCTTCAAAGAACGAATCAAAGGATCAACAACATTGTTGAACTTGATCTTCAGCTACAGACAATCCACAGCTTCTCATGAAGAAATAAGTTATGAAGAACAAGATGTCAGATTATTGATTCTTAAAGAACGAGGAAAAGATGACTTAGCGAAATCCATTTTAACATCATCCATATCAGCAATGAAATGGGCTGAACGACAAATCACATTTTCCAAGACTCTTGGAATCATTTCCGCATTGTTTTATGTCGGCGGATGCAGCGATACTTCATTAAACGACATTTTGTTTGACAAGGCTAGTGGTGCATTGGATTATTCATCATTCATTGTCAACACTCACAGCCAACCAGTTCCATTCAGACTCACCGCTATGTTGGAACGCGCTTTGGGCACAGCTGGTGTCAATGGAACATTTCGATCTTATTTAGTTTCGACACTGGAAGACATCAGATCATACAAACGCGGTCTTGCTCCTGCATTGCAGTTTGCCGTCATGCGTCCTCCATTTGATAAATACTTTGTCCCTACTTCGTACATTGGCACATTCACATCAGAGTTTAATTCATCAGAAGAAGTTGATTCAGTTTATCCACGAATAAAAGGATTTGGCTCGTTGGAAAAAGAAGTTGATGATCTCATCAAACAAGCAACAAATGTTGAAAACTTGGCTAAGATGCCACTTTCATGGATTCCTTGGTGGTAATATTTTTATTATTATTTTTTTATCTTGTTCATTTTTCCTTTTTATATATATATTGTATTGTAAATATTTATATTTCTATCCATCACATATGTCATCTTTTTATATATATTTAACCATCTAAATAGTAATACCCTCTATTTCCAGGAATTAACGTCACTTTTTTCCACCTTCTAAAAAAGCTTCTATATCTCGACATATATAGACATTTTCAAAGCTTTTTAAAAGAGGATATGATAGAAAAGATGTTGAATTTTATGATTTTGTACTTTGTATGGAAATATGAGATATGAGATTTAATATGATTTGATTGCAAGTTGAAATTTTTGATTTTTATAATATAGCATTTTTATGATATAAAGAGTGTTTTTATGATAAAATTTTTGCTCAAAAACAAAAATTTTGGTAAAACGGTAATTCCTGGCTGACGTTAAAATATGCTTTGTTCTCCATTAAAAATAGTATTTAATGATATAAAAATCAATTATTTTGAGTATTCATAGACTTTTTTGTTGAAACTTCGAACGCACGAAAACTAGTATTAGAATAGATTAGATTGAAAATAAACAGCGGAAACAAATTCAGCACATTTTATATGATTTGGTGCTGTGACAAAAGTATATCATTCACTCTCAAAGGAAAATCTGATTATCCCAATAAAATAGAAATAAATCAATAAAAAGTATAATAGATGCATTCTATTTGGATGCTGATATTATATCATTTATCAAATTTTGAAAATATTCATTTTTCACGAATTCGAACCGAAACAAGACCTTGAACTCGAGTAGGTGCCAAAAGTGCTTACTCTTAAACAACCGTCGGATTTCCGGGTGAAATCGTGACACACTTTCGTCTTTCGTAGGCAGTGGTGGTTGTTACAAAAGGTAACTTCGAATGTAGCGTGAAATCTGCAAAAAAAATTCTGAAATTTAAATGGAGAACACAAAAATTGAATAGTTTACGTCAATAAAAAAGAGAAAAATGAAGCCAATATGTCTCGAACCTAGGACTTAGAGCAGCAATCCCACTGTTTATACCATTACACTACATGCATCTCTCACCTCAGTGAATGAGATCAACTATATGATAACTTTTTCCCCATTATATTCTTGTGGAAAAGTGACAAATAGCAACTTTGACCCTCTCTCCCCTCTCTCACCTTGAACTCGTCAAAATTTTAAAAAATGAACATTTATCAAAATAAATGCAGGATTTGTTGATTATATCATTAATACTCCATTCTTTTAGTAAATGCATGTGCATTTGCCTTTTCCTTGCAAAAGATTGAAATAGATTTTTCAATTTATTCTGATTAAAATATATTTTTCGTTTATCCATATCTATGTAAATACATTAAACATCATAACACTTTGAAATACTATTGTTTTAGTAATCAATTTCTTATCCTTATCATTTCTACAATTGGTATTATTCACTTCATAATATAAAAGTTCTAAAAATGTCAAAAAGTATTCATTTTAGGAATAAAAGACTTAATTTAAATTTAATATAATTATTTTTATATCTATACAAACAAATTGTGAGAACATTCAGGTGGCCCCATAAGTAATAACATATCAGTATTTTGATATGATACCTCATATATAAGGTATGATTAGAAAGCTGAAATCAGCTTTTTCAATTTTTCATCAGTGAAAATGTTTTATACCTCATACCTATTAAAATAGCCTAATTTCAGTCCCATCCCTCTTGTATTCGTTGAGATAAGGAGATTTGAAATTATGCAATTTCGACGCCGTTACCCTCTCCATTTGCCACAAAAATGTAAGGGATATATAACACTGTTGTATAAATTAATATTTTATTGTTATTTTAAAAAAATAATACTTCAATCATGCTAAAATTGAATTTTTTTGATGCAAAAAATAACCTTAAACGGTAATTCCTGGAAATAGAGGGTATAACAAAGAAGTTACAATTGCATTTTAAAGTCTTCTATATATAATTATTAACCAGTCCAGCAAGTTTAGATGAAATATAGCATTGATAGTTGATTCACTTTGATCATCTTGAATAATTTTCCAAAGAAAACGAGTTTGAACCATCAACTTACAATAAAACCGATATCCTTTTATTTTATTTTTCCAAGATAAATTTGCCAAAATCTTTGTAAATGTTTTCATTGGATTTTAAGAAGAATCCCAATGAGGATATAAACGAAGAAATTGCTAACAAAACGGATGAAAATGAAGAAATAATCACATTTAATAACATAGATGAGTTTTGTGGTTTTATGTTTCATTATCTAACAGATTTTTATAAATCTATCAATGAAAATTACGAGTCTGCGCTAAGCATCATAGAGCATATTTCAAAAGTGCACAATCAAGATCTTTCCTCTTATTATTCAGAAGAATCTTTGCCAAATATTTTTACTGAAACGAATTTTGTCAATTTAGCAATCGAAATCCTAAATAGTCCTTCAAGAGATATACTATCAAGCCAAAATGAATCTTTAGAATCGCAAATTCTTTCAAAAGTTTTGAAAATCTTAAATGTTGCTGCACAATACTCACCATCCATCTGCAAAATGATCTTTGATGCCAATTTCATGGATATTATCATTAATCCTGAACTCGAAGAAACTTTATCTCAACATAACTTTTTAGGAGCGATTCAATTACTCGAACACATATATAAATTCTGTCCTGCCGATGTTTTAGTTGCATCATACAACAGCGGATTCATTGACAGACTTTTAGAACGTGTGAAACATGAAATCAAAGCATCCCCAGAACAAAATAAATCAGACCAGATCATTTGTACATGTTTAAGTACATATTTTTCGCGTTCTCTTGCAATTGGAGATGCAAAACTTCGAGAAAAAGCATATTTATTCATTAGTTTGATTCTAAACCTTAATATGGACTCGTATCTTCCTGTTATGCGTCTTTTATACTTTTTGTTAACATGTTTGGGCCAAGATTTCCAACCGGTTATGTCAATTCGAGATTTATTAAAATTAAACAATGAAGGAGAACTTATTATGCTTTCAATCATACCAATGGTTAATACAAGTGATGATGATCTTAGAGAAATTGCAACAAATATATGTTTAATCCTAACAAATTCAATTAATCTTGTTTCACCTCGAATTATTTATAGTTTCATGATCAAAGCTCCTTGGAGTGCCATAACAAACACAATTGTTACAAAAGAATATGATACAGCTGATAAATTACTTTTAATAATTAAAAATTTGTTGAGACTGGACTTTTTAGTTAACGTACCACCAAAACATCAAATGCCAGAAAGGTTCTTCCAGAAATTTACACAACTTGGCATTTTTGAAAGTCTTTTTGTAAATTATGAAAACATTGCTTACAAATGTCGCCAAACAGTAGTGGAAATCATACTTTTGTATATCAGGTACTGCATGAAGTTTGATTATAATGAAATTCGGCTGAGATACATTTTTGATAAGAATATTCTTTCGCATTGCATCGAATATATCACAGATGAGGATCTAAAGATAACAGAAGACATCATAGGAACTCTATTTAAGTTTATGGACTATCTAAGTCGAACTTATCAACAAATTTATGAATATGCACTTGAACTTTTCCGAGAATGGGATATCGGAGACCAACTATTACAACTTGAAGGTTCTGAGATCGATGAAATTGCTCATTCATTTTATTTGATGATTTACCCAGAAGAGTAATGCGTAATCACGCTAACTATTAGCTAATTAGCTATATTTAATAATTTCCTCTTTCGAAAAACCAGAAAATAGATAATAATGAAATAATTTTCGAAATTAGAACTTTATATCAACCAAAACACTGAGAATGAGGACACAAATACATTAGTAACTTTATTTCCCCTATACTACTTTTCTCAACATAAATATAAGATATTATTTTTTGTTATTAATAAAAATTATACATTCTAAGTTTGAATATCAATATTTATAAACACAGACAAATATAATCGAATAGTACTCTCATTAATTTCATAATATTTAATCAATATTCTTTCTCAAATACGAGTTTATCTATTACATAAAGGGACAAAAACTATTCATTTGCGATATTTTTTCATTTGAATCTGATATTTGAGTTATAATTTTGTTGATATTGTTTAAGATCAAATAATATTAAAATTAACCCTGTGTATGCTCAATATCAGCACATAACATAATTACACATAACATTTTCATTAGCACTGAATACTTAAGCGAAGAGAGCCTGATGAATCCAATTGGCCAAAAGACAATACACGTAAATTCACTTATAACTTTAATTTGTTTGTGGAGTAAATTCATATATCACCATGATCCATCGAAAAGGTTTGAGTGTTCAAAAAATCGTGATCACCTTTCAAAATGGGCAAAATCTCTTACAAATTTTTTACATCCATAATGCTCATAATTAGTTTATAAACACTCTTATATCCCCATCAGTTTTTTTGATGGGTTGAAAAGATTTGTAAAATATCCTGAGAAAAGGCGATATCGGGATTATAATCATTACTATCAGCTTCCTATGAAAGAAACAGTATATATAATGATACAGATGCATTATAATTATTTGTTGCCTGTTATTTCTTCACAAATATTGAGATTTTCACATTATTTTCATTGCGGTGCTGTAAACAGAAATTCATCAAAAGTGACACCTCAGAAAAGCTAAAATATTGAATTTTTGGAACTTTTGATAGAGCACGTTTTTAAATATTAATTAAAGTAAATGTATATTTTGTAAAGATTCTTTTTAATAAAAAAAATAAAATTTTGAAGAAGAACACAAAATCTTCTGAAAAATAATATCACATAAACTCATATTATTTCTAATATATAACTATTTTATATAAAAATCAAATTCAATGATCTTAAAAGCGAAGGATAAACCTCAAAATTTACGAATATAATGAGTGGGAATATAAGGCCTTATCTATCATAAAACCATATGAAATATCAATTTTTGCTTTACGCCTAATTTTTGACGACAATTAGCAAAAAATGTTAAATGTTAACACTCAGTCCATTTGAATATGAAAAATAAAATTGACTTTGATTAAATGTTTTTATTTATCATGCAATTCTTCTTGCGACCAAAGATTTGAATAAAAGTTCAAAAAATAAGATAGTAGCTTAAAAAATATATATACGGTAGTGTTTACTAATAGATGAATAGTATATAAATTCTATTAAAATGGATTTGATCCAAAAAATATATAAATTTGATCATAAATAAAATCGTTTTAAATTACTTCTTCATTTAAAATATAACAATTATTTTTGGTTTTATATTTTTTTGGATCAAATCCATTTTAATAGAATTTATATACTATTCATCTATTAGTAAACACTACCGTACATTATTTTTTAAGCTATCTTATTTTTTGAAATTTATTCAAATCTTTGTCGCAAGAAGAATTGCATGATAAATAAAAAACATTTAATCAAAGTCAATTTTATTTTTCATATTCAAATGGACTGAGTGTTAACATTTAACATTTTTTGCTAATTGTCGTCAAAAATTAGGCGTAAAGCAAAAAATTGATATTTCATATGGTTTTATGATAGATAAGCCTTATATTCCCACTCATTATATTCGTAAATTTTTGAGGTTTATCCTTCGCTTTTAAGATCATTGAATTTGATTTTTATATAAAATAGTTATATATTAGAAAATAATATGAGTTTATGTGATATTATTTTTCAGAAGATTTCATTCTATATGCCTATGAAAAGTACTCTCAAAACTAACTTTTTCCTAATTATAATTAAATCTAGAATATTGTATTATGCTTAGTATTATTTCATTTTTCTCATTCAATTTAGAATTTACAAATGTCAAAAAATCGAGAGCTGTCACTTTTGATGAATTTCTGTTTATTACAGAAAAATTAGTTCAAAATATAGTAATTAGTATTTTTATATCATTAAAAATTTCACCGAACAATAATTGTGAAGGTGCAATTCAAAAAAATGATGGAAGTCCTTAGAAAATTGAGAGACTTTTCAATCTTACAAGGCTATTTGAATGACACTTAAATTCACATCATTTTTAATGTCAGCAAAGACATCCTCTAGCCTTAATATTGCAGACTACGAGACAACACACCAGGGCAAGCAAGTCAAGCTTATAGTCCTTAAGAACTCTAAGGGAATGGAAGTTTGCGTTTCCAACTTTGGCGCAAACATTGTTTCCTTTGTTGTACCAGATAAAGATGGCAAGCTTCGTGATATCGTCCTTAACCAGCCAACAATCAAGGATATCATTGAGAATTCCTTCAGATTTACTGGTGCTACATGTGGCAGATCAACAAACAGAATTGCCAAGGGCCATTTCATCATCGACGGCAATGAGTACACATGCCCAATCAACAACGACATCAACAATAACCACACTGGTGTCTCTGGTTTCCACAACAATGTTTGGGACATTGTCGAACAAACAGCTAACAAGGCCGTTATCAGATATGTTTCTGTTGATGGTGCTGATGGCTTCCCAGGCAACCTTGAAACAACACTCACATTCACTGTTGATGAGGAGAATGCTCTTAGATTAGACTTCGACTACAAGACAGACAAGCCAACAGTTTGCTCAATCACACAGCACTCATTCTTCAACCTCACACAGCCAGAAGATGATGTCTTCGACACAGATCTTCAGGTCTTTGCTGATTTCTTCACACCAGTTGATGATCACATGACACCAACAGGCGAAGTCCTCAAGGTTGCTGGCACAGTCTTCGACTTCAGAGAACCAATGGCCCTCGGCAAGCACATTCTTGATAATGATGACCAGATCATTAAGGGAACAGGCTACGACCACACATTCGTCCTCCGCAAGCAGTGGAGAAACCAGCTCGCTCTTGCTGCCAAGGCTTTCAACAAGAAGTCCGGTATTACACTCGAAATGCACACAGATATGCCAGGCATGCAACTCTACACAGCTAACTGGATGGATGGATTTGCTGGCAAATACGGCACAAAGTGCGACAAGAGACACGCTTTCTGCCTCGAGGCCGGTGCTATTCCAAACTCCATCAACACTAACTGGTTCCCATCAACCACAGTCTATCCAGGACAGCCAGGACACAACGTCATTGTTTTCAAGGCTGGCCTTCTCTAAAGAGGCTATGTTTTTTGTTCAACTAGGTTTCAAAGTTTCAATTTTTATTCATTAATTTTTATGAATGGTTTTTGGAACTTTATTCATAGCGCATAAGAACAAGCTTTGATTGATATCTAATATTATCATACAAGATTAAGATGTTTTGTCTGGCATAATTAAATAATGGAATCACAGTTATGTAAAGAACTTTGGACAATGTTAATATACGAGTCACCATGATGTGTTCCCCAGATATTCGTGTTCATTAGTCATTACATACGCTAAACTTATATCATCGAAATCTATTGTTGTTTTTATATAATAATTGTTAGAGGAATTATATTACTTGATAAATAGAAGCTGTTTGCAAGCATTATAATATCTAATTTTTGTATAAAAGGTTATAAAATATTTTTTTTATATATATATAGGGTTTAAGTGGGGAACTTTGATATTTTTTTCCACACCATAGTAGTTTCACTTTTTGCATATGAACTCTATATTGATTCTGGCTAGAAACTAGAGAAATTAAAAATTTTCAATTTTTGGCCCATTAAAAGTACCTTTTTGAAAATAAAAAATATTATTATTAATTATATGTGATACTTGACATATATTCATAAAATCAAGTGTTTTGGAGGGCAAACCCAAATTTTAGCTAAAAGTGACAGGGGGAAAAAAACGTTTAGTATTAAAAAAAAAGACCGATGAGAGCTTCGTTCGAAATATAGAGGGAACTGAGAATGCGCAACCATTCTCAGGGAATATTGGATGCTATTCCCGTTCCCTCTGTATGGAAAATTGAGGTTTTCAAAGGGAGTTAAAATAATATCAAATTTATACTAATTTACTTCAAAATACAAAAGTATTTGACAGCTAAAATTAGTTACTTTAGCAAGCCTATCAATACCCTTTTACGATTATTGTTACTTTTTCGAAATAAAAGTAAAAACAAATTTATACTAATTTACTTCAAAATACAAAAGTATTTGACAGCTAAAATTAGTTACTTTAGCAAGCCTATCAATACCCTTTTACGATTATTGCTACTTTTTCGAAATAAAAGTAAAAACAAATTTATACTAATTTACTTCAAAATACAAAAGTATTTGACAGCTAAAATTAGTTACTTTAGCAAGCCTATCAATACCCTTTTACAATTATTGCTACTTTTTCGAAATAAAATACCCTACTTTTCCAACATTTAGAAAACATGCATGACCCCCTACCCAGGGTCCAAAAATTGGTATTTTCTGCGCTCAGGCAACATGAGTTTTTGGGCCGCCAAATGAATAGCTCAAATAGTTTCCTCATATAGAGACATGCTTATGCTTAGAGTTTGAAGGGAATCTAAAGTGATTTTTTTCTGCATTTCGAAATCTAATGCAATCTTAAAATCATGATTAAACTGCGAATCTGGGCGCAATTTTTTAATATGTTAATATATGAAGGTACTCCTACTACTGCGAATGCTTCAAATGAAAATTCAAGAAATCAGATTAATTTGATCACATTAGTATAGTAGTGGTCAATCCAAAAACTCATATGTTGATATATAACCTATATAGATGATAATTATCGACTCTTCATTGAAATGCATAAGATTTAATAATCTCATAAATATTCTTTTTAATTTTCAGTATTTCGTGTGCATTTAGATTGCATATACCTATATATGATATTTCTAGAATGTTTTGGTTAGATATTAAGTTTTTTAGATTAATATTTTAACATTTTGATAAAACAAGCAATTGTTCCATTTTGGAATCGCGATTGAACTCTAGTTTGACTAATATGATGTTGTATGATCAAATAAATTCTAACTTCATGAGATAAATTTTGAAATTAGAAAATGCGATATCTGACTCAAATATTTATCTGAGCACATTTAACATTCAATTATAAACTAAAGTAATATACAGCAGATTCGATTTGGCTTATATTTTAAATATTCAACAAATAATCTTATAAAATTGTGCTATTCACGTTTCTCAAAGATGAATTAAGCATTTACAACTTGTGCATTGATGGAATTAGATATGGATTCTAATGTTAATCGATATTTTGTAAATTGATATATATTTTATCATGGTTTGACATTTGATCGTGTTGAAACCGGAATTGCAATATGCATCATCTATATATATAATTGTCAAAATATGAGCTATAGATTTTTAAATTATGCTCCTGATTATGAGTGACTTATATGATTATATTGAATTGAGTAGTAAGAATCATAAATATTAGAATATTACGATAATGTATTATAACCTTATAGAAGCTTAAGGCTAAAAATGATGATGAAAATGTAGCTCAAATTTAAGTCTAAAATTTTGAAAAAATTAAGTGCTTATGATAGTATGACGATATTGGTGTTTGAATGTAAGAAATTAGAGATGTATTAGAAGCATTATGAGAAAATAATAAGATATAAAAACAAATTTTATGAAATAATTTAAGTTATAAGAGGTATTAACATTGGTAATGTGTGAATAAGATAGTAGAATTGTATTGGATCTTTGATTAGTATTTTATAACAATTTATTAATGTAGATGTGATTAGAATGTTGGATTTCAAAGGAGAAAGCGGATTGTTCACTCTTGTTGGTCTGCATGTGTCATTCCGGGAGACATTGCCTGTGCATGTCTCCCAGAATGGCATACTGTTCCGCATTCATAACTTGAATGCGGAACTTTGACCGACAAGAGTGCATTGTGCACTCTTGTTGGTCTGCATGTGTCATTCCGGGAGACATTGCCTGTGCATGTCTCCCAGAATGGCATACTGTTCCGCATTCATAACTTGAATGCGGAACTTTGACCGACAAGAGTGCATTGTGCACTCTTGTTGGTCTGCATGTGTCATTCCGGGAGACATTGCCTGTGCATGTCTCCCAGAACGAGACAATTTATTGCAATCAGAATACGATTGCAAAACTTTGACCGACAAGAGTGCATTGTGCACTCTTGTTTGTCATCCACTATGATACTTAGAGAAAATACTTTACTTACATTATTTAAAATATTAATTTCCCTATTTAATATTTATTTATTATTTTTTGTGCTTTATATTCCCTATGGCATGTACTGAACTATTTTATAGACTCTACCGAGCTATCTCCACATATAAACATTTGACAATAACACATATATACTCTCTTCATATTCTAGTCTCATGACATATTATTGCAAAAGCTATATTTATACAGCATACCTCATAAAGTCTCATTATATCCTATCTAAGCGTTCAAAACCTATTTTCCCCACGTAATCTGATTCTTCAGGCTCCGCTGATTCGATTTCTGCTGTCAGATCGTGAAAATATGAATCACATAACAAGATAAACACAAGTTACCCAACTTGATATTTTACGTAAAAAAACTCTTTAAGTTCATGTTCAAACAACATCATTTTAGAAAAATTCAATTTTTTCCAAAAGTGTGTGAATTCAAAAAGTCACAATATATCTAGTTATTACCCAGTATTAATTTTTTAATTTAGTTTTTGAGATATTCATTTTATAATACGTATTATTCAGAAAATAAATACATTTGTAAGGGAAAACGGAATTAATAACAAATATATGAATATCGTGGAAGAGTCAATTTGAAGAAAACATTATTATTTTGGATTTGTGTTTATCTTGTTATGTGATTCATATTTCACGATCTGACAGCAGAAATCGAATCAGCGGAGCCTGAAGAATCAGATTACGTGGGGAAAATAGGTTTTGAACGCTTAGATAGGGATATAATGAGACTTTATGATATGCTGTATAAATATAGCTTTTGCAATAATATGTCATGAGACTAGAATATGAAGAGAGTATATATGTGTTATTGTCAAATGTTTATATGTGGAGATAGCTCGGTAGAGTCTATAAAATAGTTCAGTACATGCCATAGGGAATATAAAGCACAAAAAATAATAAATAAATATTAAATAGGGAAATTAATATTTTAAATAATGTAAGTAAAGTATTTTCTCTAAGTATCATAGTGGATGACAAACAAGAGTGCACAATGCACTCTTGTCGGTCAAAGTTTTGCAATCGTATTCTGATTGCAATAAATTGTCTCGTTCTGGGAGACATGCACAGGCAATGTCTCCCGGAATGACACATGCAGACCAACAAGAGTGCACAATGCACTCTTGTCGGTCAAAGTTCCGCATTCAAGTTATGAATGCGGAACAGTATGCCATTCTGGGAGACATGCACAGGCAATGTCTCCCGGAATGACACATGCAGACCAACAAGAGTGCACAATGCACTCTTGTCGGTCAAAGTTCCGCATTCAAGTTATGAATGCGGAACAGTATGCCATTCTGGGAGACATGCACAGGCAATGTCTCCCGGAATGAGACACTGCGACCGTCAGGAGTGCATATTATCATCAAAAATTCAAAAAAAAAACATTTTTCTTTTTTCTTTGGCGAAAAATGTACTTATTTTTTTCGAAATTTTCGAAATATGATTTTTTCGGGAGACTTTTTCAAAATTTTAATATGATAAATATGAGTTATTTTATGTTCTCTATTTGAGAGTCTGCTTATTTTTGAGTATTGAGCAAGATTGAAAAATGAGAATATTTAGGAACATAATAAATCGATTTATCTCGTCATGTAGTTCATATTTTCGCGTTCTGAGAGCGGAAAACGCATTTTTTGAATGCGTAGATTCCGAATCACACGGAAAAAATAGGTTTTAATAAGAAAAATAGACAATTTATGAAGTAACAAAGCACATAGTATTATAAAAAAGAAAAACATTTTTCTCATATGAAAGAAAATATAACGTATTTTTTACAGAGCGTAGGTATATATCGAGCCAATTCACACCATAAATTCTTTTCTCGTTCTCGGGCCTATAAACAACCTGAGGTGCACAACAATATTAACTTATACTGCTGTTATCTGGATTTGAATCCTCAATTGAGAGAATTCCAGATAACTTCAGTATAAACAAACCATATACATGTTTCCTCCTTGCTTTAGGCCAAGCATAAACAAGTACATTACCTTAGAGCAAATCTCATTCGGAGTTTCTCATTTAATGAGAGACTCCGAATGAAATTTGCCTATTTGATTAATATCGTGCTTTATGAGATGCAAATTCTGATGATAAATATTGATCTAGAGCTTATATAAGATGCGAAGAAACTTCAAAAAAAACTAACCGGTAAAGAAGCAACTTGCAACACCAAGTTGCTCACGTAGTGATTACAAGCATATCTGCAAGGCAATATCCTCAGGATGCAGAACTTTGCCTGCAATCAGAAAAGAGATTGCAGGAGAGTAACCGGTAAAGACAGCAACTTGCAACACCAAGTTGCTCACGTAGTGATTACAAGCATATCTGCAAGGCAATGTCCTCAGGATGCAGAACTCTGCCTGCAATCAGAAAAGAGATTGCAGCAGAGTAACCGGTAAAGACAGCAACTTGCAAAGTCAAGCAGTTTCTGAGATTTTGATTTATAAATCATAAACCTTCATGCTTGATGATTTTGTAGAATTGTTAACTCATGTCATCAGTTAATGCTCACCTAAGGGAGGTGTTTTGCGGGAGCTGGGGGTATCTTGGTGAGTACTCAGGAGGCCAAGAAGGGCACCCAACCGACATTTTGCTGATGGATTGAGTTTCGCAACCATTTTTATAACCGTAAAAACCGTCGGGACAAAACAACTTGAATAATTGAATTTTTTAATGATAATGATTGTGAAATAACATGTAACTATAATTTAAGAATGCCATATTTTTTGTTAAAAAAAAATTTCGAAAAGTGAGAGATTTTCCGTTCTAATAAATATATTTGATAACCGGGGTGTCTCCCGGAATCAAATAAATTATCATATCGAGAATCGGAGATCCTTGCAGTTTCGATTTTTTTCGAAAAGTGAGAGATTTCCGTTCTAATAAATATATTTGATAACCGGGGTGTCCCCGGAATCAAATAAATTATCATATCGAGAATCGGAGATCCTTGCAGTTTCGATTTTTTCGAAAGTGAGAGATTTTCCGTTCTAATAAATATATTTGATAACCGGGGTGTCTCCCGGAATCAAATAAATTATCATATCGAGAATCGGAGATCCTTGCAGTTTCGATTTTTCGAAAAGTGAGAGATTTTCCGTTCTAATAAATATATTTGATAACCGGGGTGTCCCCCGGAATCAAATAAATTAGCATTACTAACATTCCTTTTTTATTTAAAATTTTCAATTCTTAAAAACAAAGTTTTACTTCTATTTAATTATTTGCCATGAAAGTATAGAACATTAAAAATTTATCCTACTACCTCCACCCTTATAATACCTTCAAAAAATTATATCTCAATTTATTTTCTATCTTTTATATTGATGTGCTTATTCAAAAACACTAAATCATAAGTCTTCAGTTCTCAAAATACTCTCAAATTATCTCATTGCGCATATTTTGAAATTTGATAATTTTAAATTGTTAAAAAATTCATTAATCACAGTAAAATATCTATATACAACAATTAACTAACCGATTTCACATCTTGAACATTCGCATTTATTTAATATATTTGAATATCATTTACATCTTATTGAATTAGATCATAAATCACAGTTCCTTAATATACTATCTAGCTAATCATTATTGTTGCACAACTTACATTTGATTAAACACACGTGTATAATTCTGTACAACTCATATCTCTATCAATACTTTATATTATAATCAAAACAAAGGTTAAAATTGTATACCCTGTCACTGTAGAGTATTCTCCCAACTTTAAAGTGAAAATCAAAATTTGATATTTTAGTAATTTCATGTGAGATCGTTATTTTATAGGAAAACATACTGAAAATGTTTATAAGATGTTCCTCTATCATATGCCAAAATATCATGGTTTAAATGCTCTCCTAAGTGTCTATAACTGAATTTTAGGGCAATAACCTTATTCTAAATGTTGGGAAAGTAGGGTAAATTTATTATCAAAAACCTTTTTTTTTCTTAGTAAAAATAAAAATGTTATTTTATATCAAGTTTTTATTCATAAATTTTTATAATGTTGTATAAATTTCATTAAAATTTACGTACATATTAAGGTACTTATCTTCTACATATATAATCTTCATTAGATATATACATGATAAATAAAATTCATAAAACATTAAAAATCAAAAAATTAGATGAACCTTGGCAATTAAACTTTATTAAATAATAGTTGTTTATAAATTATATTATATTATTATTTAATATTATTTTGATAATGAAGATTTTATTTTGCAATAATATAAACGAAATTTTTTACCTTATGAACTTTTGATGGAAATATGCAAATTTAAAATAATAAAGAAAGCCGCGAGCGAAGCGATCGGCTTAGTTCGAAGATTTTGATTCAAATCTTTGCTGATCTGTAATTCGCGGAAGCCGCGAGCGAATCGAGCGGCTTAGGTCTAAGATTTTGATTCAAATCTTTGCTTATATTCCTTAAATTCTTTATGAAACTCGCAACAGTTCCATAAAAAATTTTAAATTCTCAACTGTCGAAATTACCGATCGGTAATCACACCCTTCACGTGTGTGTCACTTTTTACAGGTGTGTCACTTTTAGCTAAAATTACCCCTACTCAGATAATATTAATTGAATTTGGAATTTTATTTCCTGATGATAAATGAATCTATGAGATAAATTATGATATTAATCCATATGTACTTGAGAATTTTCTTCTTCATTTTCGTTTTCATAATTTTTTGATGATTGATCAGGAATTCGAATTCGATTTTGATCAAGATTTAATTTTTCGAACTTTGAAATCCAAAGGTTTCACATCAAACTGTAAATTTGCTTTTAACATGGACTACCTTGTTATTGGAGGTAAAAATGCAAATCCTTTGTTATATAACATGGCAAAAAGATCCATGTCCGAAATTGGCAAGAAATATTCACTACTCACAGATTCATGCACAGCCGTGGCAATATCTCAAGACAGCGATTTTGCTGCAACTGGATATCCAGATGGAACAATTATTCTTTGGAATATCCAGAAAAATGGAGATGGTAATCCCTATAAATTAATACACAAATCAAATATTACCAACTTAGCCTTCATTTGCGATCATAAAAGATTAATTATTGCTGACTTTTCAGGTGTTATCACTCTTCTATCTTTAGTTCAATCTCCATCTTGCGAACTTGTACTGCAAACAACAATTATTAATCTCAAAAACCAAATTAAATCTTTCGTTTCGTTAGATCCAAATCATGTTGCATTCTTAAGCAGCGACATGTTCTCTTTCATTAGTGTCGATCGTAACATTACTGTTCACGTTAGCAAAACATTAAATGCCGATAGTAATTATAATTCTTGCGCGATCATTACTGAAAAATCGAATAAAAGATCGCTCATGTGCATAGATAATTCTCTTACATTAATGGAAGTCAAGAAAGACAGCAGAGCTCATGATATCTTAAATATCACTGCAGAAGCTAAAATTGTTCAATGTTTCTTCATCTCATACAGAAAATTCATAGTTATTCTTGACATTGGCAAGGCAATTATATACAACGATAAGAGCGAACAGTTAGAAATTCTCGAAAACCTTCCAACAGTTGCAGAACCAATGAATATCCAGAAATACGGAAATTCTTTGCTGTTCTTCCTCGATAATGCTATCATTCAGAAGAGAATTCCAAAAGTTTAATTTGATATTTTTATTTCAAATGCGTAAGTCCTTCATAAATGTTATTATTGTCGTTTGTAGTTCTTTTAAATGATTTTCTTTGAATTAGATAAAACATTTTTTAATTAACTTGATAGTAGTATATGTGGAAGGGTTTAGTGACTTTTTTTGTTACATCTATATATAGACGATGCATTAAAATATATTTATTTATAAATCATTAAAAAATTAACATTAATTTTAAAATAATTTATTTTTTTATTTTTTATAAAAGAAGCTATATATAGATGATGTCAGATATTCCGCGATTAATTAAACATCATTTAAATCCTGAATGGGTTAAACTTCAATTTAAAAATGAAGATTGTGAATTATTAAATGAATATGAAAGCCAAAATAAGCTAATGAGGTATAAATATAATGATAAAGAATATTTAATTTCATGGAATCAATGGAGTCATAATCAAAGACCTCATAAACGAGAAGAAGAAATTGAAAATAATGAAATGGAAATCATTGATGACATTAAAGAGGATGGAATTCCTAAATTTTGTAGAAAAACCTTTAGAACTAAGTTAGGAGCATATAAACGTAGAGTATTAAATCCTGAATACATAAAACATTTATTTAAAAAGGAAGACTGTGAATTATTAAACGCTAATGAATATGAAAATGCTAAATCAAAATTGAAATATAAATATATTGGAAGTGATGAAAGGTGTAAAGATAAAGATAAAGTTTATACAGTTTCATATAATAACTGGCACACGTTAGGGATAAGAAAACATTTAGGAGATTATGGTAAAAGTTCTGAATTCTTTAAATCTAGTATGTACGAGAGAGTAAAAGAAATTAGAAATAATTATTTTCATGAATAAAAAATAAACTTTGAAAATTCATGTCTTACATTTTTGAATAATTTATTTTTTTATTTTGTATGAAATGAGTGGATCAAGATTCGTAACCGTCAATCAATTAATGGATGCTCTTTCACCAATTCTTGAAAATGTTAAACAAGTAGATGTTTATTTCGATGATTATGTAGAAAGTATATATTATAAAGGTAAGTTTAATATTAAACCTATTGCTTTTGCATTTGATAATAAATTAATTGAAAATGCAAAAATTTGGGAATTAATTCCAGATATTGAATTTATAACAAATATTAATGATAAATGGTTTAAACGAATTCCAACCACAAAAGTTCTTTGTAAATTAATGATCAAAACTGAGGAAAAAGAATTTAACGGGTTTAAATATCATCCAAATAAAGTTTCAGAACTAGAAAATGAAAAACTTCAGAAAAAATTAAACGATAGACTTTCAAATGATCGTATTGAAAAAATAAATAAACTAGCAGAAGTTGCATTTAATAATGAAATATTTGATGAATATAACCTTGAACTCAGTGATGGGCTTTAAGGACCCGGGCTCAACGAGTCATGATTTATGAAATCAATTATTTGATTCATTCGCTCTTCAATAATTTCTATTCTTTTTGTTAAATCATCTATTTTCATTAATGAGGTGATTCTTGATTGAGGAATAGATTTCAAACTAACCACTCCTTTTATTTTTGAAATTTTGAATCCATCAACTTTAAACATTTTATTCAATTTACATGTTGTCAATTCTTCAAATAATTTTTTATTATTAGCATAATAGTCATTAAATTCTTCAACAGAGTACAGTATACATTGTGCGTCGCCTGTAGCCTACAGCTACAGTCACCGACACAATGAAAAAAGTGACAGAAAACTGACACCATACGGGCGCGCATATGTACGCATATATGTGTAAAAATAAACGTTCATATGTAAACTAACCTTTATTCACTAGCAGGGGCTTTGTTGTTCGCTTCCATTAAAATGTAAACTTTACGTGTCAAAAAAATTCTGTCACGTAAACTATTTATGTTGAGATTGAGTACCAGACTCTAATATAAGTTCAACCATTATATTAGAGTCTTTAGGAATTTCATATGGTTCTTTTACATAATATTCCTTTTTTTGACCATCAGTTGATTCTTCAACTCTTTTGAATGAAAAGCGCTTATAAAACTCAAACACGAGTGCATCTTTATAACCAGTGATATCGTAAAATTTTGGTGGCACAAGCTGTTCATTCACATTACATATAAATTGTTTGTTATCATGAGCAATATTACTCAACGTTACTAAAGGCTCAAGGAGAGGATTTATTCTTATCTGATAACCGACAAATTTATATGTTGGTTTGCCCTTTCGCTCAAGGATAAACCTGATATTCGCTATAGTTATGAAAAGCTCATCAAAGTACTTATATGTTTTTTTATCTTTATCATTTTCGTCAGTGAAATCTGCTATGGTAAAACTATAATATACATGCATTCGCGAGATATATTTTTTTTCCCATAAGTCTAAAAATTTTGCTTTCGATGGAATTACTTTTTGCGTGAATGTTCTACCATGGTCATCTTCCCAAACAAGCTCTGGTTTTCTTGATGTTGTGTCTGTTTCAGTGGTTTCTAATAACGCAGTGATGAAATCCAACACATCTCCTAGGGACATGTCATATTTATAATTCAAGGCATTTTTTTCTATACTACTGTATGAAGGTAATGTTATGATTGGTGATGTACCTTTTCTTAATACATTCAATTTATTTTCATTTGAATCATAGTAACAATCAACAAATTCTCTACTTGCCTCAGTCATTTTTTCCATAAGACCTTCATTCAACTCCTGTGTAGTCATGTTGGGTTTTATGTAATATCTCATGTCAAACCTTTTTTTCACTGATTTTGATGAATCTGTCATTTCTAATGGAATAGCAAGAAACTCAAAGTCTGGATGCTCAAGACTTATCTTTCTTATCTCAAGAGCTTTTGACGCAGGATATTCAATGAAGTCTCTCGGTAATTTATATGAGACTGTATTACCACTTATCGTGCCATCATTCATAACATGTTCATAGTATAATCCATCATATTTAGACATTTTATATGTAACTAAAAGATGGAGAAAGTTATTAATCAAGTAGATAAGATTCTTCATGATGGAGCACGTAAGAATAGTAAAGAACTAAACAATGCACTCATTATGCCATTTTCTGATGATTATCCATTTTGTACTAATGGTGTTTATTTCTACTGCGGTAAGATGGGTTCAGGTAAGACATATGGTGTTATTCGTCATATAATGATAACAGACCGCTTCACTAATACTCCATATTATGACTCAATAGTTATCTCAGCAACATCAGGAACAATGGATAAAACAGCGAAGACATTTATGAGTCAAGTTAAAGCACCAGTACTGAAAAAGGATGATAAAGAACTTATGCCTTATTTAATGAAGAACGTTAAGATGAAAGCAAAGTATTACGCTATTGTTGAGTTCGTTCAAAGTAAGTTCGAAAAAATTTCAGAGGAGATGGAACACATCTTAACAAAGCATCAACTAAGGAAACCTGATGGAAAGTTTGAGTATAAGAAGATTGCAATATATGTTGTAAAGAAGTTGAACAAATATCCTTTCACAAAGTATCCCAGTAATTCTCTATTAGTGTTAGACGATTATGGTGGTCATGACTTATTGAATGACCCACGTTCACCATTAGCGAACTTCATCACTAAGGTCAGACATTATAACTATACTGTTGTCATCATGTGTCAAACATGGAGACATATATGTTTAAACATTAAGAGACTATGCACTGACTTCGTTATCTTTCAAGGTTATTCTATGAGAGACTTTCAGTCAATGATTGAACAGTCAGGAGCAACAGAAGATTGGGAAGAGTTATGGAACAAATACAAAGAGCTACCAACACCTCGTTCATATATGGAAGTTCATATAGTTGCAGGAAAGACGGACTTTAAAGAAGTTAAGCAACAAAAGATGACATTATTTTAAGAAGAAATAAATGGGTTTTGGCGATTATGTTAAAGCTGGATGGGGTATGGTGAAAAAAAATCCTGGTCTTGTAATAGGTGCTGGATTTAACATTGCTAACAAACTTTTCCCTCAAGTTGGTCAAGTCGGTGGTGTTATCGGTAGTCTTGGTGAAAGAATTGCAAAAACTACATTAGGTGAAGATAATGCATTAACGAAGAATCTTAAAGCATTCAATAAAGCTCTTGGTGGTGACTTCAGTAGAGACAAGCCTGTTGAAACACCTATAGTTCAACCTCAACAAACTATTGACAACAATAAGTATAACGCATACATTGGAGGAGCTATTTGGAACAATCATAAGCCATTAGTTCAGTCAGTACGTGTACTATCAGACATGCCATGGATTAATGCTATTAGTGGCACTATACGCAGATAATATATTTTTATGAGGTTTAAATGAGTGAACAAGAGAGGAAACTCATTGATGAACGAGTTAAGAAATGGGAGAATGAACGTCCGATAATTCGTACCATAATTAGCGATCAAAAGTTCAAGCAGCATACATTTGATTTTTTGCGCGATATATATAATGATCTTGCTTTTGATTACAATGCTAGGCAATACTTTGAGAAAGAATATGTTCAAAAAGGTCGTATTAATTTCCCAATGAGAAGAGAAGGCTTTTTGATTACATCAACATATACAGCACGTGGTAGAGACCCTTTTACAGACGCGGTTCGTAACTTTAAAGCACGTTCTTCTATTAATGATGATCCAGATTTCTACATACCTTATTTTCGTCCACCTTCGCATCCTTTACGAACCAGTGATCCTGGATATGACGCTAAACGAAGATATATAGAGACGAAATTAGCTAAATACAAGGAACCTAAGGATCCAAGGACTGGAGAAGTAAAGGAATCACATGTCAAGATAAATAAGCTTTACAAAGTAGTTGAAGAATTGGAGAAACGATCTAATGAGATTAACGCTGAGAAGAAAAAGGAAGTACCAAATATGAACAAACTAGATAAGATGATTAAGGAATATAGAGGATTGGCGAATACATCGAGCGTTCTAATAAAGGAAGTAGAAAACACGACAAAGCTGCAGAAAATGATTCATGATGAATTACTGTTAGGT